AAAAAAAAAATTTATTTTTGAGAGAGAGAGACAGCATGAGCAAGGGAGGGTCAGAGAGAGAGGGAGACACAGAATCCGAAGCAGCTCCAGGCTCTGAGCCGTCAGCACAGAGCCTGATGTGGGGCTCAAACCCACGAACCGTGAGATCATGACCTGAGCTGAAGTCAGACGCTTAACCGACCGAGCCCCCAGGCATCCCCTGATTTGACAGTTTTGCTCCGTGTGCCACACACAGAATCTGTGTTCTGAACCGGGGTCTCTGGGGCCCCCGCTCCAGGCACTAGGTGTTTCAGGCCACATTCTCTGACCATAACTGTAAAGAAATAAGCAAGTCCTAAGAAAACTTAAGGAGGAACTTCTCTGCTGCTTCTGTATTCAGGGCTATTTCCCAGTGAAACACACTAAGCCACGATGGGAGGACCCTACTCAGGTACCCAAGGGTTTCTGTCCAAGAAGTCAGGACGCGGGCCGCAGGTGGAATCCGTCTCTGCCTGTGCCCGCATTTCAGATGCGAAGAGGAAATCCTGAGAGTGGCTTTCACACCTGCCCCGGCAGCCTTTCCCCCTCACCTCCCTGTTGATTATTCCCCTTGCTGAAGGGCGCCTTCTGTCCTGTCCTCACATGAGAAAGGCTGGCAGGGCATCCAGGAGGCAGCGGGCCAGCCTCCGGGCCACCGGACGCCAGCGCTTCCACGTCCCATGTCCCACAGCTCTGCAGTCGTGCTCCCCACTTGGTGCCTTGGGAGACTTGTGGCCTGACCCCGAACCCCTCGTGAAGACGGTGGTCGCTGCTCTCAGCTCTGTAGGTGCAGGACGGGCTGGCTCCATTCACATCTTTAGACCCTTCTGGGAAGGATGACCAAAAGATGGGGAGGAAACCCCAGCATACCGCAGGAGGGCTGAGGGCGGGCTCTGGGGCAGGCAGGAGGGCGTCAGGGAGGTGGCGGTGCTCGCCGGTGCTGACTGGCAGCCTCTCCCGACAAGTTAGAGGATGCGTGTTTAGGATGACAGAGGAAGTTCCCTCCCTTGCTCGGTGAGGGGAAAGCAAGACTATAGTCAGGTAAAGGCTTATTATAAAATGAGCTGTAGTTTTTCTCTGGTGCCACTGTCGCTGGTTTTCTCTTGGCTGTAGCTTTAGGAGTTCACCTTGTCCCTGGTGTAGGGGACCTTCTGGGGTTTGGGGTTGGATGGCGTCTCACACTGTTGCCTTCCTTTTCCAGTTAGAGAACCTCCAAGCATCCTACGAGGAGCTGAAGGCTCAGTCACAAGAAGAAATCCGGCGCCTGTGGTCCCAGCTTGAGTCTGCGAGACCCGACAGACAGGACCCGAGTGGTGAGGACTTCGTGTTGGAAGCTGAGACCCTCAGAGACTACAGCTGTGTGTTTTTAATTGTTGAAACCCAAACTAGAACTTAACAATAGCGAGAGCAAAAGGAACGGTTTTGTAAACTTCCTTGAAGATTGACCTGTGTGGTTTTAATGTGGAAACTTGAGGGCCTTGGTTTCATCCGTAAACAAGTTAACTGAGTAACGGCACAGAACCGTGCACCTGTCCTCACGTTACCATGAGGCACTTCTCAAGTGAGAGAGAGATAAAGCTTCTGGTGGGGCTGGCGTTTGCCTATTCTCTGTGTTTGGGTGCTGAAATGCCGTTGTCGGCGGGCGTTTGGGGGTGCCACTGTGCCTTGGCACACACCACCTCAACCCCAGGAGCTCACTTGGGCCAGGGCCATCAGACCCACTGTAAGACCCGCTGTAAGGGGACTCCCTGCTGGCAGGCAGCCCCTTCACTAGGAGGCGGTCCGGAGATGCGGGTGTTCTTACCTCTGGTCTTTAGGTGGAGCCTTTTCAGCCTGGTGGTCACCCTTGCTGGGGAGATGTCACTGGGGGCAAAGAACAGGGTTGTAAGGAAGGCCCAGAAATGCGTGCGGTGGGTGAGGCCTCGCCTGGCGCACCCCCTCCCCCGACCCCACCAGCCTTTTCCTGTCCGCTTGCACCTTGTCTTTCCCACCAGCCTGTCGATGGTGGCGGCAGGTGGGGCCCATGGCTCTCCTGCGGATGGACTGCAGGTACGAGCACCTGCGCAGTTCAGTCCTCACATGGTCTGTGGGGGCCTCGCCCTGGCCTCCAGCGGTCCTTACGGGGATGTTTGCTTTGAAACTTCTGGGTGGTGATCAATTTATACCCACATTACTTGAAAGGTAATTAATCATTAATTGTTGACCAACTAGATGTCAGTATTCTCTTGCTAAAGATAGTGGTGGTGATAAGTTCTCTTGAGGTCAGTGTGTATCATTGTTCTGTTGCTCTTAACAGAATATTGTAGACTTCGTGGCTTAAAGCCACACACGTTTATTAGCTGGCAGATATTCTGTGGGTTGGAAGTGTGAGATGGTGTGGCTGGGTTTTCTGCCCAGGATCACCTGTAGCTGGAATCAAGGTGTTGGCTGGGCCTTGACCTGGCTCAATGAAGCTGTGGCAGAATTGAGTCCCTGTGGTTGTGGGGCCTAGGTCTTGTTTCCTTGCTGGCTGTTGACTGGAGCTCTCAGCTCCTCGAGGCTGCCCACTGTGCAGTCGTTCATGCTCAGAACCCCCTGCAGCCCACGGAGTGCCTCTCTCACACTTCCAGTGTCTCTGAGGCCTTCAGCACCCGCCTGAGAAAGCACTTTGCTTCCAGGGGGCCCATGGAATCTTCCCTTTGTGAGGGACCCCCAGTGTCAGCCCCCAAGGGTTCCCACTTCACCTTCATGGTGCCAAGACCGGGGCCCTTTCTGAAGTTGAGGGTTTGCAGTGTCTCTTGATGTCTCCTCTGCGTTTGATCTGAAGGTGACTCCGTCATTCCTTCCCATTAAAGAGTTATCCGGCCAGCTCCTGGCCCGTGCACCTCACGTGGAAGGACTGGGGCACCTAAAACAAGACTTGCAGCAGCAGCAGCAGCAGCAGCAGCAGGAGAAAACCGAGCAGGACTCTGAGCTGGAACAGTTGAGGATTTATTTTGAGCAGAAATTAAAGGATGCTGAGAAAAGTTACCAAGAAGACCTGATTCTGCTACAGCAGCGGCTACAGGAGGCAAATGAACAGTCTTTTCTAGAATCTGGGAACATCAGGTAAAGAAGTGATTTTTATCTTAAAGGTGTTTTTTTGTTTTTTAAAAGCTTTTCAAAAAGTTGAGAGAGAGAGCCCGTGCACAAGCATGTGCACATACACTTGAGCAGGGGAGGGGCAGAAGGAGAAGGAATTCCAAGCAGGTTCTGTGCTGTCAGCACTGAGCCCGATGTGAGGCTAGATCCCAGGAGCCTGACATCATGACCTGAGCTAGGAAATCAAGAGTTGGACGCTTAACCGACTGAGCCACCCAGGCTACTCTTCAAGGTGTTTTTGAAACATGGAAACCTTGACCTGAATTGAAATCTAGTTTTATTTGTGATTTTATGTCAGTCGAGACTTGTGTTTTAGAATTACATCTTATGTTTGGGCCTCAGAACGGGAGAGCGTTAAGGCCAGGAGCGGAGTGTGGCTTGTGGCATCCCAGGTCCCCTCTGCTCTGACACATGTCTCCATCCCGCGGTCATGCTGTCATGCAGAACTGCCTCGCTCAGCCGCGGGCTCCTGTCTTCCATGGGGAAGTAGGCTTGCGGTGGAGGGGGCAGGGAGGGAGGAAGCAGAGCTCCCGAGGAGAAAGGGCCCATGTGGCTGTTTCAAAACACATTTTCTCTTTTAGTTCACCGAATGCGTTTTTAGAAGAGAGGTCTGAAAAACGAAGGAGAGAGCACGTTGATGGACCCAGCCTTCAACCTGAGGTGATCGCCGGTTCTTTCCTTAACTGAGGGAAAGCGGACACATGATGTTAGTTTCTGGTGCACAAGGTAGCGAGGTGACATTTGTGTGATTGGAAGTGGTCACCACAGTGAGCCCATTAACGTCTGTCAGCACACAGGCCTGCAAAGTCTCTTTCTCTTGTGATGAGAACTTCAAAGATCTGCTCTTTCAGCAGCTTTCATTTTTTTTTTTTTTAATGTTTTATTTATTTCTGAGAGGGGGGAGAGAGAGAGAGAGACAGCATGAGCAGGGGAGGGTCAGAGAGAAAGGGGGAGACAGAATTTGAAACAGGCTTCAGGCTCCAAGCTGTCAGCACACAGCCTGACATGGGGCTTGAACCCACAAACCGTGAGATCATGACCTGAGCCAAAGCCAGATGCTCAACTGACCGAGCCCCCCAGGGGCCCCTCTTTTAGCAGCTCTCAAATGTGCAACGCTGCACCTCTAACTAGTCACCAAGCTGTGAGTGACCTCTCCAGGACTTGTTCATTTTATAACTGGCAGTTTGTACCTTCTGACCCTTCACCCATTTCCCCCACCCCAGGTACCACCCCAGCTACCACTCGTCGGTTTTCTGTATTTGTGAGCTCACCTTTAAGTGAGTTTGTAAGTGAAGTCATGTGGTATTTGTCTTGCTCTGATTAACTTATTAGCGTTATACCCTTGAGGTCCATCCATGTCATCACAAATGGCAAGATCTCTTTTTTTATGGCTGGGCAGTATTCTGTCGTGTATACATATACACACACCACGTCTTTTTTTTTTTTTTTTTTAAATTTAAAAAAATGTTTTCAGAGACTGAGAGAGACAGATCACAAATGGGGGAAGGGCAGAGAGAGAGGGAGACACAGAATCCAAAGCAGGTTGCAGGCTCCAAGCTGTCAGCACAGAGCCCAGTGCGGGGCTCGAACCCATGAACCGTGAGATCATGACTTGAGCTGAAGTCGGATGCTGAACTGACTGAGCCCCCCAGGCGCCCCACACCACGTCTTCTTTATCCGTTCATCAGTCTATGGACACTGGGTTGTGAGCACTTGAGATGTGGCCACTGTGGCCTTCCTGTCACCTGAGGTTCCCTTTTATTTGATGGTGATGCCTCGAGGTGTCGGTAGCCTGGGTCTCATGGCCATTATCCTGGGCAGATGGCATGCCGTCACGGAGCGCGGTGGCCTTGTGCAGGTGTGCTCCACCCCAGCGAGCAGTGACTCTGGCGTGAGCATCCGTTGCTCTCATTCAGGGTGTGTCTCGGTCACCTCAAGTGGCTGTCACATACCACAGACCGGGTGGTCACATGGCAGAAATCGGTGGTCACATGGCAGAAATCGATCAGCTCAGCCTGGAGGCTGGAAGTTGGAGGTCAGGGCTGGTTTCCCCTGAGGCTGGGCTCCTTGCTCCTGGGCGGTGGCCTCTGCCTGTGATTTCTCTGTGCACACGCTCCCCTGGTGTCTCTGTCTCCAAACAGTTCTCTTCAGAGGCATGGGGCCTGTTGTAACAGGATGTTTCCAGTTTCCCATTGTTTGTGTCCTTTTCTAGAACTCTGTGTCCGTGTGATGATTTCCTGGGACAGGAGCGCCATATGCTGGGTGCTCCCTCCCACTCCCTCTAGTGTCCCGTTGGGCATGGTGTGTCTGCTGCAGCAGAGCCCTCGTGCCCAGGACGGCAGCTCCCCCGGCCGGTGTGACCCGTTGTCCTTGCCCACTGCCCTGTCCCACCCTCTGGACTTTTCAGTCCGGGGACCGCCCTCCGCTCTACTTGGGTGGTCCATGCTGCGTGGGGGGCGGCCGTGTGTCTGCCGCACCTGTGCCCTCCGTGGAGATGTGAGGGCAGCCCCCGAGAACGTGTCTCCTTCTGCTGTGTGTTTGGCAGGTGTGACGCCTGGAACGTTCTCTGTTCTCTCGCCCCAGCGCCATGGAGAGCTTTCCGTCCCTCTGATCCCCCTTTGTGTGCAGGCCCTCCCTCCGGCAGCTCCAGGGTCCCCTCCGCACACCCTGGAGCTCTGAGACGGCAGCACACATGCCGCCTGGGAGGGGGGAGGCCCCTGAACCCCTGCGAACCTGCTGCTGTTCTGTCCGCCACCATGCTTCTCCAGTGTCCTGTGCTCTCGCAGCAGCCCCTACGGATGAAGCCACCGATTTCCTTGTGTTTGTTAAGGTTTTCAGTTAAATTTCCTATTTGCATTGCATTTTTAATTTCTAGGGCCTCTACTTCCTTGCTCTGTCCTTCTGTCCGTGCCACGGGGGCGGTGTTCTCTCTTGCCTCCCTGAATATCATTGGTGTTAAAGGGTTTCTTGTGCCTCCTGTGTGTCCCTGCTTTCTGTCCCTCTGTCTGGGTCTCTGTGAGGACTTAGGTGTCCCCTGTGTTGGTTTGAGACCCACGGCCATGTCTTCATGGGAGGATGAGGCAACATTGGTCTCGAGGAGCTCTGGCTGGGGTCCCGCCTTAGGCGGTCAGGTCTCCTGTCCCCAGGTCGTGCCTCCTGGCCTGTGTGTGCACCCCGGGGCGTCTAGCCTCTCTGTCCCCTGGACCCCAGGCCTGCTTCGGACACTGATTTCTATCTTTGAGGTTGGTCAGCTTTGGTTCATTGGTTACCTCTTTCTGTTTCTTCTCCTAATAGGTTTATAAGTTAAACTTTGTCTGTCATCGTAGTCACGTTGCAGGAAGGAGGGAAGATACAAATGATAGAACATGTGTGTGTGTGCATGCATGCGTTCAAAATTTCAACAGGCCACTGTGCCCTCCTCAGGGCGCCTGGCTGAACTCAGTCAGCTGTGTGGGAGGGAGCCCCGCTTCCCTCCCAGTGCCCCTGGGCCTTGCCAGAGTTTGTGTGTCCCTCGCTGGTGGCCAGCTGGTGTCCCATTTTTAGTTTGTGTTTCTTTGGTTTTTAATAAGGCTGAGCATCTTTTCACCTACAGCTGACTATTCTCTCTCTGATGCTCAGTCTACACCATTGCTCTCGAGACATTTGCCCCTCCCCTGTGGTTCGGAGCCCCCCCCTGCTCCCCTCTCGCACTGGTGCTCGTGGGCCTGGGTCTGCAGTTGTGCGTCCTCCCCCGGCCCTTGGCTCTTCGTCCGCACTCTCAGAGCGTCACACTGTTTCCCCGTACCACCTCCTGATTCTTTTAAAGTCTTTTTAGTTTTAATTTTGTCCACCTGAGATTTAGCTGTCGTCCAGCGGGAGGAGTAGGCTCTGAGTGTATTTCCTTTTTCCAAATGAGTCACTCTTCCAGGCCTGACTTGTTAAAACACAACCTTTCATGTGCTTACAGTTGTCCCAGGGGCACGAGTCTGTTTCTGGAGTCGATTCTTCCTGTCAGGCAAGTGGTTCTTTCCTATAACAATGTAGGAATTTAAGTCTTGGCTTTAAAGATCATTTGAGTTTATTGTGAACTAGAAGTTTAGGTTGGTTTGACTCCTCTGTGATTTTGAAGGGGGTGGATTTCCTATTTTAAGGGAAACAGGGAACATCGGTACCTGCGCTGAGCCCTCCCTTCCTCCCTTCTAGAGGAGGCGTCGGTTGGGCCTCTTGTCGGGTGCTCACAGCAGTGACCAGAGACCCTTCCTTGGGGGCAGGTCCATGTCCCAAGCAAGCAGCATGTGTCTGGCTTCACAAGGGGATGTGTGGTGGGGAGACACAGGCGGGAGTGAGTAGCCTCGGGAGTAAATAGGCTGGAGAAGTCCGAGGGCCCCCACTGCTGCGCACAGTGCCTTTGGGAGAGGCTGAGGCCCTGGCCCTGAGAGGGGTTCTGGTCAATCAGGGTCTGCCTGCAGCTCTAGCTGCAGGAAAGTTCTGATCAGGTTCCCAGGAATGGCCTGCTTGGCATCCCTACAGCTGGGGCCTGCATCGGCCTCGGTGGGCACAACCCGGGAGTGAGGAGGGCTTGCCAGCCAGTGGTGCACGCCCGTGTCCTCAGGGCTGCAGTCACCATCTCCCTGAGTCACTTGGCCCCCCTAGAGGTGAGATGCTGGGGACGGGGGGACGCTGTGAGCGTGCATGCCCCAGAGAGAGTTCCATGGGAGGCGAGCAGAGAGGCCTGTTGTAACGTTACCTTTGTGACTTTTTTCCTGCATGTGCACACAGTTAGAAGAAGCCCGCTGGCGCCAGCTAGCAGCGTGGAAGTCTCCTCTGGAAGTCCGGCAGGAGGTGGGCCTCGTGGGGCCACAGGCGTTGGAAGGGGAGCAGCGTGCAGGGCTCTCAGAAGGGCCTGGCGGAGGTGTGTGTACTTCCCTGCCGCCTGTGTTGGCGGCTGCCTGGCCCACAGGGAAGGGCCTGTGGGAGGTTGTGGGTTCTCTGGATGCACCAGCCCTGTACTCTGCAGGTCTCCCTGGCGGTGTCCTCAGAGTTAAGGGGCCAGGCTCGGGGCATGTCAGGAGAGGGCCTGACTGGGTGCAGCATTAGGGGGCACAGGAGATGGGGCCGCCTAGGAGGTGGCAGACGGAGAAGCCGTGATCCTCCCAGGGCCACAGATGGGGACGAGCAGTGGCCCGGCTGCTGAGGAGATCAGGTGTAAGGCTGGCCCTGGACAGGTTCCAGGAGCCCGGGCAGTGCAGCTGCTCACTGCTGTAGCTGGGCCAGCGCTGGGGTGGGTGCTGTTGCCACCCCTTGTTGCCCTGAGGAGGCGAGGCAGAGGGTTCCACTCGAGGGTATGGGGGCCAGGTCTATGTTGCGGTGCTCTGATGTGACCACCTGTTTTAGCCAAGGGCTCTCTTGGAGCCGATGAGGTAGGCTGAGAGGAGGAGCGTGGTCCCCGAGAGCCAGGGTCATGCTGTGCCTGGCGTCTGCCCCTCACTGTTCTCTTTCCTGTGTGAGACGTCCTTCACGGCCACCGCACAATGCGTCATGGTCACTGGGCAGTGATGGCCACACACAAAGTGCCTGTGTCTACTGCTCAGATCATTGTTGAACCCAGGAAGGTAACAAGGCCCAACCTGAACAGCCCAGGAGGGGCCCGGGCCACCCCTGGCCCAGAGCCATGTCCCTCACACGGTGGGGTAACAGTCACCTGATACACAACCAAAGGGACTGAGTGGGTGGTGAGTGGGTGTGGGCGGCTCAGGATAGAGCAGCAGCTGCAGGCTCATCTTCTGGGGCTGGGGGCACAAGGGTGCTGTGCTGTGATGGCCCACGCACTCCTGACTGGGCTCACCCTGGGGGTGGCCGGGGTTGTCTGAAGTATTGGCAGGTGAGTGTTCTTGTCTGCTGTGTGTGACGTCCTCGAGGCTCGCTCCTGACTGTCGCCCCTGCCTTCCGTCCCCTCACAGAACTCGCTCGGGTGCCTCTACGTGGGGCGCAGGACACAGCCTTGGAGGTAGAGACAGAGGTGGCGGCCAGAGTCTGGAGTTTGGAAACCGAGCACAAGCTTAAACTCTCACTTCTTCAGTCGGAGCTCAGGGAGGAAATTGATGTCTTAAAACTAGAAAATAGGAATTTACACGAGAGGTTGCAGCATGAAATCTGCCTGAAAGAGGACTTGGAGAGGGTAAGTGTGGCTCCAGCACGCCTCCACAGTGGCACGCTCCCGTGGCGGCCCCCACGGGTCCTGGGGTTCCGTCCCTCCTGCCACTTGCAGCCATGTTTGCCCAGTGCCTCCTCACCGTCGGGATGGGGTTCCACCCAGAACTAGGCCAGGGTTTGACCCCTTGTTCCTCCTTCCCCCTGCTTCTGGGATCAGGGGACTGTCTGGGCGTCCTGAGACGAGGCAGGGTGACAGGCTGGTTGGCATGGACATCTGCAGGCTCTGCACACCCTGGTGTCTCCAGGGCTGTTGAGCCCCTGGCTCTTCTTGCTGACCGTCCGTCGTGCAGCCAGAGTGCGCCGTGCGAGTGAGAGACCCCCCTGGGCACCACGCACGCCGGTGGACGGTGGCGCGCGCAGCCTCAGCTGGATTCCTAGTAGGCTTGGCTGCGTGTGCTGCTCAGGGTGTGGCCCATCCCTGGGTGGGAATAATAGAACCCATGTGATTGGAGCTTTTTAAAGCCTTTTGCACAAGTGTGCTGACTGAGCCATGTTCCTTCCATGTCATGCTTGTGGCCTGATAGTTTCCCCTGTGTTCTTTTCTGCAAAGGTATTTTTAGATTTTCATTCTCCATCAAAACTGAATCTTATATGACATTACTACCGGCATGTTTGATCCTGTGTTATTCTTTCAGGCAATGGTGAGGACTTGTGGCCAAACTGAACTAAAGACAGAGCTTTATGGAAAGCTGTGTGGGCTTCCCTTTTGGTGTTTAGGTGTTTGTATATTTTCTGGACCACCGTTTTACCTGCTTACATCCATTACTGAGAGAAGGGTGTAGAATTATCTCTTTTCCCCTTTAACTTTGTCCATTTTTAAGTATTTTAATTTTTTTTTTTTAATGTTTTATTTATTTCTAGGAGAGAGAGAGAGAGAGACAGTGTGAGCAGGGGAGGGTCAGAGAGAGAGGGAGTCACAGACTGAAACAGGCTCCAGGCTCTGAGCTGGCAGTCAGCACAGAGCCCGACGCGGGGCCTGAACCCACGAACCGCGAGATCATGACCTAAGCGAAAGTCGGACGCTTAACCGACTAAGCCACCCAGGCGCCCCCATTTTTAAGTATTTTAAAGTCTTGTTATTACATGTGTACACATTTGTGATCATTGTCTTCCTGAGTAAGGTACCTTTTATTGTTAAGGAAGTATTATTATTTTTTTTTTTCCCTCTTCTCTGTATTGTTTTTTGTAGCACTGTTTGTATTGCAGTCTACTTTCTCTTTCATCAGTATAGTCATTCCAGTCTTCATTTGCATTTTGTTTGTGTGGTGTACCTTTTCCTGTCCGTTTTACTATTACTCTGTTGAGAGTAACTACCTGGACTCAGTGTCGGACCTCCATAGGGTAAGGGCTCAGTCCCATGAGACTACCCCCACTTCAGAAGCCATTTGCAGTTATTGGGTTCCCAGGTTACTTATTCACTTCTGTCTGACTTGGCTTTAAAGTCTAATATGCCCAAATGCACCCACACCCCCTTTCAGGCTCACAGAACCCAGGGAAACAGTTTACTATTAGCAGTTATTATGAAGAACACCAACTGAAGCCACCAAATGGAAGGGATGCATAGGCTAAGTTGGGGGATGACATGGAGCCACCATGTCCCCCTCTGGTCATGCCACCGCTCAGTGCCTCCACACACTCACCCACCGACCATTTAGGGGTTTTTATGGAGGCTGCGTTACACAGGTGTGGTTAATTAAATCGTTGGCCGTTGATGATTGAACTCCATCTCCACCCCTCTTCCCTCTGTGGAGGTTTGGGGGTGTGGGGCTGAAAGTTCCAGCCCTCTAATCATGCTTGATTTTTCTGGGGACCAGCTCCCATCCTGAAGCCACCCAGAGGTCCCCAAACACCTGCCATCTCATTAGCATACAAGAGACTTTCTCTTGTTTCAGGGATTCCAAGTGTTTTAGCAGCTGTGTGTTAGGAACTGGGCACAAAGACCACGTATTTTATTTTTTAATATGTTACATGTATGCACAGCATGTAGTTAGATATATTCTTTAAAATTTTTGTTAATGTTCATTATTTTTGAGAGATAGAGAGACAGAGCACGAGCTAGGAAGGGGCAGAGAGAGAGGGAGACACAATCTGAAGCAGGCTCCAGGCTCTGAGCTGTCTATTAGATATATTTTTTTATGTTTATTTATTTCTTTTTAGAGTGAGAGAGAGTGAGCATGGGAGGAGCAGAGAGAGAGAGAAAGGAGAGAGAATCCTAAGCAGGCTCCACACATCAGTGCAGAGCCCGACGTGGGGCTCAGACACACAAACTGTGGGATCATGACCTGAGCTAATGTGAAGGGTCGGACGCTTAACATACTGAGCCACTCAGGCACCCTTATAGTTGGATATTTTAAAAACTTCATTCTGACAAACTCTAACTTTTATTGGAGTGTTTAGTTTATTAATATTTTGGTTCATTATTGATCTGGTTTGACTTTATGTACCATTTTGCTATTAGTTTTCTACATTGTCCATCTGTTTTTCTTTGTGTTTTCTTTTTTTGTTTCCTCTGTTCCTTCTTTCTTGCCTTTTGGATTATTTGCATATTTTTAGAATTGATTTTTTTTTTTTTTTTTTTTTAATAAAGCAAAGCCCAGCGTAGGGCTTGCAGTCACAACCCCAAGAACAAGACCTGAGCTGAGATCAAGAGTCAGAGACTTAACTGACTGAGATACCCAGGTGCCCCTTAGGATTGATTTTTATGTCTCTGTTGACTTCTCAGTCCTGCTTCTTTGCATTGTGTGTTTAGTGGTTGCTTTCGGGAGTAGAACATAACATATTCTTCAGTCTTCTCAGGGTTAGCAGTATATCATTTCAGATCAAATGTGAGAGCCCTGCGATTGTCTAGGTGCATTTATCATGTTTTCTTTGTTTTTTATGCTGTAATTCTTACAGGTGTTGCATCTGTCTGTGTGGTTAAACTCCACAGTATAAGTTTTGTTTTGAGTATTCCTAAATACTTGAAGGCACTTAAGAGGAAAAGGAGTCACTTTACCATTTACGGTGCTCTTTGTTTCTTCCCAAAGGTCTGAGTTTCCATTTGGTAGCATTTCCTTTCAGCCTGAAGCACTTCCTTTAGCCATTCTTACTGTGCAGATCTCCTGTGCAAGTTTTCTTTTACCTGAAAATCTTTTGTCTTCTTTCTTGAAGAAAATTTTTGCTACATCTAGAAGGCAAGGTGATAGGATTTTTTTCAGGATTTGAAGGTACTGTTGCTTCTGACTTTATTTCTGATGAGAAGTCAGTGATCATTCAAATCAGTATTTACCTAAATGTAATGTGTCATTTCCTTTTAGCTCTTTCAAAGAGCTTTTATTCTCATTTTACTATGATGTGCTTAGGTATGATTTTCTTTGGTATTTTTCTCTCATGAAATTCTTTTTTTTTTTTTTTTTTTTAGCAGACTGTTAACTTGGCGAGATTTTGACTCCATGTTATATCATCTCTGTGTTGGTCAGCTCTTGGAGTCTGCCCACACATGTATACATCAGCGATCAGCCTGAGATTTGGGCTAGGCTTATACACAGTATTTGCAGCTTTCCCTCTCTCTAGCTCTGTCCTAATGGGCTTTTACCTCCCACTTTCTACTTCTGTTTAAACAAGTAAGATGAGAGGATTTTTGTGTGTATGGCATGGACAGGTAAATTGCCCAGTGCTATTATTTTCTCTGGGTGTCCAACCCTTCTCCACACTGCTTGCCTTAAATTTGTTTTAAAAGAGATTTTTTTTTTTTTTTTTTGAGAGAGAGACAAAGCATGAGTGGGGGTAGGGCAGAGAGAGGGAGACAGAATCTGAAGCAGCTCCAGGCTCTGAGTTGTCAGCACAGAGCCTGATGTGGGACTTGAACTCATGGACCATGAGATCATGACCTAAGCCAAAGTCAAATGCTCAACCAACTGAGCCACCCAGGTGCCCCACAATTTGCTTATTTTTAGATGCTCTCTTGGGCCCTCAGGTAGATTCATATATTTTTTTCCAGAGTTTATAGCTGTTATCTCTGGGAGGGTTGGCTTGATTAGAGCTGCTCAGCCATCTCCAGAAGCAATGACCCTAAACTTTAGTTTTCGTAACTTCATTTTTTTAAAGCAGACTCTACATTCAGTTTGGGACTTGAACTCATGACCCTGAGATCAAGAGTTGAATGTTTTACTGATTGAACCAACCAGGCACCCTTTTAATAACTTAATTTTTAAATAAGGAGTTGAGGTCTATCTTAAGTACTGTTTTTAGTTTTATTTCTTTTTGATGACGTTCAGTAGTTTGTTGACCGATTTTCTTTCCGTTTTTGAGAGTCAAAACATTTGCCTACTTTCAGTTTTGTGATTCATCTCCCTTTTCAAAAGACACTCTTAAAAGTATGAATTGTAGCTTCTCACCCCCTTGCTGAAGTTTCTTGTAGTTACTGGAGTATGAATGAAGCAAGGTCAGAGGCTTGAACACGTTGTGCTTTTGGCTGTTACTATTCTCATGGGCTTCCAGTCTCCTCACTGACGTTGCTCTGCTCTGGCTGGGGTAGTTGGCCTTCCCTTGACCGAAGACCTGTGACATGTCTGATGCCACCCCCCGTCGCCCGCCTTTGCTGGTCTCGGCACACAAAGAATGCCTCCAGCTCTGTCTTTGCTCCACACGTGTGTACGTGTCCATTTCTGTTAGTTTGTCCAGGCCTGACTGCCCCAGAGGTGAAACAGCTGGTTTGGGGGTTATGACTGCCAGTTATCCTCTCTTTTAATTTCTTCTTTCTTGAATGAAATTGTGTTGCTTGTAGATCAACTGTAAGTTAGTTGAAGATCACCAGGAAGAGCTGAAGAAAGCGAAGGAGAAGATTCAGCTAATGAAGCAAGAATTCAAAGAAAGAGAGGCAGAATGGAAGGTGACAAGTGAGACTGTAAAGAGAAAAGCTGAAGAGGAAGTAACGCTGATGCTCCTTGACCTCAGAGAACAAGCTGAATCTGAGAAACAGTTAATAATAAACAAGTTTGAGCTTCGAGAAATCAAAATGAGGCAACTTCAGGATCAGCAGGCGGCCCAGATCCTGGAACTGGAGGGGTCCCTGGTGGAGCAGCAGGGCCGCCTGCGGCAGCTGGAGCTCGGGCTCGCTGGGGACGGGCTTCCGCGGTGCAGCCAGTGCGGCCGGGAGCCGGGGAGCGGTCTGGCTCCTGCGAGCAAGGACTGGGAGCGTGCTGCACTCCGCCTGCAGGAGGACTGTGCCCTCCAGCTGATGCTGGCCCAGAACAGGTGGGTGGCGTCCCTGTAAGAGCGTGCGAGGTGTGGGCCATCGGCCAGGTTCCCACCTGAGCCCTGACCCCCAGATGCCCAGCAGAGGGTGCGAGGCAGACCCCCTGGGAAGATGTGCTGTGGGCTTTCAGCAGGGCAGGAAGGTCTGCAGGAAGGTGGGGCTGAGTGGTCTTCCCCCTAAAATAACAGCAGCACAGAAGCACATGTCCTGACGCAGATGTGCTGGGACACAGCAGAAACTGTCCACATCCTTCTGCTGGGGGCTGTGTTCCTTCAGGGGACACCGCCGTGCACACCTTTTCCACATCATTTTTGTTCTTTGCACATTTTAAAATTTCAAAAGCAAGACTTTACACTTCTTTTATCAAAAAGGCGTGCAGTTTATCCATATTCTCTTTTTGTGTTTTTTAAACTCATACGTGTATTTTAAAAAATAAACTTTTCCATTCTAAATATAAACGTACTTCCCTGCAATCGAATGTGATTTGGTTCTTTGCCTCTGTCAGTGCTAACTCTTTGCAAACCAGGGCTGTAGAGACTGGGGGGTGTGGGAGCCATGGGATCATTAGACTTGCTGTTGGTGCTGCCTTTTCTCCTGTGTCCGCTGTTACCCTCATCATGAGTCAGGTGCAAGAGCTTTTGATCTGGGGTCTGAGAACTTGAGTTCAGATCTTGACCCATCATGTGTAAGCTGGATGGATTTGGGCATGACGCCCAACCTCGTGAAACCTTCATGATCTCCCTGTGTGGTAACGGTAAATGGGGTGATCTGTGGAAACGCTGTCATAGGTATCTGGTGGAGGGCTGGCACAGAGACATGGTCATGGGTCTTACCTTTGTGAGAAGTGGCCAAGGTACATCACTAGTGTGTAATGTGCACCCAGTTGAACTTTAGGCTTTCTGATTAGAAGTTCTGGGGCGCCTGGGTGGCTCAGTCGGTTAAGCATCCAACTTCGGCTCAGGTCATGATCACACGGTTCGTGGGTTTGAGCCTGGGCTCTGTGGTGACAGCTAGCTCAGAGCCTGGAGCCTGTTTCAGGTTCTATATCTCCCTCTCTCTCTGACTCTCCCCTGCTTCACGCTATTTCTCTCTCTCAGAAATAAACAAAACATTAAAAAAAATTTTTTTTAAAGAAGTGAGTCTTTCTACCTGTGTGTTTGCCAGCCAGCACCACCTCTGGCTCTTTCTAGCTTGTGTCCCTTAATTCACAACTGAACTTTTCCTGAGGTCTGCGGCCCAGTGGGCTTCTGCAGATGATACTGTGTCTCTTCCCTGTCGAGGTCCTTGTCACCATGAGCGAGCGGTCACACTTGCTTTGCCGTGGTGTGTGTGGGAAACGTGTGTGTGCTTTTTATTTTAAATTTTTAAATGTTTTATTTTTGAGAGGGAGAGAGACAGCATGAGCAGGGGAGGGTCAGAGAGAGAGGGGGAAACAGAATTGGAAGACAGGCTCCAGGCTCTGAGCTGTCAGCACAGAGCCTGACACGGGGCTCAAACCCACGAACCGTGAGATTATGACCTGAGCCAAAGTCGGACGCTTAGCTGACTGAGCCACCCAGGCGCCCCAACATGTGTGTGCTTTCTTGCTGTGGCTCCGGTGTCCTCCAATTTGTGAGCGGGCATGCCTGGGCTGTGGCCTTTGAGCTCCTGTGGCTTCGCGTGGCCCCTTTGCGTGGCACTTACTTCTGATGGTGGTGCTCTCAGACCACCTGTGGCAGAGGGAGGAGGAGCAAGAGCAGTTAAAATCCAGGAACAACGTAGTGTCTCCTGTAGGACGTGCGAGTCTGTATTTCAGAGTGAGGTCGGCGCTCTTACAACTGCTCTTCCTGCTGCCCGTGTTCACTCTGCGTGTCCTCGCAGGTTTTTAGAAGAACGTAAAGAAATCACAGAGAAGTTCACCGCGGAGCAGGACGCCCTCCTGCGGGAGGCCCAGGAGAAGCACGCCCGCGAGCTCCGGCTCCTCCAGGAGACACACCAGCAGCGCATCATGTCCTTGACGGCGGAGCTGGAGGCCCGGCAGCGGGCTCAGGCGGAGGAGCTGCGGGCCTCCGTGGAGAGTGAGCAGCGGGCTCTCTCAGAAGCCCGCCTGGCCGAACTGCACACGAAGCATGCTGCCGCTGTCAGTGCTTTGGAGGCAAGACACTCGTCACACCTGGATTCTCTGGAGTCCCGTCACCTGTCTGAGATGCAGGCTGTGAGGGAGGAGCACAGGCGGGCCCTGGAGCAGCTGCAGGCACACCTCGCGGAGCAGCTGCAGAAGAAAGACGCTTCTCACTCTGTGGTGCTGACTCAGGAGCTAGAGAACGAGCCGAACCATGGCCGGGACCTTCCGCCCGCAGAGGACGGCCTGAGGACACAGGTGAGCACCAGCCGCTTTGAGGAGCTTTGGGGGGCATCGCGGGTGAGGCAGGTCTCCGGGCAGGTCTCTTCCTGCCAGCCGCGAGCGCGTCTCACGGTCTGCCGCCGTCTGTGGCAACTGCGGGGGCGTTCTTATGGCGGGTTAGAATGTGAGCTTTTTTTAAAAAAAAATATTTATTTTGGGGAAGTGTAAGCAGGAGAGGGGCGCAGAGAAGGGGACAGAGGATCCGAAGCGGGCTCTGTGCTAGGAGTCACAGAAGTGAGCCGGATGCGGGGCTGGAACTCACAAACTGAGATCGTGACCTAAGCCAGAGTCGGACGCTCACCCGACTCAGACAGTCAGGTGCCCCTAGAACGTGAGATTGTTTCTTTTTTTTTTTTAATAAGATTTATTTTTAAGTAATCTCTGTGTCCAACGTGGGGCTTGAACTCCCAACCCCAAGTTCAGGAGTTGCATGTGGTACTGACTGAGCCAGTTAGGAGCCCCTGTTTTAAGGTATTTGATCACAGAGCTCTTGGTAAAGGCTTTGATCTCTGATCCTAGGGAGATGTGCATGTTGTGTGTGTGTGTGCATATGTGTGTGCACACGCGCATGGAATTCAGCGTGAGGCGTCAGGTTTCAGGGCGCACGATCTCAACCCTCGTGGTAAGATGGTTCCAAAGGCCTCCTGTTGTGCACACACACCCTCAGGCCCCCTTCATTGATGCTTCATGAAATTACATCTTTCTGTCCTGTCTCGAGCAGGGACTGCTGCTTGACAGGTACTTTAAGTTTTAGTGTGGAAGGGGATTTCTGGAAGGGCCGGCGCCCCCTCTCCTCACCTGCAGAACTGCAGCACCTGTCTCAAGACAAAGCACTCGTCTCTTTGGCCCGAAACCGTCCTGTCACGCAGACTCTGGCTGGGGTGGCTGCGGGCTTCGTCTCGCAGCGGGCGGCCTGCTGGGCACGCCAGGCTCCCGGACGTGGGTGGCGCCAGGTGCCGCCCCCTGCAGGATGGGATGTGCGCCTGCTCCTGCCTAGGGTGGTGGCATGATCTCCATATGGTGGTGAAATCAAGGAAAAATCACTGTTCTGGTGACTCAGTGTCCCGTCGAGCACTTAGGAAGTCGGTGTTCCAGATTGGAGTGGGAAGTCTTGGGCTCGTGTAAACACAGGGACCGCCTGGCTCGCAGCTGTTTTTGTAATGAGGCGTTCCTGCGACGGCTTCGTCCTCACTCGTGGTGAGTCAGCTCCAAAAGTTAGTGTACCCTTTGTCTCCGTTCAGCTCTGCTTAGGACGGGAAGGGAAAGGGCAGCCCTGCTGTTAGTAGGTGTGATGGCTTCATTTTACGTTTCGATTCTGCCCGTTCTGTGTCACCCGAGGTGCGGCCTTGCGGGAAAGCCCTGGAGTTCTGGCGTCCTTGCACTCAGGCCTCCGCACAGGCGTGGGCGGCCCCAGCCACGGCTCCTCAGGAATGGATGGCACCACCGTGTCCCTTTGGTGTGAACCTGGGGGTCTGTGTGAGTACGGTGGGCGGTGCCCCTGGCCCGTGCTGCTCTCCAGCCGTGGGTCCTCCAATGTCTGCTTCGGTTTCCTTCCGTGCTGACAGGTGTTGTGGGGAATAGGGCCCGTTTCCTGCCCGTGGCTTTACATTAGGTTTCTTGGTTTAGTTGATTCAGAATAAGTGAAATTCTCAAAGAATGTTCCAGAGGGAGAAACGGGTACATGTTTACACATGAAACTGCTTGTGTTTATTGATTGAAACTGCATTTTAAACCATGGCAAATTTGATCATAAGGAGCATGTGGAATGTTTATCAGCTTTAAGATGGGAACCATGTGGTGGGTGGCACGAGGTGCAGTGGGGGGGCAAGTGTGGTGGGGGTGTGTCATGGGGGGGTGTGGTGAGCAGCCAGAGCCACGTGGGGGTGTGCGGGGGGCTGTGTGGTGGGTGGCCAGAGGAACGAGGGGGGGTCATGTGTGATTGGGGTTCTGTGGTGGGCAGCCAGAGGCACGTTGTGGGGGCACATGGTGGGGTCAGTGTGGTGGTTAGGCTGAGGCACTCACGTGGTTGGGGGGTTGTGTGGTGGGCAGGCAGAGGCAGGCAAGGGTGGGGGTGTGTGCTCAGCGGATGGAGGCACGTGGGGGGCAGTGCTCGGTGGTCACTGTCTTGGAAGGAGGAGAGCCGGAGGCGCCCTGCTGGAGGAGGACGGGGCTTGGCTGTGTGGTGGGTGCCGAGGTCTTCCTCCTGGGGCGGCAGCTCGGGGACGCACACGCAGCCAGGACGCAGAAGCAGCACGCGGAGCAGGGGTCGGGCCGCTGAGGGGCTCTCCAGCGCCGGGCTTCCGGGGGCTCCTGACCTCTCCGAGCCTTCTCATCAGAGCGCCGTGGTGGCGGGTGGGTGCTGGACGTGCCCGGGGCCTGCGCTCAGGGGCTCAGCCCGTCTGGGAGAGCGCGTCCGAGTGCTCCCAGCACAGTCCAGCGGCGGTCGCCTGTGCGAGGCGGCCTCCCCTGTCGTCTCTCTTCTGCGCGTAGGTTCCCTCCCTGTGTGTCCCAGGCCACTCAGTGTGACGTGGGGACCCGGCTCCACACAGACGCCTACCACGCGTGCCCTCTGACCCTGTGTCCTGTTGTCTCGTCCGTGGTCTGTTTCTGCGGACGTGCGGGGGGTGTGCTGTCCTCTGAACTTGTCCTCACACTCTCACCTTTTCAGCCAGATCACCTCCACAACAGGCGCTTCCCCGCCTGCCCGGTGTGGACCCCGACTTCTAGCCCCGCACCCTGCGAGGCCCACAGAGGGCTGAGCCTGAGGTGTGGTTGCGTCCGTGCCGTTCGCTTGCTTCCCAGGGCCGAGCGCAGCGGAGCCTCCGGGGACCTTGCCGAGTAGGGGTCTGACGGCGACGGGCCAGCCCCTGCTCGTCCCCCAGGCCTCTTCAGGTGCCGTTGCTGAGAGGTACCGGTGGCCCTGCCGCACCGTGTTGGTGTGACTTCAGAGGTCAGGGTGGGGAGTAGGGATGTCGAGATCCACCTGCGGTGTGCGTGGAGGGCCGCGTGCTCGGAGGGCAGGGCCCTGACCTTGCAGGCAGTGGCAAAGGCATCGGACAGCTGGACGAAAGAGGCGTTGGAGGTGATTGTACTACCTCAGGCAGGAGTTAAGTCCCTCGGGAGCATAGGGGTGGGAGGGCACAGAGAGTGGGCTTGGGGCCCTCTGGGGGCGGCGCTCAGGGGCCGCGAGGGGTTCCCGATGCCTCACGAGGCGTGCTGGGGTGCGATTGACCGTGGGTGGTGGGCGGCTGTGGCGTCTGGGGGATGACGGGCAGGGGGGGTGGCATCTGGGTCTGGACTCGCAGGAGGAGGCGGTGGCTGGGGTGGAAGTGCCCTCACTGCAGGAAGGTGGGGGCCTCACACGCGTGTGTCCACCTTGCATCCACGCACGACACACTTGCTGTGCCAGGTGCTCCTGGGAGTCACTGTACGCTGTGGTTTCATTTTCAGATTTTTGAAACTTTGTTAGAACATATACAAGCGGCATGTCAGGTTGTGTGGTTCTTTTGAGGAAGCGGTTGGAATTCTCGTCAGCAGGTGAGGCTGCCATGGACAAGGACACGCAGGCCGGGGCCGGCCAGGCTCCTTGCGGATTGCCGTGTGCTCACGGCCCCCAGTTCCATTTGCGTGTGGGCAGCGTGGCATCTGCGGGCACTGGCCTTACGCCCTGAGGCCCTTCTGCTTCGTGTTCTTAGATTTGAAATACTGCGTCTCCCGTGTCTCCTGGTCTTTCTGGGGGACGGAGAGTAAGAGTCTACGTGCGTAGTGCTTCGTACATGACGGATGTGTTTTGTGAGGTGCGATGTCCAGATTTATTGAGGTTATAAGGTTTTGTGAGTACTATTTCTGTGGGGCTTTTATTTATTTTTAAAAGGTTTGCTTGCTTATTTTGAGAGAGAGCATGTGTGAGTAGATCGGGGGAGGGGAGAGAGAGAGGAGAATCCCGAGATTCTCGGCCAGGGACCCGAGATGCAGCTGCTCGTGGAGGAGTTCACGGGAACAGCCTCCTCACGCCGTCCTCTTCCTCAGATTTCATTAAGAGGATGAAGCCTCTTCAGTGTTCCCTCAGCCCCTTCGTTGTCCCCTAGCCCCCTCTGTGTCCCCGTAACCCTCTCAGTGTCCCGTCTTTGCCCCATTAACCCTCTCGGGCCCTCAGGGTCCCCCAGCCCCCTCTGTGTCCCCGTAACCCTCTCGATGTCCCCCAGCCCCCTTGAGTGCAGCGCTGAGGGGTCATCACAGAGGGGTCGAGCGGCCACCAGGAAGAAGCTTTGCTACTGGCAGGGTGAGCAGTTGTCGTGTCGGCTCCGGAAGTGCTGCCCTGCGACCTGCCGAGGACGCCTGTTGAAAGGATCACTGGCTCACAGCCCTCCCTCTAGAGACCGTCTGATGGCTGATTCCGTCCTCTGCCCATTCGTTACCTGTTGGTAACACACAGCCACACGCTTTCTGAAACCAAGTGTCACTTCTGTACCTTGGCTTAGCGGTTTTGTATTTCTGTATTGGCTACTGTCTGAATGTTCCTGCAGCATTTTTTTTTTTAATTTGTGTCCAAGTTAGTTAGCATCTAGTGCAGTAATGATTTCAGGAGTAGAATCCAGTGATTCATCCCCTACGTATAACACCCAGTGCTCATCCGAACAAGTGTCCTCCTCAGTGCCCCTTGTCTATTTAGCCCTTCCCCCCCCCCAACACCCCTTCAGCAACCCTCAGTTTGTTCTCTGTATTTAAGAGTCTCTTAAGTCTCTTATGTTTTGGTCTCTTCCTGTTTTTATATTATTTTTGCTTCCCTTCCCTTCTGTTCATCTGTTTTGTATCTTAAATTCCTCATATGAGTGAAGTCCTAAGATATCTGTCTTTGCATATCTGCCTAGCATAATACCTTCTAGTTCCATCCACGTTGTTCCAAATGACAAGATTTCATCCTTTTTGATTGCCAAGTAATATTCCTGTGTGTGTGTGTGTGTGTGTGTGTGTGTGTGTGTGTGTGTGTACACACACCATATCTTCTTTACCCACTTATCAGTCAGTGGACATTTGGGCTTTTTCCGTACTTTGGCTTCTACACACATGATTAGATTCAGGTTCATGCCTTGGTGTAGGAGACTTGTGGGTGGCTGCATGCTCACCCCGTGGCCTTCCCTCAGACTTCACCCTGCGAGCAGATCCCACATAAAGCCTTGCTAGACATTTTCTGGGATGCGAAGGTCATTGTGCCCAAACTAGCAGTGACACGCTGTTCCTCCTCTGGACTACAAATATCTTTGCACCTGTTTGAAAAGCAGTCTCACTTACCAGAAGTGTTATCTCACATGGGCTTGTCAGCTAACTGACCAACTTTCCAGGTTACTTCTCTTTGGAGTTGGCTTGTGAGGAAAGTTCTCTGGAAATGTAAGCTGGATTCCCTTTTCTTATAGATGTACATCCCATAAAGAAATCTCCCTTGAGTTCATAACACTAAGAGAGTTCTGGAATGCAGAAGTAAACTGTAGTATGGCCAATATCAATTGTTCAACCCAATTTCTTTTTCTTTCTTTCTTTTTTTGATTAAAAAAATCTTTTCATATGATAAATTTTTGAAAATAGTATGAGGTCAGTTTAGATATAGTTTGAATGTCTTTGATTCATTATCAGTTGAATGTATTTTTGTTACTATATTGGTATTCTTTGTGCAGTACTACTTATTTTCTTCTTCTCCAGGTATATCTGTATTGTTCTCTTAATGATTAAAACGTATGTGTATATATATGACATTTTCCCTAGAATTCTGTAGGTTTTTAGAAAATTTTGAGAATAAACTTTTAAAAACATTGTTTTCTTATATTGGCCTTACATTTAGAATATGGAAAATGAAATGGAGTTTTGCTCAAGGCTGGAAATAGAAGTGATTATCTGAAAGGAGGTCTTATGGATGGGGGGTAGGGGTTGTGTGAATCAAGAGAGACCTGACTTTGAGCCTCTCCAGTCAGGTCGAAGGAGTGGCCTGAGGATCATACTGCCAGACGTCCACAGCCGCCCCAGAGGTTCTGGCCTTCGAGGTCCAGTGGCAGCCTGCTGTCCTGGACCCTTTCCTGAGAGCACACCCTCAAAACTGCCTCCCCTGAGTCCTGAGTGTCTCCTGGTGGCCCTCCTGCTACATGATGCTCTCGTTTGGTCTTTGCCTCGGTTAGGGTGCATTTTACAAGTTCCCGCTCCAGTCCTGACATGCGCTGGGCAGGACGGGCATGACATGGCCCCACAGGCCCTTGCAGGTGGAAAGTCAAGAGCTATTTTCCCCCGCCCGCGGTGCACCCTGCAGGTGCTAAGAGGGAAGCACCCTGAAGAACTAATCTGTCATTCCACTTCCAGCTTGGTTACTAATCATGGTTTATCATGTGCTTGGGGGGTTTTCTTTTTCTTGATGTTGATGTTTCCGTATTTTTCCCAGCGTCCTTCACAGTGGCTACAAGTGTTTCTTGGGGTCTGTTTTTTGGGGGAAAAGGAGTATGGCTGTCCCTTGGCCTTGGCCCTGCTGCTCTGTGGTGCCTGTTGGCGTTCAGGGTTTTTCCCTGTATTTACCTCCATTTTGTGGTTGTCGCTCGGGGAATTAGCATCCCGGGTCAAGCTCAGTTACTCTCAGGGCTAACGCAAGCTTCCTTTCTACTGTGAATGGTCTGGGTCAGCCCCCTCCTCAGAAGCGGAAGTCTGGTAGAAACATGGTAAAGTACTTTGCAAACTTTGCAAAGTGATAAGTTGGAGACTGTGTTTAATCTTTCTTTTTAAGGGTTTTGGAGTTAAATTTATTTCAAGAGAGAAAGTTTATAAAAATGATCTATGTTAATTCAGAAATGGTCTCTATAACTTGAAAGTATAATTCTAGTGTTGTACCTCGCATGCCCTGTTTTCCTCATTATCATGATTAAGGTGAGAATCTAGATCCTGCAGCTGGCTTGAAATTTTCTATAAGCTATAGCCTGACTGCCGTGTCATCACACTGAACACACCTGATATGAAGGTGTTCTCCAGTACTGACCAGTATCTGTGCATGGAGGGCTCAGTGCTGACCCCTTTCCTCCTCGTTCAGCAGAGCGCCCTCGTTCCTGGGGAGGTTGAGGCCCAGGGCCCGGTGCCTCGGGCTGAGCTGCACGGAGAGGAGGAGAAGCAGCAGCTGCCAAAGTGCCAGTCAGAAGCATTTCTGGAGCAGCAAATCCCGCAGCCAAAGGTGTGGGGTTAAGGGTGATCTGTTTTATTGCTGTCCTTTCTCATCTGCAAAGTAAATGAAATGTTATTGTAAATTAATGGTGATGTGCAGAGTTAAAACAAAATATTTTCATTATCTTAGAAACAGATTTTTGTAGGCAACTTTTTTATTCTCTTTTCTATTTATTATTTTTAAAAATATAACTTATTATCAAGTTAGCTAACACACAGTGTGTACAGTGTGCTCTTGATTTTGGGGGTAGATTCCCATGATTCATCACTTACATAAAACACCCAGTGCTCATCCCAGCAGGTGCCCTCCTCACTGCCCATCCCCCATTTTCCCCTCTCCGTGTCCCTCCATCAACCCTCAGTTTGTTGTCCATATTTAAGAGTCTCTTATGGTTTGCCTCCCTCCTTCTCTGTTTGTAACTATTTTCCCCCTTCCCCTCCCTCATGGTCTTCTGTTAAGTTTCTCAAGTTCCACATATGGGTGAAAACGTATCTGTCTTTCTCTGCCTGACTTACTTAGCATAATAACCTCCAGTTCCATCCACTTTGTTGCAAATGGCAAGATTTCATTCTTTCTCATTGCCAAGTAGTATTCCAGTTTATATATAAACCACATCTTTATCCATTCATTCATCGATGGACTTTTGGGCTCTTTCCATAATTTGGCTGTTGTTGAAAGCACTGCTGTAAACATTGGGGTGCATGTGTCCCTATGAATCAGCACTCCTGGATCCTTTGGATAAATTTGTAGTAGTCCTATTGCTGGGTCGCAGGGTAGTTGTATTTTTGATTTTTTGAGGAACCTCCACACTGTTTTCTAGAGGGGCTGCACCAGTTTACATTCCCACCAACAGTGCAAGAGGGTTCCTATTTCTCCATCATTTTTCTATTTAAATTGATTGGGTGGTAGTATACCTTTCCACTAAGAAATTGCCATCAAATATTTTAAATCTGAAAAAGTCTAAGTCTTATTGCCTTGCTGTGGTGACTCAGCAGCACCCACATACATCAAGGCTTCTCTTGCTGTAGGAGACTGTTCTCACGGAAGAAGGTGCAGGATGCGTAAACACTCAGCACCTTCTCTTTGGACAATTTATTTTTAAATTTTTATATGTATATATTATTTTAGAGGGAGAGAGAGAGAGTGCATGAGTGGGGCAGAGACGGAGAGAGACAGCGAGAACCCAAAGCAGGCTCTGACACAGGGCTCGATCCCATGACCGTGAGATCATGACCTGAGCCAAAATCAAGACTCAGACGCTCAACCAGCTGAGCCACCTGGGCGCCCCAAGATGATTTTTTTTTTAATGTTTATTTTTTGAGAGAGAGAGAGAGTCAGAGCATGAGCTGGTGACGGGCAGAGAGAGAGAGAGAGAGGGAGACACAGAATCTGAAGCAGGCTCCAGGCTCTGAGCTATGAGCACTGATATCACAGCTATCACTGTGCTGATAGCTCAGAGCCTGACACAGGGCTTGAACTCAAGAACCATGAGATCACCAAATGTTGAACATGGACAGGATCATGACTTGAGCCGAAGTCAGATACTCAACCAGCTGAGCCACTCAGGTGCCCCTCTGCTTATTTTTCTTAATTTTTTTTTTTTCTTTTTGGTTCTCAGACTGAATTTGAACTGTCTTCATAATTGCTGAATCTACTGTTGAGCCCCTCTGGTGAATTTGAAGGGCTCTGGTTGGGGTACGCTTTGAGTGCTGTTAGCTTTCATTTTGTATTTGTACAAAGTCAACAAGGAGTGAGCTCTTAGAGCTTTCTCAGTTTTTCTGGACCAGTACACAGCCTTATACATGCTTATGCCTTCTAAATTCCTAGGAATAGGTTGGAGTTTTTCAGACCTCCCTCTTGACATCTCATTCTGTAGTGTTTCCTTTCAAGTTGTTTTGTCTTCCTCTTACTGGCTCCAGCTGTTACGAGTTTATCAGTTTCAGGTTACTGTGATCTTTTTTTTTTTTTTTTTTTTTTTTTTTTTTTTTTTTTTTTAATGTTTTTTATTTATTTCTAGGAGAGAGAGAGAGAGAGAGAGAGACAGTGTGAGCAGGGGAGGGTCAGAGAGAGAGGGAGTCACAGACTGAAACAGGCTCCAGGCTCTGACCTGGCAGTCAGCACAGAGCCCGACGCGGGGCTCGAACCCACGAACTGCGAGATCATGACCTAAGCGAAAGTCGGACGCTCAACCGACTAAGCCACCCAGGCGCCCCCAGATTACTGTGATCTTAAACAGTTGCTGCTGCTTGATTTTGACAAATGGCCTGGGGTTAGGATTGTTGACAGACAGCTCTGTGAGATCTCTGAGAATGGAGCTTTTCATTTTCATTTTTATTTATTTCTTTTTTAATGTTTATTTAGTTTTGAGACAGGGAGAGCACGCACATGCAATCTGGGAAAGAGGCAGAGAGAAGGGGACAGGGGATCTGAAGCGGGTTCTGTGCTGACGGCAGCAAGCCCGATGCGGGGTTCAAATTCACAAATAATGATATCATGACCTGAGCCGAATGAAATTGGACACTCAACCTACCGAGCCACCCAGGTGCCCCAAGAATGGAGCTTTCTAGTGAGCTGCAAGACAGGTTAGTTAGTGACAGCTGGCGAGGCGGTGCTTTTAGGGAAATTCCCAACTCTTATGTTCCCCCCAACTCCTAAGACTGCTGGGCTGCTGTTTTCAGGGCTATACCTGAGATTGGCGTGATGGGATTAGGGCAGGTTTAAATCCCTCAAAGTTTGTTGTTTTGATGGAAACTCAGACTTTCACTAAATACTCTTTGGGTTGCTACAAGTCTTTCTTAGAGCTCTGAAAAGTTGATTTTGACAGTTTTTGCCTGTGTTCCCTGTGCTTTTATAGAGAAATACATTTTTGAAAGGTCCTTATTCTGTTATTCTGGAAGTGCTACCTCTGTAGTTTTTTTTTTTAAGCTAGTTTGATTAATGTAGTTTAATTCATTAGGTGAACCTCATTAAAAACAATTTTCATTATTTAGGAAGAAATAGGGTTTATTTTTTAAAACCAACGGAACTTTGGGACGCCTGGGTGGCTCAGTTGGTTAAACGTCTGACTTCAGCTCAGGTCATGATCTCACAGTTCGTGGGTTCGAGCCCCGCGTCGGGCTCTGCGCTGACAGCTCACTCAGTCTGGAGCTGCTTCAGATTCTGTAACTCCCCTTGTCTCTGACCCTCCCCTGCTCACACTATCTCTCTCAGAAATAAATAAAAAACATTAAAAAAATTAAAACCAAAGGAACTTCGATTTCTATCTATCTTGGATTTTGATGGTCATAATACCCTGGTGATGAATAATTTCTTAATGCGAATGTTTGGGAAAGGTAGCAAGTTATCTTTTTTATGTTCTGTATGAGAAGCACATTTGAGTGCATGTTTGCTGTGGGTGGTGGCTTTGTTTTTTCTGATCACTGCTCTTGGTGTAGTATGGACTAAATGAACATTTGTTGAATGCACTATATTTTAGCAAACAACAGAGCAGGGGAACTAGCATAATTTTAGAGCTTAATGGCAGTTTTGTTGTTAATAATGTATTTTTTATACAGGGTGAATGTGAAAGTAAAAATTCCTTACGTGAACAAGAGAAGATACATAGACTTGAGTGTGAGCAAGCAGAGTCTCTGTACCAGAAAGAGACAGAGTCTTTGTTTCTGCAGCTTCAGGAGAAGAATAACCAAATTATGCAGGTATGTGGAATGTGTTTCTTTGTTATTGTGTGTGTGGGGGGGGGTAAGATATGCATAACATAAAAGTTACCATTTTAATCATTTTTAAGTGTCCAGTTCGGTGGTATTAATGATGTTCCCAGTGTTGTACAATATCACCACTATCCATTTCTAGAACTGTTCACCAACACAATAAGAAACTGTATTCCCATTGAACACTAGCTCCCCGTTTCCCCTCCTTCCAGCCCCTGGCACTCACCCTTCCACTTTCTGCCTCTGAATTTGACCACTTTTGGAACCTCACATAAGTGAGATCATACAGCATTTATCCTTTTGTGTCGGGTTAATTTCACTCCGCACAATGTCTGTGCAGTCCTTCCGTGTCATAGCATGTGTCAGAGCTTTACGATTTTCTCTGGCTAATAACGTTCCGTTAGATATAGATACCACATTTTGTGTATCTCTTCACAAATTTATCTGTTGATGGACTTTTTTTTTAAGTGTTTATTTTTGAGAGACAGTGAGCGAGCAGGGGAGGGGCAGAATGAGAGGGAGACACAGAATCCAAAGCAGGCTTCAGTCAGTCTCTGAGCTGTCAGCACAGAGCCTGACACAGGGCTTGAACCCACGAACCGTGAGATCATGACCTGAGTGGAAGTCAGACGCTTAACTGACTGAGCCACCCAGGCGCCCTTCTTTGTGGATGGACTTCTTGATGGTTATTTCTGCCTTTTGGCTATTGTGAATAGTTTTACAATGAACATTGGTATACAAGTATCTTTTAGTCCCTGCTTTCCATTTGAGGTTTATATATCTAGGAACAGGATTGCTGGGTCATACGTAATTCTATATTTAACTTCTTGAGGAATTGCCAACTTTTCCACAGCAGCTGCGCCATCTTACATTTCTCTCAGCAGGGCACAAGGACTCCAATTTCTTCACTTCCTCGCCAACACTTACTTTCCATTTCTTTTCTCTTCTTACAATTCCCATCATAATGAGTATGAGGTAGCAGTTCACTGAGGTTTTGATTTGCATCTCCCTGATTGTTAGTGATGTTAAGTACCTTTTTATGAGCTTATTGACCATTTGTATGTCTTTGAAGAAATGTCTGTTCAAGGCCTTTGGCATTTTGAATTGGATTTATTATTTGTTGAGTTCATTTTTTTTTTTTAAATTTTTTTAATGTTTTATTTATTTCTAGGAGAGAGAGAGAGAGAGAGACAGCGTGAGCAGGAGAGGGTCAGAAAGAGAGGAGTCACAGACTCCGAAACAGGCTCCAGGCTCCGAGCTGGCAGTCAGCACAGAGCCCGACGCGGGGCTCAAACCCACGAACCGCGAGATCATGACCTAAGCGAAAGTCGGACGCTTAACCGACTAAGCCACCCAGGCGCCCCTGAGTTCATTTTTTATAAAAATAAATGTGTATTTATACTGTTTTTTAATGTTTATTTTAGAGAGAGAGAGACAGAGCATGAGTGGGGGAGGGGCAGAGAGCAAGGGAGACACAGAATCCAAACCAGGCTCTGTCAGCACAGAGCCCTACATGGGTCTCTAACTCATGAACTGTGAGATCGTGACCTGAGCTGAAGTTGGGTGCTTAACCGACTGAGCCACCCAAGCGCCCCTCATGGTGCATTTTAAATGAAAACTTGGGATGGTGTATGTAATGTGGCCCCTCTGTGACCACACTGCTTGACTCTCTAAGCCCCCTGTCCTCCTTGTGAGAATAACCTCTGGTGAACCTGCCCCTTCTCCCTGGGGCCAGGAGCAATCTAGGATGCTCATGTAATCTGGTTTTTGTAGGCAATGAATATTGGGGAGGCGGCCATAGTAGTAATTTTCACCTTTAATCACCATCGTATTTTGCCATATTTTTGTTAACAGGGATGATAAATGTTTCTTACAGAAATTTATTCTTAACTAAATTGTTTTATTATATTTTTAACTATTTAAAAAAATGTTTTAAGTAGGCTCCACTCCCATTGTAGGTCTCAAACTCATGACCCTGACATCAAGAGTCACATGATCTACCAACTGAGCAAGCCAAGTGCCCCTTAACTGTTATAAATAAAACTTTACCAATTTTTCCTGAACAGCTGAAAGACCAAATTTTATCCTTAAGACATGAAGTAGAAGAGTGCCATTCAGAACTGGAGAAGCTACAGCAAAGACGTGAAAGGGAGAACCAGGAAGGCACGAATCTCATCTCGATGCTGAAGTCCGACATTGACCTCTCTGACCGCGAACGGTCAGTCGCATGCTCCTCTCTGTCACTGCTGCCCCAGTGCCTTCTCCACTGGTGGGATGGGACCCCTGTGCTACATTATTTTTCTCAAGAAAAGCACTGAGTAACATAACAGACACCTGTATACCACCACCTCACTCTGCCAGATCTTCATATTTTTGCCAGATTATAAAATTTGATGTTATAATGTGGCATTAACCTTAGAATTTAATTGCCAAATATCTTACTAGCAAAAATGGGTTTATTCCGGAACAACAGAGAATTGGAGCCAGTACCACCTAGCTAGGGCAACACCACAGGCGAGTCCAGAGAACGGAACAGAGGAGGCTGTTATTGAGAAAAGGGGATTGGGGCTCTCCTCAACAGAAAGTCCATTGGAGTAAACTGGGAGCCAAAAGTTTAGTGGCTTCTCTCTCACTGGCGTGGCTATGAGGGTGTCCCATTGGCTGAGCTGTGACTGTCTCCCATTGGCTGAGCCGTGGCAGTCTCTCATTGGCTGAGTTGGCACTGTCTCACTGGCTGGACTGTTGCCTGGGCAGGAGGAAGCCTTTCTTCCGCCAGCTGGGAGAGTGAAGTAGTATCCTGGTAAGCTGTCCCTCTCCCTGATGGGTCTGCGGTTGGTAGGGCACCAGAGCTCCCCCTGACTCCACTCTAAGTGAGTTTCTCTATTAATTTTCACATTTACCCCTTTTGATCAAGATCTTTCCCTGAAAACATTGCTGATCAAGAGTCAGGTTTTTCACATTTAGTGGTTTTGTCCCTCAGTGCCGGGAAGGACCTTTCCTGACTATCCTGTCCTATGTCAGAAAAGACTGGCTACGGAGCTGGAGGTGACTAGAGCTTAAATCTGTAATAGTTTTCTTTTCCCCTCAGTGTCCTGACTTTTTGCAATAGCATAAAGTAGACAGTTTTTGGTTTTGTTTAGGGGCCATCACTTGCAAGATTTGAAACTTGGGGATTTTAGTGGTCTTTTAGGTGATTCATGTAGGATGTGAGTAGCTGGTGTGCCATAGTAACTAAATCTGGAGTGGGCAGGTTCCCACTCATTCCTGGTCCTTTTAGCTAAAAGAGACAGATCTTAGTTCAGCCTGTTAGAAAAACCATACAGAGTTAAATACTACCCAGGTGGATTCAATACCTAAAGAAAAACCAGAATAGTCTCAAATGACCATTGGAGTATGAACAGCTTCATCAGACTTTTGTGTGCAAGCTTCAATTTTGTTCCAGTCAGTAGCTTAGGAAAAGCTACTGTACTTGCTCAGTGATTTCCAGTGAGTGTTCCAGCATTCTGACAGAAGTTTAAGGGCTTGATTCTCTAGATCCCCTTTAGGATGTTTCCTCTGGGCTAGTTCCATCCAGCGTTTGGCCTGGCCCTCACCAACAAGCGTGTGGACAAATTGATAGAAGTGTGAGGAAGCAGGTTGGTAAGTTTGAGTAACTATGCAAATGACTATGCTAAATAAACCTGTGGGCTCCCAGTGACTTTAGGGAACTCTAACCATGGCTTACAATTTGGCCTTAGACCAGAGAACATAAGAAGCCTGAGGTTTATTTAGATTCTCAGAAGACTTAACTTTAGAGAGGCAGATTTTAATCAGTTCAGGAGAGGAAAGAGGTTCAGAAGAAAAGGGAAGGTTGGCAGAGACAACAGAGGAAAATGGCACTGGGAGCGGGGCCCCAGCACTGGGTGGCTGCCACGTGTCTGCAGAGGACATTGAGGCCGGGGAGCGGGGGGGGGGAGGTAAAGAGGCCTCAGAAGCCATTCTGATTTCTTTCAATTGTTTGCATCATTTTAGAAATAATATTCTGCAAAGAGTGAAACTTAGAATCCTGAAAACATCTGGAAGCCTCAAGATACCTTTTAAAATAGGCATCTAGGTTTTTTTTTCCCTTCTGTTAGGGAGCCATGGCTTTCTAATTCAATTTTGAGGAAAACAAGTTTAAGGAGATCAAAAGTTCCTTATAATGGCCTTGGAAGTTCTAAATTACTTCTGGTTAAGTCCGTTCACTTGGTTATAAATGCACATGTGGAGGGACCATCGTGTTTTTAGCATAAAACCAGCTGGAGTCCTAGTGAGGGGGCACCCCCAAAGCATTTTGATGACTGGGATCTCCAGTCTTAGATGTGTTCTTATAGAGCAGAGAGGCCGACTCCTCAGTAGCACAGTTTCAGCAGGAACAGCCCATTCCAGGAGGGATCAGACCCAAGGCCAGCACAGCCCAGTGCGAGCAGTCAGGGTTGCCAGCGGACACAGTCCCCACAGGAACAGTCCAGGTCCGAGAGGGGCTTGGACCAGAGGCCAGCACATTTTAAGCTAAAACCTTTCTTTGTCCTGCTCGGCTGGTGACATGTAGTCCCCAAGTGCAAGGTGCCTCTTTCCGCTGGGTCTGCAGTTGAGGACAGTTGCTGAGCATGAGAGGTCACCCTTGTGGGCCTCCTGATTCCACTCTGAATGGAGTGGGCACAAGTAGCAGTCTGTCCCTTTGTCTTGTTTGGGACTCTTCTTTAAAAGGTTCCCATTCTGGCACCATACAGATTTTCTCCCTTATGTTATCTCAGAGTATTATTTCTGTTTTTTGTGTAGGTCTGGCCTCGGGTTGAGTTATTTATTGGTTATTTATTGGTACCTTGATGTCAGGAAAGCCTCATTTTTTGTCTGTGCAGTGGACTCAGTATCGCATGTTGGACAGCACAGCTTGCTGTGTCCCATCCACTGCTCTCTGCCCAAAGCCCTGGACCTTTGTCCACAGCAGCACCTGCCCACACGCGTGCCAGTGAGGTTCAGGCAGGCCTTGCTCACTCCTGAGCTGGGTGTGCAGAGAACGTACATCTTTCTCATTCTGTCTAGACCTTGACTTCTCAAGGTTGTATAGTTCTCCAGGAAGAGCTTGTGTGCATTTTCTAGCACTTGTGTGTAGCTGCGTTGTGGCTGCCACTCACGCCTCGGTCACCCTCAGGCACCAAAGCAAGTGCAGGGAGTAGCATGGCCGGCTCTGCACACAGGTCACAGCAGAGAGCAGACAACCCCCGACAAGTGTTTGGCATTGTGAGGGTCATCATGGGGCCTGTGGCCTTCCTGGCCTACACGGGGTACAAGGAGGAGCGGGCGCAGGCTTTGCGGGTGACTCCTGTTTTCTCAGAGCAGAGGTGACACCTGCCGGCCCTGACCCACCGTAATAATGCCTTTTAAAAATCAAGAGCGACAGCTCAAATATCCGGTCATGTTGGTAGAGCTGCCCCCTGGGCTGTGTCGCTCTTGCCTGAGCCGGACAAGGTAGGCGCCGTGGCCGACAGCCTGCTGCCTGCCGTGTGCCTGTTTAGGAGAGGTCTCCGAGACGCTCTGCGGAGGCTTCTTGGGTTGTTCGGAGAGACGCTGAAGGCTGCCGTCACCCTGAAGAGCCGGATCAGTGAACGCGTGGGGCTGTGTCTGGAGGACGAGAGCCCGCCTGATGCGCGGCCCAGCGGCCAGGCCCTGCCTGCAGGTGAGCGCCAGGGCTGCCCCGCCCTGTGCCCACGGCCCCCAGGCCAGGGGCGCTCAGTGCCGTCCTCCCCACCGCTGGGGCCAGGCTGGACGGGCTCCCTATGCCCAAGACAGGGTGCTGCCCCTCGGACCCGGGTGTGCTCGCTCCTCCACAGCGCTGGTCGTGTGGGCTCACGTGCCACACGGGGCATGTGGGTCCCTGTGTTTGCTCGCTTCACAGCACCGGCGCTCGAGGAGACGTGGCCCGAGGCGGCCCTGCTGGAGCTGGACAGAACTTTGCCTGAATGTGTGGAGGGGTCTTCAGAGGCGGAGCTTAGCAGTCACATCTGTGAAAGCTTCTTCATGAGCCCAGAAAGTTCACTGGAGTGTGAACAGCCAGTTAGGAGGATTTACCGGAGCCTCGGCCTGGCGGTGGACAGCCTCCTGGAGCTGGCTCTGGACTCCACCAGGCAGGTGAGCCCTGGCTCTGTGCGCCATCCATCTAAATCAGGTCTGTGACCCTGATTTAGCTCCTGTTAATGCTCCTTGTGTTTTGAGAAGGATGATGGGTTGCATAAATGGGTGATGGAATGGTTTGATGACCTATTCTTGCTGGAAGAGGGTCCTGCAGCCCCCGGTGCTCTGCTGGGTGCTTGCATGCAGGGCGGAGGAGCATCATCACTTCCTGGGGGGGTGGGGTCCGGCCTCATGCTGTTCTCTCCTCCTCTGGGCATGGGGGGACACTCGATTCTGGGTGTGCACCCACCTTCCCCGCACGTCGTTTTGATTTTCTGTGACTACCAACGATACTGTGCTCTGCCTCTTTCCTAAGTGAGAGACTTTTCTGAACCCAGATTCCTGAGGCAGTGGGATTGCTGTGAATGGAGAAGAGCTGAGCGCCCGGTAGATGATGCGATTGGGCCTCTCGCTTCCACTCTGCTTTACCTCCTGCACTATTTTAGTTTCACTCTGAAGATGTGTATGTTTAAGGATTGTCACTAGAAAAGGGAATTGTTTTTGTTAACCTTTTAGAACGTTTTAGACAGTTAGGAAAGACATTAAATATGAATGCATGAAAAGCAGTATAACAATTCTTTTTCCCATTCGACCCAATTAGAAAATAAGCATTTTTAGCCAAGACATTGCCATTCACATCCCAGAAATACTTGAGTAAGTTTTCCCTACTTGGTGAGAGTATGCGAAGAGGCAGCTTATGGCTGTTTTCAAAGGGAAACCAGTAGATTCCCTCAGAGGCTGGTCTAGGGGTGCAGTGAGTGTGGGGGAGGCCCAGGCTAGGTGCCCAGGTGTCTGTCGGCACAGCTGGGCACAGGTGTTTGGATCCAGAGGTTAGTGTGGGCCCTCCAGCCTGTAGCTGGCCTGGGAGCCTCAGAGGGGACAGGAGGGCATGTGTGCCAGAGGAGGGAGGGGAAATGGGGGCCCAGGGCTGAGTCATGAGTGAGTGGCATCCAAAAAGGCCCAGAGGGGTGTCAGGGAGGGAGGGTGGGTCTGCAGGTGGTGAAGATGTGTCAGATCTTCCCACTGTGGTGACCAGCCCCAGGAGAACTTCCTCCCAGCCCTCCCACCCACAGCCTCCCCATCCCCTCCTCCCCCTGTGGAGCACCAGGTGGTCGTCGCTGCCCAGGTCCAGGCTTCAATGGACTTTTGTGATCTCTGAACGTACATTCTCACTAGCAGCTTTATGGTGCACACATGTGGTATCAGCAGTTCTTGAACATGTGAATTTTCTATGCAGCGTTGTAGGTATCTGTGTGGAGAATTTTTCCTTCTTTTTTTTATATTTATTTTGGGGGGGTGGAGGGGAGGGGCAGAGAGAGGAAGGGAGAGAATCCTGCAGGCTCTGTGCTGTCAGTGCAGAGCATGGTGTGGGGCTCAGTCCCACAAACCTGTGATATCATGACCTGAGCCGGGTTCAGGAGTCAGACGCTTAATCCACTGAGCCAGCCAGGCTCCCCTGGAATTTTACTTGATTGAAAATTGTTGAACGAGTTAAGTTTATTTAATGATTGACCTAATATTGAACATCAGAACGGTTTCTTACAGAATATTTGTATTCTACTTCTGCACCAGTAGAATTCTCTTGACATTAATGTAAGCTTTGTTTTGATGTGCTGTTCTGGTTTTCAAATGTGTTTTAACAGCTGGAGGAAGCACGTCAGATTCATTCTCGTTTTGAGAAAGAATTTAGCTGTAAGAACGAGGAGACTGCGCAGGTCGTTAGAAAGCACCAGGAGTTACTGGAGCGCCTGGACGAGGAGAACGCGGCCCGGACGCGGCTGACGCTGGAGCTGCACCAGGCGCAGGGTGAATGCCAGCTGCAGGCGAGGGGTTGCAGGGGTGTGCTGGCTGGAGGCATGAGGGAAGGGGAAGCATTAATGGAAGTGTTCAAAGCAAAACGTGAAACTAAAATAAGACAAATGGCGTGAGGCCTCAGGGACTTGGCCCATAAAACACATTGCATGCGCAGGAGCCTCTTGGGGGCTGTGGCTGTGGGTAGGGCCCAGGCTGGGCGGCTCCTCCCTCTGCACTTAACGCCTCTTCCTGGGCTCACAGCCTCAGAGCACTGCCTCGCGTGGCGAGAAGGGAGCATCATTCCTCCTGTCACAGGCAGTGGGCAGTGGGTGCCCCAAGAGGTGACATTTGTGACCCGCCTGACCCTCACCTTTGTGGCCTCTGGTGCCTGTGGTGTCTCATGTGCTGGGCACTTGGCACGAGGGGTGTGTGCAGCCGTGGGGTGGGGATGTCTTGTACGTGGTTGCTCTCAGGGTGGCCCCTTGTCCGGTGGCCCCTGCTCGTGGTGGGTGCGCTGGCCCAGTGCCGTCCATCTAGGAACGATACCCCGGGCGTGACCGCTCTGCTCTCACGTCCGCGGCTGACACCTCCCTGGGGCCGGGGTGCCCACGTCCGGCCCACCTGCTCCTTTTGCTGCTCCAGCAAGGCCTCAGCAGCGGGTCTCTCCCCGTCTCCTCAGGCCTCATTGAAGGGTTCAAGGTGGAGCAGGCCAGCCTGCAGCAGGCGCTGGGCCAGAAGGAGACGGCCGAGCAGGGCCTCGCTGTCGAGCTGGAGAGCCTGAGACAACAGCTGGAGCGGGCGACCCAGCAGCAGGCCGAGCTGAGGGAGGAGAACTCCGTGCTGTGCACCCAGCAGGAGGCCCTGGCCGCCGAAGCAGGGGAGAGAGAAGCTGGTAAGAAATGCTGGTTCCGTGGCTGGAGACGGCCCGGCAGAGGGGGCAGCGCGCTCGCTCGCGCTCGCAGAGGGCCGTGGAAAGAAGGCAGAGGCCCCTGATCGGGGGCGCTGGCGCCACATCCTCCGCGTTGCTGCTCCGTTGGAGAGGCTCCTGGCCCTGGTGGCCACTTGGGTTCTGAGAGCAGTGTGAGGCCGGAACTGCCTCTGGCAAATGGGGCCACTGAAATGTCACCAGCCTGTTTGAGAGAAACAGCCATGGCTGTGGGAAGACGAGGGCCACTTAAAACTTTTACCCAAGATTTTTAAAAAGTGCCTAATATCAGTCTTAAGAAGGAAAACCTTGTTTTAACAAAAGCTCATTGTGATTTCAGATTATTAGAGGTTTTATACCTTAAATATTTAACATGTGAACAGTCAAAATGTAAGGTGTTCAGGTCACTGAGTCCGCAGGTGGTGGTACCCTCAGGAGCAGACTTGTAAGAACCAGCTCCGTGTGGGCTCAGCCTTCCCCAAAGCACGTATCTCGCACCCTCGCCCACCAGGGACTCCCGCACCACTGGCCCGTCTCTAGGGTTGTGGCTCTCAGACGACGGCTTGTAGCGCACAAGTCCGCTTTGTGCTACAGCCTTGGCCAATTCAGGAAACTCTTTACTCTTCTCCAATTTTAGTTTGTTTCAAATTTTTATTTAAATTCTAGTTAATATACATGGTAAAGTTGGTCTCAGGAGTAGGATTGAGCGGTTTGTCACTTACATACGACACCCAGTGCTCATCCCAGCAAGTGCCCGTCCAGCCCCCCCTCACCCACCCACGTCCCTCCACCACCCCTCGGTTTGTTCCCTGTCGTTTAGAGTCTCTTGTGGCTTGTTTCCCTTTCTTCTCTTTTTCTCTCTCTCCCCCCATGTTCATCTATTTTGTCTCTTACATTCCACATACGAATAAAATCATACAGCATTGGTCTTTCTCTGACTGACTTATTTCACTTAGCATAATCACTCTACTCCTGTCCACGTGGGTGCAAATGGCAAGATTTCATTCTTTTTGATCACCGAGTAATATTCCATCATATATACACACCACATTTTCTTTATCCATTCATCTGTTGACGGACATTTGAGCTCTTTCTATAGTGTGGCTGTTGTTGATAGCGCTGCTCTAACCATCAAGTCTTTTTTTTTTTTTTTTTAAGTAGGCTTCATGCTCAGAATGCAGCCCAGTGTGGGGCTTGAACTCACGACCATGAGATCAAGACTTGAGCTGAGATCACTAGTCAGGTGCTTAACTGACTGAGCTACCCAGGCACCCCTAAACATCGGGTCTTTTCCCCAGTTTTTAATTCTTTTTAATTTCTTTAATTAATAAGCAGTCAGCGTCGCTTTTCGGCCTATTGGCTAAGATCAAGTGCATTAATAAGCAGTCAGCTTTTGGGCTTGTTAATCATTCTCATTTTCTTTGTTCTCCATTTAATTGGTTTCGGGCCTTCTTCCCCCTGTGCTCTCCTGGGCGAGTGCTAGCTTGTGGCCACCACAGCTCGTGTGCTGCCGAGATGCGGCTCTGACGGGCTGTGGTTTCTGTGGGCAGAGTGAGCTGCCATGTGGCCTTGGTTTCCGCCACATGGGGTGTTTCAGAAGGTCTGTCTGCCCTCACTCGGGCCTCATCTTCTTGCTCGGCTTACTATTGATGACATCGATCTGACTACGTGTGTCTCTTCTTTTTCTAATGTTTGATGTAAATTTCCGCTATTGAAAACATAGCCCAGCTTTGTTTTATCTCTTGTATGTCATTTTCTTCTTTTATTTTCAATCTCTTTATACCTTTTATTGTGTTTCTTGTGAACCTGCTACTAATGACATCTGCAGAGCTGATCTGGGGTGTCTTGTGGGGGCGATGCCTGCAGCCGCGGGTCTGCCTCTGCTCCCCCGGTGCGTTTCACCACACTTTCCAGGTCTCTCTGGGTGGAAGGGACCTGCCTCTGCGCCCAGTTCTTCTGCTTTTGCCCCCTCATTCAGCCCAGTGTTCCTGTGCTCCCCAGCACCGACCTGCTGTTCTCTCCTGCTTCCTTCTCTGTGCGTGGCCATGCTGTTGTCGAGTGAGGCTCCATTCTCACACGAGAGGATGTGTGCAAGTGGGCAGGTGTGAGAGCATGCACGTGAGTGTGGGTGTGTGCCTGTGAGTGTCGATCTGAGGGCTTGTCAGTCATTATTTCTTTAAATACGTTTTCTCCTATTTGGAACTTCTCATAGGCTGTGCTTCCCATTGGGGCAGACCTTCCTAGTGCAGGGCCCCTTCCACCTGTTGCCAGGTGTTACTGTCCCGGCCTGCGTGAATGTGGGGCGGCTGGGCCCATACCCTGTCCGTCAAGATCGAGTTTACCACTGTGAGCATGGTGGGAAACTCCAGGGTGCTTGGACTTGAGTGCCGGAGCCTGTGGGAGACACAGACGTGGGACCAGCTAAGTAGCCACGTAGCCCTGTGCTGGGGAACAGCCTCGTCCTTGCTGCCTGAGGCCTGAGTGGCCCTACCTCCGTGAGGTCCATCCCCAGGCGCTCCGCCATGCCTGGGCCTGGCTCTTCCCACACGTGTTCCTGAGGCTGCAGACACAGCTACACCTCTGTGTCCCTGCTCACTCCTCAGAGGCCTGGGCTCCTGTGTGTGGCCACAGCTCCCAGAGCCCCGGCACTCCTTGGCAGAAGAACAGGGTCAGTCTCTGCTCCTTCCCTTTGTCACCAGTGACGTGTTGTACTTCCTGTGCAGCTCACCTTCCACCGTCAGCCCCGCTCCCTCGCATCTCTTACTCTGACCTCCGCTCCTTCCATTCACCCGGCTGCACGATTCTGTGCTCCTATCTGTGGACTCACATGTGTAAATTGTGTGAGGTGCTGCCCACCAGCACAGCACTGCACCTCCTGACCGTCCCTGACTGTGGGCTCCCCCAGGTGCGGTCCAGGGTGTGGCCGCTCAGTTCCGATTCTGTTCTGGGTCCTTGTGAATGCTGACCAGCTTTCTAAGAGCTCTGGAGGCCCTGGCACCTTGTGGAGAAGTTCAGCTCTGCCTCGCCTCTTGGCGCGGTGCCTCTTAGTGTGTGTGAGGCGTGTCTCGTGGCTGCTTTCTGGGCGATGCCATCTGTCTCGTGGGGGCTTTTCTGTCTCCTTTAAGAGTTAGTGCCAAGTTATATGGCAGCCAGGATCTGCTGCAGCTGCGGGGGGCGCAGTCTGCCTGGACGACTGTTACTGGGGGCGCGGGTGGGCTGCAGACAACAGGCACTTGCTCCCTGCAGCCCTGGAGGTGGGGGTCCCTGATGAAGGCCCTGGCACGCCGCCTTCTGATGAGCTCCAGCCTCTTTGCTGTGTCCTCACTTGCAGAAGGGGCGGGCCACTCTCTGAGGTCTCTTTTAGAAAAGCTCAAGTCCCATTCATGAGGTTCAACATCGGAAGTTGGGGGGACACACACGTTCAGACCATCGTAGCTGTGATACAGGAAAGCACAAGTGTTAGAGGCTGTCCAGGACCATGGACACTCCTGGAATCCTGCTGTCTAACTTGGCGTTGCTCTCTCTGAAAATGCTGTGTACTCTATTCCCAGGCATTCCTGTTACCACAGCCCCCGAGGACTCAGGTTTGTAGAAACACACAAGTGGCTGCCGTGTGATATGCATCGTGTCTGCACCAGATTTCCCCAAAGAGGAAAAATACTTCAAAGCTTTTGTGGCAAATTGTTAAAACAAATGCTGACTTTAGTCCTCAGTCCTCAGTATTGATACATGGAAATGGGCAAACGTTTCTCTGGCAGTGCTCTCTGTGGTTACTGAGCCGCAGCGTATGCTGCTTGGGCCCCGGAGGGTGTCAGGGGAGGGGTTCGGGGACCCGAGTAGAGCTTCTGTGCTGGTCCGACTTTGTAGGTGCCCTCAGCGTGGCCCGAACGACCACAGGGCACCTTCCTCTCAGTGCTGCCTACACGGAGCCCACGTGTGCTGGGCCACCCTTCCTGCAGCGTGTGGCCCAGAGCACAGTTGCCGTCTGGGTGCACGGCCGGGCGGCTCTGGCTCCAGGCGCACGAATGATGGTGTTCTAACTGCATGTTTAAGGCTGATTTACCATAATTGCTGACTTATTTGCATGAAGTGGTGATGATACTTTGTCATAAAAGATTGACAAATTTTTATAAAGCAACATGAGTTTTGAAAGGATAAAACTGCAAATGAAAACTTGAAATTAAAATTCAGTTTAGGGATGCTTTGAACACTTCAGGATTCATTAGAGGCAAGTCTTTTTTTTTTTATAGGTACTTTTTAATTTATAGTTTCTACTTGGACTGTGGCCTTAACAAATCCAGTTAACTTTAGATTGGCTTTTGAGTTCTGACGGCTGGACCCTTTCCCTCTGAGACACTGTCCGGCCCTGTGCGCAGACTGAGCATGTGACCTCCGGGCTTGTGTTCCCTCTGATGGAGGTTTTAAGTTACATTTTATTTTTCCACATTGGAGAGTTGTATGTAAAGGAATAATTCCTAGAAAATTAGCTGATATGTCTTTTAGGAATACCAAAATATATTCTTGTCTTTAAAATTTTTTATTCTAGCGAATCTTAATTTAAAAGGCAGTTTTTTGGGTTTTTTGCAGAAGTACTTGACTTTCTTTTCTCAGGGTATTTGGCTGGATGGTGGCTGCATTAGGGTGTGGCCTTGCTGTCTGACAGGACACAGGGTCACGCTGGCTCGCAGGACGTCCCCTCGCTCTCGTGGCGTGGGGTCTGGCAGCCTCAGGGAGCCCGTGCCCCCGGCCCCTGGCCCGGCGTTGGGCTGGGGCTGCCGGGGAGGCTGGACACGGTGTGAGTTCTTGGCTTGGGATGTCCCTGCTGTGCGGGGCAGCTGCCGAGCGAGCTTTGGGTTAGTGCTTTAGCCCACGTACCCGCCCTGAGCTGTGGAGTTTGTCTCCCTGTCTTCTCTGCACTTTCAGCTCTTCGTAGGGAAGTGGAAAGTCTAACCCAGCAGCAGCTGGAGGCCAGGAAGCAGTCTGAGAAGGATCGCGCAGTCCTGCTCTCCCAGATGAAGGTGTTCGAGGCTGAACTGGAGGAGCAGCTCTCTCGGCATGAGGCGTGTGCCAAGCAGGCTGAGGAGCTGTCGGCGCTGAGGCAGCAGATGGCGGCTCTGGACAAGCATCTGCGGAGCCAGCGCCAGTTCATGGACGTAAGCACCTCGGATAAGATGTATTTGTGGCCTTGGAAGTCCTCCTCATGGCGTGAGGTTCCACGAGAGCATTGGGGTTCCCGTACGGTCTTGCTGCTGCTCGGTGCACATTTCCGAGGGGGTCGATGTTTACGATGTGTGACTGAGGAACTCCTCCTGTGCACAGCCCGGGGGGCCTCCAGCAGCCCAGACTGCAGGCCCTGCGTGCCCAGCGCCCCAGTCGGGCCCGCGCCGCGTGCTCCCTGCGACCTTCCTCCTGCCTGCGTTCGCGGGCCTCCCCGCGCTGCGCCTGCGGGGCCGCCTCTTCGTTCCGCTCCGTTTCGCAGAGTGCTGGTGACTCGGGGCCCGTTCCCCGTGCAGTGCCGCGCGCGTGGGAGGGAAGCGCTGGCCGCAGCACCAGAGGCCAGGCGGGCGGGCAGCGTCCGAGCGGGCCGTCCCCTTTCCCGACCTTGTGCAGCCCCCTTCCCTTCGGTGGGAGGTGGGTGCAGCCCGGGCGAGCGGTCCCAGCAGACCCCTCTCCCGACAGGCGCAGGCTGTCGACAGGGAACACGAGCGGGAGGAGTTCCAGCGGGAGATCCAGAGGCTGGAGGAGCAGCTCCGGCAGGCGGCCCGGCCACGGGGCCCCGGCGGCCGTGGCGTAAGTCAGCCTGTCCCACGTTGTGCCTTGGGGTGGCCGTTCTCTACGACGCTATGAAGTTTTACCTTTAGGTTTACTTTTTTGCCTTCCATGTACCTGATGACGACGGCAGCAGGAGCAGCTGGGTGAGGAGGTACGGCATGTCCCCCTTCCTCCGCGTGACCCTCCGGGGGGGGGGGGGCTCGCATGTGGGCTTGTTGCTGCTTGTTTCTCTTGTTTTCTTTTGCTCGGAGCCCGACCTGCCTGCTTCCTTCTGCCTGGGGTGGCTGCAGCTGATTCGCTTCTTCTTTCAAAGCATTACACATATTTTGAGGTGATTGTGGATTCACTTTCAGTCGTGAGCAGTAAGACAAACGTCCCGTGCACCCTCACCCAGCTCCCCGGGTGACCCCCACTGAGGACGTCCCGTGCACCCTCACCCAGCTCCCCGGGTGACCCCCACTGAGGACGTCCCGTGCACCCTCACCCAGCTCCCCGGGTGACCCCCACTGAGGACGTCCCGTGCACCCTCACCCAGCTCCCCGGGTGACCCCCACTGAGGACGTCCCGTGCACCCTCACCCAGCTCCCCGGGTGACCCCCACAGAGGTTGAGCCTGGAACACGACCAGGACATGGATGTGGAGTCCCCTTCTACCCACTAGCCTGTCCGCTGTGTTAGGTGTGTCATTTCTGCAGTTTCACGAATGCACAAGCAGTGTGTGCCCGTGTGGGACGGAGCTTCTTCCCCCAGCCCGTCTCTGGACCCTGCCCAGGGTGCCGCTGTGCCCAGAGTCCCTTCCTTTTATTGCCGAATAGCTTTTCCTTCCCTACTAACAAGATTAACTTTGTTTTCCTAACAGATCTTGGATTATATTCATAGTTTTCTGCGTCTTTATTGAGAGAATGCCCACGTTACAATTTCTGTCTCTCTCGGCTTCTGGGGTAGTCTCCGTGTAGACTGCACATCAGGATTTGTGTTTTCTCAGCTGTGTTCTGTGCTTTCTTATTTGGAAGATGGCTGTTTTAACTATTGTATTTCTCAAGCCGTTTCCTTGTTTTAGGTTGAATTGCTACAAGAAAAGTTGAGAGAGAAATCAGATGGGTTTGATGAACTGGTTATAAAGAAAGAATTGGCGGACAGACAAGTGTTAATCCAGGAAGAGGAAATAAAATGTCTCCAGGAGACAAATGCCAGCTGCCGAAGAGAAGCGACTGAGCTGCGGGAAGAGCTGGAGAAGCAGAGGAACATCGTGAAAGCGTTGCAGCAGGTAGTGGCCCGTGTCGTCCCCGAGGCTCTGTAAGGTCTCGGTGGGGGCTGTCACCAGGGAGCCTGCCGTGTGTGCCCCTGTGAAGACCCGGGATTGGTGGGACACAGGCCGCCCCGCCTGGAGTCCACTGCGACCTCCGGCTTCACGTCCTCCAGAGGGTGCTCCCTCCAGCCTGGCTGGCTGCCAGCCTCTGCTGCACACACTTTGCCTCTGGTCATGGACAGTTGAGGGGGTGGCTGGCACAGCCTGCATCCAGTTCTCAGCAGGCCCTGGGGTGGGGGCGGGTCCCATCGCTCAGACACCATCCACCTGGAGGTGGCGTCACCCCCCACTGGAGACGAGCTCGGTCCCAGGAGACTGTCCCCTTCGGGGGTCGTCCATGAGTCCTGTTGTCCAGATGGAGCCCTTCCTCGGGTTCAGTTGAATTGTTAGAGCCGCTCACCGCTCTCTGGGGCCCGTTCACTCACTGGGTCAGCAGCACGTTGAGAAAGATGCAACTCAGGATGAGCCAGATGAGGAGGCTTAGAGGGTGAGGCTTGGGGACGCGGTCAGGGAACGTCCGTGCCCTTCTCCGGGTGCGCTGCCGTTGGGAGTGTGTGTCTGGCGCAGACATTGTCGTTTGTGTCTGAAGTGGAAGCCACGCCGGTGGCCCTCGGATTGCCAGGCGCCCGGCCCAGCCTCCCGGCCCTCCTTTCCAGCTGCTGGTCCCAGGAGTTGGGCTTCTGACTTTCGTGTATTTCGTGTCACTGGAGGTTAGAAGCTTACGTGAAAAGTGGGTGGTGGTGAGAAACCTTACTTTAGAATCATTGGTTTGATCGTAAGACAAGTCCGGCTGCAAGGAGAAGTTTTTGTCAGGTATGTTCGGTTCTGGAAAGTGCAGATGCCAGCAGTTAACTGGGGTCTGCGTTCTTCCCGAGGACGAGGACCTGGGCCCTTACTGTCTCTGCAGGGGCGCCCAGCACAAGAGGGAGCCCTGCCCCTGCTCTGACCTCTGTGCTGCCCGGGACAGCTGGGCTCCCACGGCTGCACCAGTCCCTGCACCCTCCTCCCTCTGCCGCTGCTCCGCCCGTCTCCCTCCCTCCCTCTCTCCCTCTTCCCTTTACCCCTGCCCCATCCATCTCTCCTTCCTCCCCCCTCTTTTCTCCTCCATATTCCTGCTTCCTCCTCCCATTCTTCCTTCACTCTTGCTTCCTCCGTCTTCCATCTCTCTTCCCTCTGTCCCTGCTCCCTCCCTCTTCCTTCCTCCCTCCTCCCTTCTTCCCTCAGCAAACATTTACTGAGCGTATTAGATGCTACAGGTATAGAAAATGCCTTTTTTCCCTCCACAGAGATGAACTTCTCCACTTAATTTGTTGTGACTGTTTTGTCTGTATTAAATGCTCTTCGAAAGTTTTTTAATGAGACGTTAATGTTCATCGGGCAGATGTGCAGTGCCCTGGTGGGTCATCGCCCTGCTCCTTGGCAAGTTCTCTGCAATTTTTTTTCTGCATAGCCAGCAGTCTGGAGACTGTTTTTGTGCCTTCCTCAGTAATTACTCAGGATGCATTCATCACCGTGGCCTCGTTGGCACACAGGCTGGCTCTCTGGGGTCACATCCTTCACCAGGCAGATCTCTGCTCTGGAGCACAGTCCGTCTATAGGTCGGGTGTCTGATGCATGCAGGGGTGCATAAAGTACGTGCCGTTGTGTGCACGTGGGCCCCAGGAAGAGCTGAGGACACTGTGCACTCAAATCACAGTTTGAGGCCCCCAGTTCCTGAAATGAATCTTTTGTTCTTAAACAGGATAAAGAGACGTTACAGGAGCAGTGTGGAGTGCTGTCCACACTGCAGTCTAAACTCGATGAGGGCAAATGCCCCACCCCTCCTGCAGGCACTTGTCCCGAAGGCCCAGAAATCCAGTTAGAGGCGGTACAAACGGCACTCCGGCAGCGGGAGAGCGAGGCAAGTGTGGGGCCGTCCTCTGCTCAGGGCTGTGCTGGCCTTCACCGCTCCTCGGTGGAGGGGCAGGATGCCCAAATGATCAGGAAGGGGGTCAGGGTCTGTGCCTACTGTATACCTTTGTAATTTTAACATCTTGGTGTGAACTGTAAAATGTTAGTAACTTTTTTGCGTGTACTTTTAATTTAATTTGTAATTTTCATAACTAAGTGAACTAAAATATTAGATACTTTTTAATACTTTCTCTTCTTTTAATGAAAGGTTTTGGACTTAAAAGAACAATTAGGAAAGATTAAGGAGGACTTAGTAAGCAAGGATGAGGAGGTGCTGCACCTGAACTTGAAGTTGGATGCACAGAACAGCCGCGCTGCTGTCAGCCTTCGAGAACTGCAAGAGGAGAATGCCAGCTTGAGGGTGAGCCCGGAAGGCCCACCCAGACACCACACCTCATGTCTGTGCCTGGGCCGCCGCCTGCCGGGGGGACCGCCAACCACGGGTCCCAGACACTGGACACCGAGGACAGTGGGGACAGTCCACCTCCACCGGCAGGGGGTTTCAGGAGGTGCCTGCCTTCTGCTCTGAGGGCAGAGCCGGGGCACCTCCAGAAAGTGCACGGGGGTGCGGAGCCCAGGGCCGCCCGGACCCCAGTCCCTCTGGGACTGGTCTGCGTCCTGAGAGCCAGGCTTTTATTTATTTTTTAATTTTTTTTAATGTTTTTTAAATTTATTTCTGAGAGAGAGAGATAGGCACCGTGAGCAGGGGAGGGTCAGAGAGAGAGGGAGACAGAATCTGAAACAGGCTCCAGGCTCTGAGCTGTCGGCACAGAGCCTGACGCGGGGCTCGAACCCACGAACCGTGAGATCATGACCTGAGTCGAAGTCGGACGCCTAACCGACTGAGCCCCTCAGGTGCCCTGCACCAGGCTTTTGAAGGACTGCAACCAGAGTCCTGCGACAGGAGGGGTGCACTCGTCTGATGGCAGAGGCTGTCAGGAGGAAGTAAATGTTCACCATTTACTCCATTTGGGTCATTACAGGGTCCTCCGATTTTGAAGAGGTGATTTTTAGTAAGTAGTTGCTCAGTGTTAATCCTTCCTATGAGCAGAATGAAAAAATTGTTCTTTTTTAATTTAATTTTTTTAAAATTCTGCTTTTAAATCTTCTATTACCTTAATGTAATTGTGCTTCTGAGGAGACTCAGGGTGTAAAGGAAGCAGACTGTGACATGTCGTGTGCAAAGCCCTTGCCTGTGGCACCCCCGGCTGCTGTTGGATGCGTCACCCTCACTGGCAGTGTCACTTGACACTGGGGACGATGGGGTTTGAGGCCAGTGGCAGGCATCAGGCGTCCTTCAGTGGGAATTCCTCCTTAATCAGTAGTAAACAGGAAACAAATAGAAAACCACTTTCAAATTGAGTGTTAGTATTTAAAACCACGGGTTTGTTAGGGTACCGCACGTCTGCCAGGTCAGGGGACTGCTTCCCATAGTCACGTTTTATTGGTGTCACTGTGATTATTTCTTTTTTTTTTAAATTTTTTTTTTTTTTTAATGTTTTATTTATTTCTAGGAGAGAGAGAGACAGCGTGAGCAGGGGAGGGTCAGAGAGAGAGGGAGTCACAGACTGAAACAGGCTCCAGGCTCTGAGCTGGCAGTCAGCACAGAGCCTGACGCGGGGCCCGAACCCACGAACCGCGAGATCATGACCTAAGCGAAAGTCGGACGCTTAACCGACTAAGCCACCCAGGCGCCCCTCACTGTGATTATTTCTATAGGCATTTCTGCAGAACAAGGAAAAGGAGATCATGTGTGTGAGTGAGCAGCTCGAGGCGCAGCTGGCTGGGATGGGAGGCAGCGCTTTCAGTGAGGTAGGCCTTTCCAGGCGCCCTGAGAACCCACACACCCCCTTGGGTGGGTGGCACCCAGGCCTTGCCAGTTCTGCGGTGTCCCGCCCGGAAAGGGACCACCTCCCCGGGAACGGGGAGCATCACACAAGTTGCAGGAGACCAGGCACGTGTGCTCTTGGCCTGAGTGTCCACCCTTGTCCTCTGTTCTTGGCCTGCGTGGTCTTCCTTCTTTGGGCACCTGCTGCCTCCCTCTGTGACCACCGGCCGCAGCTGCACTGCGTCCCAGAGGGCTTGCCTCCAATTCACTGCTTTACCCTTTAAAGTCACCTGCATGTGCTGGGTTATAATATATATATATTTCAAGTTTATTTACTTATTCTGAGAGAGTGAGTGAGCAGGGAAGGGTCAGAGAGAGAGAGAGAGAGAGAGAGAATCCTAGGCAGGCACCGCACTGTCAGCACGGAACCCATCATGGGGCTCAAACCTATGAACTGTGAGATCATGGATGGCCTGGAAGTCAAGAGTTGGACACTTAATCACCTGAGTCACGCAGGTGCCCTGAGTTTATATTTCAGGTTCTCTGTTTGTGTTGTGATTGTGGCTGGTTTGTACCTTGTGTCTGTTCATCTCCGGTGTTTAGTTGAGTGAATAAGCCCACATTGTGTGCCGTCAGAATCACTCTTGAAACTCCCTTCAGTTGTCTGTTAGGGGAGACAAGAGCCTGCGTGGTGCCCAGCGCAGGGTCAAGCAGGCCGGCTGTGAGGGTCACGCCTCACCCAGGACTCCTTCGGCCACCTGTACAGTTCACGGTGCAGATTTCAACGTGGTGGATGCCTGTGTGATGGATAGCTCATATCCCCTAAACCAAAACCAAAAATTAACCTGTTTTGTTACTTTTGTTTTAGTATTGGCCAGATATGCATTTGAGTTTAAAGGAATTAAGTGGTACTACTAGTGAAACCAAGAATTGTTGTGAAACTGTCAGCTTTTAGGAAGCAAACATTAGACAATAAGAAATTGGCTGAAGATCATTAACTGGAGCATGCATGCCTTAGTCGCTAACAGAGTTTGGGGCTATACTGACATAGATCTCAATCCGGTTTTCCACCTGGCAAGATACTTAACACCTATACTTCAATTGTCTTATCTTCAAAGTAGCAATAATAACATTTCTTACCTCAAAATGTTGAGGATGACGTCACCCAGCATAAGCGGAAGCATTCTCCGAGGTCTAGGGGGGGTCACATCACTGGGCTCGGAGCAGTCGTGGTGGCCGTGACGGCCTCACAGCTCCATACGTGCCCCTGGCTCGGTCCTGCTCTTTAGTAATGCCAGTCCCCAAGCCTGATTTTCTTAATTTGTTCTTCTTCCAGTGTTAGAACCACACCTAAAATCTAAAATCTCCCGGGGCTCCTGGGTGGCTCAGTCGGTTAAGCGTCCGGCTTCAGCTCAGGTCATGATCTCATGGTTCGTGGGTTCAAGCCCCACATCGGGCTCTGTGCTGACAGCTCAGAGCCTGGAGCTGCTTCAGATTCTGTGTCTCCCTCTCTCTCTCTGCCCCTTCCCTGCTCATGCTCTGTCTCTCAAAAAATAAAATAAATGCTAAAATAAATAAATAAATGAATAAAATCTAAACTCTCCCTTTAGTAAAAACCAAGCAAATCAATGTTATGTAAATGTTAATAAATACACGTTAAGGGTGGTGACAACATTAGTGGGAGGTGCCACAAAGAGGCGGCCAGGAGAGCTCTCTCCGCCCATAGCAGCAATGGCACAGAGCGAGAGGAAGAGTCTGAACAAGAGGCAAAGCAGCCACGGTGGCTGTTCCTTCACGAGTTCTTCAGTAACCGTGACGTGGTGGGAGTGCTCTTCCTCTAGCGCTTCGGTAACCCTGATGTGGTGGGAGTGCAGCTTTCAGGTGTTTTCAGATATTAAAGGTCATTTGTTGGTTTGGTGCCATAGCTCTGTGGTTGCTCCTGAACCTCCGGTGAAAGGAGGGGAGATTCTGAAGATGGACTGTTTCATTCGTCTCTGAATGTGCTTCTTCCTCAGGTTCCCTTTGACAGAAGCTCCGAGATAGAGGAGCTGAGATCTGTCATCGAGAATTTGCGAGAGAACCAACAGCGACTGCAGAAAGATAAGGCAGAGGAGATGGAGCAGCTCCACGAAGTCATCGAGAGGCTGCAGAGAGAGCTCTCCCTCGGGGGCCCCGCGCCGCTCGGAGCCCAGGTCAGCGAGCTGCCGGGCGTCCCCACGGCCGGACCCGAGGCGCTGGTGGCGTTGGCAGCGGGGGCCCCGGGGGCCCCGGGCCGCCTGCTCTCGGAGCAGGAGCGCAGGCATGGCCAGGCCCTGGAGGCCCTGCAGCGGCGCCTGCAGGCCGCGGAGGAGGCCGCTGCACGGCGGCTGGCCGAGCTGGAGCGCAGCACAGCCCTCAGGGAGGCTGAGGTCCAGGGCATGGCCTCCCAGATCCGAGCTTTTGAAGACACCCTAAAAGCAAAGGAAGCGAAGATTGCCGAGAGGGATTTAGAAATCGACGCTCTGAAGCAGCAGAAACTGGCCCACTCCGCCGAGCTGGAGACCATCCTGTCCGCCTTCTCCCGCTTCCGCCGCGCCCTGGAGCAGCAGCCCCTGGCTGCTGAGGACGAGCCCCCGGAGCTGCAGCGGCTCCGAGCGCAGTGCGTCCGCCTCAGCCGCCAGCTCCAGGTGCTGAACCAGCGGTTCCTGAGGTGCCAGAAGGAGCTGGACAAACAGCAGGCGCGCGGGGCCCGCCTGCACCCTGGTGCAGAGGGCAGCTCCCAGGCACAGGGCCCCGGGGGTGAAGGGGCCTCCGGTGACAAGGACCCAGGGCAGGATTTGGGCAGCAGGCAGCTGGGCACAGCCCCCAACAGCCACGTCGGAGACCCACAGGTGGGCCATTCCTCCCTGCTGGCCTGCAGGAGGGGCAGCCTCTCTGCGTAGGGGGCTGCAGCTGGGGTGTGGGGGACGGGGAGCAGGGGGGCACGGGGGGTACAGGGGCACACTGGGGGAGCCGGGGCACATGTGGGGGAACGGGTACACACGGGTACAGGGGTGCACATGGTGTACTAGGGGAGCAGGGGCACACATGGAGGTACAGGGGTGCACTGGGGGAGCTGGGGCACATGTGGGGGTGCAGGGGTGCACTGGGGGAGTGGGGGCACACATGGGGGTACAGAGGTGCACTGGGGGCGCGGGGTTGTGTACAGAGGCACACTGGGGGAGTGGGGGCATACACGGGCACAGAGGTGTACTGGGGGAGCAGGGGCACACATGGGGGTACAGGGGTGCACTGGGGGAGTGAGTTTGTGTACGTGGGTGCACTGGGGGAGCTGGGGCGCGTGTGGGGGTACAGGGGTGTGCTGGGGAAGTGGGGGCCACACATGGGGGTACAGGGGTGTGCTGGGGGAGCAGAGGGTGCACACAGGGGTGCACTGGGGGTTGGGGGGTGCACAGGGGGAGCCAGGGAGCACTTGGTGCCTGCAGGAGGCCTTGACCCAGGCCACAGAGCACCGGGGCTAGACCACAGGGGAGTGGGAGTTTTCTCCAGGAGGACCGACTCTTCTTCCTCCTCTTTAAGTCTCAGTGACAGTCCTTTCTGTGCTAGGCAGCGGAGTAGAGTTCCCAGGGTGCTCCTGGTGCCGTAGAGAAAGGAGTCTGAAGCTCATAGCTCCTGGGTGCATTTAAAGTCCATAGAACCTCGGGTCAGAACACGCATACGCAGTGAAAACTGACCAGGGGCTTCACTGTTTCATACAGGTTTAATCTTAATATCGTTGGGAGTTATGGAAGGTTTTCAGAGTCCTGCGATAGGGAACATTCGATGATGTAGAGATGGCTTTGTGTTATGCAGGCTCCCTAGATTTTCCTCTCTGGATTCGATTCTATTCAGATGCTTTTTTTTTTTTTTAAGTTTTTTATTTATTTTGAGAGAGAGAGTGCAAGCAGAGGAGAGGGGCAGAGAGGGAGAGGGGATCTCAACCAGGCTTCATCTCAGCATAGACCCCGACATGGGGCTTGATCCCACAAACTGTGGCATCACAAGCCTGGTGCTCAGCCGACTGAGCCACCCTGGAGCCCCTCAGTTGCTCTGTTTTTTAACAGTCCTCTCCTGTGTAAAGCTTCCGAAGCTCATTTCTTCTGAGGACATGCTCCAGTTTGGTTCTGAGAACTCCGGACTCACAGCCTCTGCTGCAGGCCATTTGCAGCCTGTGTGGAGCAGTTCCCCTTGGCCCACGCGTTGTGGGGCTGCCTGGCTGGGCCCGTGTCATGGCAGCCACAGGCAGCGGGCACACCCTGGCCTGCTGTGGCATTGAGCAGGCAGCGTGTGCAGGATCTCCTCTGGTCTCATGTTCATGATGTAGGAGACGGGCACTTGCTGATGCCACCTGCGAACCTTCCTTCAGGGCCCTGCTGGCCGACATGCCAGCCCCAGAGCTCCGGGAAGTCCGAGGCGGCACAGCGACCATGCTCAGTGTGCATCGTTCTTTCTGGTCCTTTTAGCTTTACCTTCACGAGTGTCATCCTTGTTTTCTCTGCTTGTTGCAGACCGCAGTTAACAGTGATCTGCAGCCCGCCAAAGCCCCGGTGACATCAGACCATCCAGGTCTGCACGGACAAGACTGTGTGACATCAGTGCTCGCAGCCTGCCAGAGACAGCTGGAGTCTGAGCTGTTCTTGATGAAGAGCGAAATGCACTTGAGAATAGACGACCGTGGCAAAGTGCCAGGAAGGATGAAGGTACCTGGGCCCACAGCATGCAGTGCTGAGCAGGCAGAGACCCGTGTCCCATAGCAGCAGCTCTTGCGCGTTCTTGTAGTGGTCTCTTCAGATCTGTTTTGCAATTTCCTTTTTTTTTTTTTTTAGGTGTTCTCTAGAAATGCACATTTCCCATTTGGTCTAGCCAAATGAGCAGTTGGTTACCGCTCCTTAAGTGATACCAGTATACCAGTAGGTTTTAACTGGACTCTAAGGCCTGTCCCTAGCATTTTTCATGTGAGGACAGCTGCTCTGTGGCCCAAGGCCTTTATCACCAGTGTCTGTTACTTCGAAAGCTCATATTTATTTTTTTATTTTTTTAATGTTTTGTTTATTTCTGAGAGAGAGAGACAGAGTGAACAGGGGAGGGTCAGAGAGAGAGGGAGACACAGAATCTGTAGCAGGCTCTAGGCTCTGAGCCAGCTGTCAGCACAGAGCCCGACGCGGGGCTCGAACCCACGAACCGTGAGACCATGACCTGAGCCGAAGTCAGACACTTAACCGACTGAGCCACCCAGCCTCCCCTCAAATTTATTTTTTGAAGCTTAAGGTTTTTCCTTGCATATTTTGACTTGTGCTTCTGGCAGAGAAGAGCACAGTGTGAACACGCTCGTCACCATGGCAGAAACAACATGAGAGCTGACCTCTCTGTCCTGGGTTGGGGGCTGCATGTTGGCCCATCGAGTGTTGTAGGGTTGAGATGTTCTGAAAGTCAGAAGTGGCTGGTTTGGAGGTTTCCCTAAGGGCAGTGGCAGAGTGCGCTTAGAGCCTGGCTCTGGAGCCTGCCGGTAGAGACGGTGCACAGTTCAGCAGGATGTTCCAGCTCTACTGGAGAACTTTCCAGAGTCCCGGGAACTCTCCTGTGACGGGCCACGTGCACCATGTCCCTGTGGTAAAGTCTCCAGGTTCTGAATTGTGCAGGTTGAGGCCCAGGGACTTCAGGCTCATGCACCGTGCCTGCGGTTTTGATTGAAGATGCCTGAATCTGGTTTTATATGTTCATCAAATCTCCACAGGAAGTTTAATTCTATTTGCAGAGGACTTTTTCCTCTAACTCTCTGTAGCAAATGTATCTCCATGCCCTTGTGACAACAACATTTGTTTGAATTTTTAAGAGAGAGCTTAGCCCTCTGATTATGAGCTGGTTGCAAAATTCTTGAAAGTTACACATGTTCAAGGAAATTCCAAATTTGTTCCATAAATCACTATTTTATATTTTCTTTTTCTTTTTTTTTTTAAGTTTTTATTCAAGTAATCTCTACCCAGTGTAGCCCTTAAACTCACTATCTTGAGATCAAGAGTCCTACTCTCTTCTGGGGCGCCTGGGTGGCTCCGTCAGTTAAGCATCCAGCTTCAGCTCAGGTCATGATCTTGAGGTTCGTGGGTTTGATGCCCACATCAGGCTCTGTGCCAACACCTCAGAGCCTGGAGCTGCTTCGGATTCCGTGTCTCCCTTTCTCTCTGCCCCTCCCCCATTTGCACTCTGTCTCTCTCTCTCTCAAAAATCGATAAATGTTAAAAAATAAATAAATAAAAAGAATCACATCCTTTTCTGACTGAGCCAGCCCTGTGCTCCACAGTTTTATATTTTTTAATGTTTGCATGTAGAACCAACCTTCCAGCCCTTTTTTTCCCTCAAAAAAATAAATGCTTATGTGCTCATTAAATTACCACAGAAATAGGTTATGACAGTTGCCTTGTGTGTGTGTGTGTTAAAATACATATAATGTAAGAGTTACAACCCTGAGTTCAACAGTCGCACGCTCCACTGACTGAGCCAGCCAGGCACCCCACATCCTAACCATTTTTAAATGTACAGTTCAGTGATTCTGCATACATTCTGATGTTGTGTAACTATCCACCTCCACACCTCTTGTCGTTTTGTAAAACTGAAACTCTGTACCTTTTAAACAGTAAGTCCCCATCGCCCCACTTCCCAGCCCCTGGCAACCTCTGTTTGACTCTCTGTGATGTTGTTTATTCTAAATATTTCATGAAGTGGATCGTATAGTCTTTCTTTTTCTTGCCTAATTACTCTGGTTAGAACATCCAGTACTGTGTTGAAGAGACATGGTGAAAGCAGACATTCTTGCCTTATTCCTGATTTTAGAGGAAAATCTTTCAGCCCAGTACCATTGAGTATGATGTACGCTGTGTCTTTTTTCTGTGTGGTTTTTTATTATGTTAAAGTAGTTTCCTTCTAGTATGTTGAATATCTTTATCATTTAACTTTGTCAAATGCATTTTCTGTATCAGCTGAAATGATCATGTGATCTTTTTCTCCTTAATTTTGTTATTAAAATAACATATTACATGTAACATATATTATAATAATACATGTCACATGTATTACATGTAACATATAATAATACATGTCACATGTATTACATGTATATATAACATATTACAATAATCTATATTAACAAATACAATGTATTACATAGATTGGTTTTCTTATGTTAAACTATACTTCCCTTCCAGGAATAAATGCCACTTGGTTACGCTGTATAATCTCTTTAATATACTGTTGAATTTGATTTGCTAGTCTTTTGGGATTTTTGCATCAATGTTCATAAGGGATATTGGTCTGTAGTTTTCTTTTTTTAGTGCCTTTTTCTCTCTTTAGTAGCAAGATAACACTGGCCTTGTTCAGTGAGTTGGGAGGCAATTCTCTTTGCTTCCTTCATATAAGACACTGAAGAGAATCAGTATAATATCTTCCTTAAATGTGTGGTAGGATTTACCAGTGAACTCATTTGGATTCTTCATATTTTTGGAAAAGTTTGAGGAAGGATTGATATTCTGTCTTAAATGTTTGATAGAATTCACCAGTAAGTCATCAGGTCTAGGGCTTCGTTTTGTTGGGAGATTTTATTTACTTTTTATTTTCCTCCTTTATCTCTTAGGTCCTTTCTTGGTTTAAGTTTATTTTGTCTGATCCTGTTCTCTTGTGGTTCCTATTTGCATGAAATAACCTTTTCCATCCTTTCACTTTTCAATGTATTTGTGGGCTTCTTGTAGCCAGCACATGGTTGGATCATGTGTTTTTATCCATTCTGCTATTCTCTGTCTTTGACTGGAGAAATTAATCCATTTACATTTAAAGTAATTACTGATAAGGAGTCATATACTTTTGTCATTTTGCTGTGTGTTTTCTATATGCCTTACTGTATTTTTTCCTGATTTCCTGCAGTACTGTATTATTCTCTTGTGTTCAGTTGATATTTTATAGTGAAATGCTCAAATTCCTTTCTCATTTCTCTTTGAGTATGTTCTATAGCTGTTTTCTTTGTGGTTATGTTAGGGATTACATCTAGCATCTAGCATTATAACACTCTGGTTTGAATTTATACCAGCTTAACTTTAATAACATATCAAAGCTCTGTTCCTTTATAGCTCTGCCCCTATACCATTTGGGTTTTGATGTCACAAGTACATTTTTATACTTGTGTGCCTCAAAACATAAAGTGAGTGGTTTTTAAAAATTTTTTATTATTTATTTTTTACAATTTATTTTTGAGAGACAGAGCGCAAGTTGGGGGGGGGGGGCGGGAGCCAGAGAGAGAGGGAGACACAGAATCTGAAGCAGGCTTCAGGCTCTGAGCCGTCAGCGCAGAGCCTGATGTGGGGCTCAAACCCACGAACCATGAGACCATGACCTGAGCTGAATTTGGACTCTAAACAGACTGAGCCACCCAGGCGCCGATTTTTATTTTTATTTTGTTTTTAAATTTTTGCATCCCTAATTTTTAATTTTTATTTTAGAGAGAGAGAGCACATGCAAGCCGGGGACAGGGTGAGAAGGAGAGACAGAGACAGAAACAGAATCTCAAGCAGCCTGTGCCTGATGCATGGCTCAATCTCATGGCCCTGGGATCATGACCTGAGCTGAAATCAAGAGTTGGACGTTCAACCGACTGAGCCAACCAGGCGCCTCCTAATGATTGTTTTAAATCCATTAATCTCAAGTTATATAGAAAAAATGTGGAGTTACAAACTAAAGCTAACAACACTAACTTTTAGACTAATAGTTTTTTTAAATATACCTTTTATTATTTATTTAAAATTTATAAATTTTTTAGCAGGAGCAAGAGCATGCGCATGTGTGAGCTGGGGTGGGGTAGGTAGAGAGAGAGAGAAAGAATTCCAAGCAGGCTGTGTTCGGTCCATGCTGAACCCGAAATGGGTCTCTATCTCATGAACTGAACTGTGAGATCATGACCTGAAATCAAGAGTTGGACGCTTAATCAACTGAGCCACTCAGACTCATACATAAAAAACATGTATTTTAAAATTTTTTTTTAATGTTTTATTTATTTCTAGGAGAGAGAGAGAGAGAGAGAGACAGTCAGTGTGAGCAGGGGAGGGTCAGAGAGAGAGGGAGATACAGACTCTGAAACAGGCTCCAGGCTCTGAGCCAGCAGTCAGCACAGAGCCCGACGCGGGGCTCGAACCCACGAACCGCGAGATCATGACCTAAGCGAAAGTCGGACACTTAACCGACTAAGCCACCCAGGCGCCCCAAAAAAACTTGTATTTTTAAAATTGTGATGAAAACAAAGTGTGGAGTTGCAAAGCGCTATTACTACAGAACAAACACTTTTAGTAATTCAAGCATCATTAGTCTTCTATTATCAGGTATACAATGTAATAGACTAGCTTTTGTTATACTATGCATGCACCTAACCTCTACTGAGATCTTTATTTTGCCACATGACTTTGAGTTACTGTCTAGTGACCTTTTATTTCACCCTGTAGGACTCCCTGGAGCATTTCCTGCAGTGCAGGAGTAGTGGTCACAAACTCCTTTAGCTTTTGTTTATCTGGGACTATGTTAATTTCTTCCCCACTCTTAAATGACAGTTTTGCTTCATATTGGATTTTTAGTTGACAGATTTTTTTTTTTTTTACCACTTGAATATATTGATGCACTGTCCTCTGATCTACAAACTTTATGGTGAGAAATCTGTGGGTGATGTTATTGAGGGTACTTGTATGTGACAAGTCATTTCTCTCTGCTTTCAAGATTCTCTGTTAGTGCCTTTGGCTTTTATATATTTGATTATAGTTGTCTTGGTATGTGTCTCTTTGAGTTCTTCATATTTGGAGTTTCTTGAGTTTGTTTGATGTTTATATTCATGTCTTTCATCAATTCTGGGAAGTTTTCAATCATTATGTTCTCAAATAGTCTCTCCGCTGCCTCTTCCTCTTCTGGGACTCCCACAATGCGTATGTTGATAGGCTTGCTGGTGTGCCAAGAGTCTCAGTCTGTATTCACCTTTCTCAATCTTTTTTTTCTCTCAGTTGCCATCAATCGTTTCCATTATTTTGAGAGTGTACAAGGAGGGGAGGAGCAGATAGAGAGAGGGAGAGAGAGAACCCCAAGCAGGCTCCTTGCCGACAGCAGAGAGCCTGATGCAGGACTCGAACCCACAGTGAGATCATGACCTGAGCTGAAATCAAGAGTCACATGCTTGAATGACTGAGCCCCCAGGCGCCTTGTATTTGTTTTCATTTTTTAAAATTGTTGTATGCTGTCTTTGTGTTGAGGATCAGCTTGAGGTGCACACTTCAGGCCTTCTCAGACCTTTTCTTAGCCTGCACCTTTACCTGGGCCTGTGTAATTTTCTCTAATATAATTTCCTCTGATTTCCTCCATAAGTGCGGTTGTTTTTGAATATTCTAGTTTTTAATTTCTCCCCAAAAAGAAAACAGAGAAAAATGCTGTGGTAGGAAAAAAGGGCATCAGCCCTTTAAGTCTCCTGGAGGTCACTTGAGCCGGAGGGGAGGGGCTGCAGCAATGGCCCCCACCTGTTTGCATCTTCCAGATCAGCAGCAGCGGTGGGAGCACAGACCCCTCATGTTTGTGGCTCAGCCCCTGCCCACCGTGGCTCCCACACACCTGTGTAAGCTGCTCCGGGAGCCGGTGCGCGGCTGCCTGCTGAGGGGCTGGGTCAGGAGATGTGTAGCTGCTGCTGTGCTGAGAGCTGCTGTTTGCCTCCAGCCTTCCCCTGGAAGTTGCAATCCTCGGACAGACTCCGGAGTCACAAGGTGCTGCCAGTGCAGCTGGAGCCTAGGCAGGAGACGGACTCCCAGAGTCCTCTGCTGCATTCATTTTGTAGGCAGAGTTCTCCACCTTGATTCTTTTATGGAATTAAAAAAGCTTGAAATCTCAAGAGTTGGAAGGACCCAAGGGCTTCATCATGGAGGCTCATTCTTAATTGCTCAGAAAGCCTCTGAAATTGGCCGATAAATACCAGACTGTGTAATTCAGTTGTTTTACTTTATACATGTTCTTTTTTATGTGCAGAATAAGGAAAAACTACTGGAAGATTGTCAGCTGCAGAAAGTTGGTCTCATAAGTCAGGTGAAAGAGCTTCAAGAAAAGTTGAACCGTCTGGTGTCTTCTGTGAACTTCCAAAACAGCGAGACAGAGGATTTCAGATTTCAGCAGCCATTGGCATCTTTACATGCTTCAGAAAATAGTTTGAGTGACAGTTCCAATAATGGTGAAGAACCTGACAAATTGCCTCTCGTTGATGTATTGCATGTTGATAAAAACACGTGTGATCTGAGTGACCTCAGTGGAAAGCAGGATTCATTGATAAGAAAGGAGATGCCAGATGTTTCCGTGGGAGATGAGGTAGATTTGCAGGATGGATCCCTTGGTTTACAGTCGAGCTTGCACAGTGGCTCCCATGACCTAATGCACAGCCAGGAGCCCAGTCCCGTGAAGGCTGCACTCAGGGCAATGGACCTGTCTTCCTGGAGCTCACCTGAGGTTGTCAGGAAGGACTCGACCCTTGAGCCTGCACCCAGCTTGCCCCTGACACCCTGCTCAGACACCCTGAGCTTGGATGCCTCTGTGCGGGACAGGACAGGCGCCTCGCTTCAGGCTGACCAGTCGGACCTGCTTTGGTACCTGGGTGGTTCCGCAGCAGGGAAGGCCTCCAGGTGGGCAGAGTCTCCATCGGCTGCAGACAGGGCTCCCTCCGCTGACCACCGCGTGCGGCAGACGGCCATGGTACGTGTTCATCCCCGGGTGGTGCCCCGGGTCAGCATCTGTGGGATGCCTAGGGCCCCAGGGTGTTCCCATGGGAATGTGTCTGCAGGCCCCACACTTTCATAGCTGCAGCCATTGTTGGTTCATCTCCTGACGGGGCCTGTGGGCCAGGTGTGGGTTTGCACCCAACAGTCCCCTGGTCAGCCGTGTGTAGGGACGGTCGGCTTTCTGCAGCACCAACCACAGTCCATTGTAATGTGAATAATTAGGACTCCGGTTGTTCTTACAAACATGTACTGTGCATCAGCCCTACCCAGACACTCCCGCCAGGCCTGCGCGCTCACTAGTGTGGACTTGAGAAGTACAGTCGTAAACTCGCCTTCCTGTGTGGTTTTTGTTCAGTTTCTTTGACTAGAATCTGTTTCCTGGATTTATTTTGAGTTGTATTTCATATTTAATAGGTTCTACATATAATGCTAATTAATTTCAAAAACAACTATTTTTGATTTAGATCATATTTTTTCTTCTGACGTAATTTGAGATTTTGCATATCCTGGATTAGATAAAATAAAAAGCAAGTGACAGAGGACGTGTTACTTGAGATGCACGTATATTACCATTCACACTACCACAAAAATTACTTTTAATCTGAAATATTTGCTGGGGGCTTCTTTAAAATATTTCTGGAGAACCATGGGTGGGTTTGTTTAAATACTTCAAAACCCTTGATTTCATTATGTCCATAAATGTGAAACACTTGTTGGGTTTCGTATGGGAAAATGATAAATTCAGGCCTTGTTTCCCTCTGACCAGTTCAGCTCCCTGATGTAATAAGTTGTTATTTGACGACTATTTAAAACCCTACCTATTTTGAACAGGAGAAAGATGTTGAAGATTTTATCGTAACATCTCTTGATGCTCAAGAAAAGCCCAGATCCTCTCCTCTTGGGTTCGAAGGAAAAAACAGCAGAAGTGATAACGGTGAGTTGATCTTTTTGTTTTTAACTCTTCAGGTTTCAGGGAACAGAGCAGCACAGAGGCCCGCAGCTTGGTGTTCACCACCCTTGCCTGTGCACAATGGCTGTGCCTGCCTGCGTCTCCGTTCTCTGTGCTCACTGGCACCTAAAAGCCTGATGTCGCACTACTCGGGAAAGCTCGACTGTGCGCCTCATGGAGTCCGGTCCCTGCACTCAGCTCCCAGATGTCCGCACTGGCTCGCGGCAGTGCCTCGACCTTAAATCTTACTTGGATTTTCCCACTTGTCTCACTGGCGCCCTGCACGGAGGGAGGCTGTGCCGTATGGGCCCCGAGAGGGAGACCCTCACATTTCCAGCAGTTGCTGCACCTTCCTTTGGATGTTTGTAGCAGGGTCGTCAGCATGGGGGTCCTTGAGAGCGCACACAGTGACGCTGAGCTCTTCCTGGGCATCACGGCAGAAGACGTACGGCACGGGGTGGGCCCCTTGGTAGCTGTGTCTGCCAGATTTTATTCTGAGTTTTCCTTTTACATTGCTCGGTGTCGGGGAGCAGGGACGTACTTGGAGACCATGTCTGTGGTCTCTTGTTTCTCAGACTTGGACCCACTGGCGTTAGCCTCCAGTAATGATTGCTGCCTGCGTCATCATTAGGATGGCTGCCTGCTGGTGACTCTAACCTTGTAATTTCTTCTATGATTGTTGGCTTTTTATAAGTCCATCACCACAGGAGGGGTTTCAGCATTTTAAAAAAAGTCTTCGTGGAGTTAATTCAGTGCTTTTGAAAACTAGACCATAGTAAAGTACAGTTTGTGGGCACTTTGGCCTGTGCAGAACAGGGCCGGCAACGTTTTCATTTCAGTTTTGAGTTATTCCATGTAGTAAGTGCCTGGAGTGGTTCCCCACCGTGCCTTCCAGCCTCCCCACTCCCCACTGTTCCCTGAGGATGCCCACATTCAGCTTCCAGAAATTTGTCCTGATATGTATTTCTAAGTCATATTTGGTAGTTACAGAACATGTTTAAGCTTTTGGCTGCCAATTGCTTCTGGTTTCCTTTCCTGTTTTTCTAAGGTGGCCCCATCATCCCGCTCTCCTTCCCCTCACCACAGCGTATGTGTTCTGAGCACCCCTGTCAGATTCCTGCACGCCTGCTGGACTGAGCGTCCTGCCCTAGACAGCTGGTTTTCCTTTCTCCTTGCCTCCTTCCTGTTCTCCGCCACGGGTCCTGCCCACGCCGTCTGCAGACACAGGAATGCACTGCCCACGTGACCTTCACCTGCCCACCTGACCTCCAGTGCTATCCCCACTTTCCTGGTCAGACCCCATGTCCCTCCTTGGTGGCCCTAATTTTGATGAAGTGAGTTCTCTAGAAGCATTAGCAGAAAAAGCATGTGTGAGATGGGTTTTCTGAGAATGTCTGCATTTTCTTGATGTTTGTTGGTAGTTTGGGCTTGGTGCAGACTCGTGGGTGCAAAGTCATGTTCTTCAGACATGAGCGCCTGCCTGCCGTCCCGACCCCAGTGTCGTCGAGCACCGCGGTGGCCCCTTGCCACCAAGTACCTGAGCGTGGTGCTTCCTGCTCACCAGGAACGGGTCCTTCTGGCCTGAGCGCGTCTCCTTGTTCTGGGGCATGGGCCACCCCCCTGTGGCTCCATCTTGCCATACTTCTTAGTCACTGGGCTCATTCTCTTATTTTCTCATTTTCTGTTTCCACTTTTTTGTACTTTTCTTACTTGTTAAAGAGCTTTGTAAGAATTTATTCCTTAATCTTTGTATCAAATGCTCCCATTTCTGCTGTCTTAGTTTCTAAAAGCTCTTCTTTCTCATCTCTTTTACTTTCTCTTAAAACTTTCTTTCCTTTTTTCATGAATAATACTTTTTCTCTTGTTTCTCTGAAGATATTCTCGGTTTTCTGAAGTCTTTTGTGTTTACTGCCTTTATTGTATTTCCTCCAGCTGAGTCTCTCCTTCGCACTGTTTTGTGCGTCTGACCAAGCCTCGGCTTGTCTGAGGACTTTGGCTCCTTAGCAGGGTGGTCGTCAGCAACTCGCCGAGAGCTGTGCTCAGAGGGGCCTTGCCGGGGTCGCTGAGCCCCCCATTCCCACCCGAGCTTGGTGCCGGTCGGAGAAGCAGCTGTTGACGACTGACCCTGCTTTTCTTGGGATGCCCTGCTCTGCTTTCCAGGTCTCCGCAGCGTGGCAGCGGGCTGCAAGGCCCCAGGACATGCCGTGTGCAGTGGAGAGGTTTCCCATTCCTTTTTGAGGCCCCCCCCATCAGGGGCTCCTTGTGTCTCAGCTGCCAGACCAGCGAGGGCTCTCCAGTTCAGGCGGGCTGGTCTAAGGGCTGGTCTTCACCCAACCCATCAGACGTGCTCACCTTTTCCTGGCTGGACGCTTGCTGCCCGGCCCGCCCCCTGCACGGGGCCTCCGGCTGGCGTCTGTCATCTCCGCACAGCCTTCTCTAGGTGTCCGGGGCGGGCCTTGCATGCGTGTGTCGGCTGCGGCACTTGCTGTGTGAGCCCCGCGGGTTTCTTTCTGTCTGTGGGAACAAGGAGACACACTTCTGCACCTGAGTAAACATGAGCCAGGTACCATTAAGGGTTTTATGTTGGAGTCACAGGTGTTAACATGGTAAACATGAAAACATACTTTTTCTTAACCTCTGTCGTTGTATAGTCCTTGGTATTGATCAAAATGTCTTTGCCATCTTTGGTGGTTTGTTGATGTTGTCTCCAGGGCCTCATGTGGCGCCGTGAAGCGGGCGTCTGGCCACGTCCCCAGCACGTGCAGAGTGTCCCCAGGTACACCGCCAGAGTTGGGTGTGGACCCTGACTTTGTGCTATGTTTTTAGGTGATGGCTCGGGGTTTGGAGAGATACTAAGCCAAGGTTCAGGAAGACTTGATACTCCCACTGCAAGTCCTGCAGTGCCGCCTCCTGCCTCTGGAAGGTTCCGACATCCGCTGAAAGCCATGAAGGAGAAGGAAGTCCATCCGAAACAAGTAAAGGTAAGGGCTGGCAGGAGCAGGGCGTGCGGGGTCGATGGGCCTCCGCGTGCGGCCGCTGCGATTGCGCTGCGGGTGCCGTGTCGGGGTGTGTGCGTAACACCGTGGGGACAGCAGCACTGGGTCTGTCTGTGCTCTGACATGTTTCCATAGGGGGACAGGCGTCCCGGGGAGACCCCAGCACGGTGGGGGTGGGGCTGTAGGGGCCTCGGTCGCTGGGGTCCCGGGAGCAGGACCCGCTCTTCCTGCACCTGCTGCGGCACAGCTCACCGGGCCTGCAGGGGCGGCTGTTGTGATGAACCATAAATGGCAGAATTAAGGTTAATCTTTCTGAACTGAGTTCAGGTATGGCAGTGCATGACCCTCTGGGGAAGTGGTGGTGGGTTTTGTTTGGTTCTGGAGATGGACCTTTCAGCCTTTCCTAAGACAACTGGGGCTGCCCTCTACCAGGTGCCTGCCTGGGACGGAGCAGCGGAGCATGGGCCGGGTGGCCTGCTCTGCCAGCACAGGGCTGCCGGCCACGTTGGAGAGCCCAGCCCACTCTGCCTTGGGGGCTGCTGCTCGGGAGGGCGTGTCTCCCAGCCCTCGCGGCCTAGACCGCTCCACCTCCTGCTCTCCGCTCTCCTGTGTCGTCCTCAAGTTGGCACTTGAGAAGGAAGGTGGTCTGTCCTCACTCACGTGGCAGCGCGGGCAGTTTTGATGGGCAGCCTCACCTCCGACTCAGCTGGTTCGAGTGGCACATGGCATTTATCACCAGACGGTACCGGGAGTTTCCTGGTGCACTGGCTCCAAGTGTACCCCAGAGAGGCCATCAGCGTGCCCCTGCTCGCGCATCCCTTCCCTGTGTCACCAGCTGGAAGCCTGTGATACTTCTAGGGGTCAGGCCGAGAGTGGGCCCAGTGCTTCCTTTGAGCCCGTTTCCCAGGAGCATCCCTCCTGTCCCCTGCCTCCACCCTGTCACTGGCATCCCCGGTCACATGCCTCCAAGACCAGCCATCCTCAGACCTGCTGACGAGCTGGGCTGATACTGACCCGCTGCTGACAGGGAGCTGACATTGTGTTAACCACTTGCTGCAACCCTGCTGGCCCGCTCCTGCTCCCCAGGTCCCGGAGCTGCATCCTTGTTGACCTCTCACAGCCACAACTGCACGCTGGAGCTGACGCAGGAGCAGACGGGCACCCGAGCAACAGCAGATGTGGGAGGTCACGAGAGGGGTGGGCTGGTCGCAGCGCTGCAGGTCCCTGGACAGAATGCCAGACTTGAGGACAGGGTCCTGGAACCTTCTCAGCCCCAGTGGTTATATTTGTGGTACCCAAGGCCCAACCAATTGCAGCCCTCCATGCCCTGGCCCACATCATACCTGTGGGGTCATTTGACATCACTGAAGGGATGCAGTGGCCTTGCGGGAAGCTTTTTCTCGGGAATGCTCAGGCAGAGTACCTCAGTCGCTGCTGGTGCTCTTTATGCATTTCTCCTCGATAGAGGATCAGGAGAGTGTCGAAAAAGTGGGAGGTGGTGGTCCTCCGCAGCCACATCAGTCCTGCCTTGTCTCCATAAGCAGAGGATGAGGGCAGATGCTGGAGGCGCAGGCCTGCAGTCTCACCCACGGGGGCCGCCATCTGCACCTGGCCAACCACAAATGAATTGTTTTTTTAACGTTTATTTTTGAGAAAGACAGAGCACGCGAGTGGGGAGGGCAGAGAGAGAGGGAGACACAGAATCCGAAGCAGCTACAGACTCTGAGCTGTCAGCACAGAGCCCGACGCGGGGCTCGAGCCCATGAACCATGAGATCATCACCTGAGCCCAAGTCAGACACTTAACTGACTGAGCCACCCAGGCTCCCACAAATGAATTATTTATTAAAGTAAAAGTGTTTCTAGGTCGTTAAAGAGAATTGTTTTTAAAGTAAGCATAATGTGTAGTTTGGTTTTTTTGTACTTTTATGTTAATATTTCACTTTTTTGAGTCTCATCATTAGAATTCTAGCAAAACCTATTTCTGATTAAATAGTTGCACTCTGTCATAGCCTCTGCATTGCTACTTTTATAGTTCCCTGTTTGAGACATCTACTGGTTTTCTTTCCCCAGAGTTTTAGGCCTAACACGCCCATTGAGTGAATCTTTGCACGTGGAGTGAGGACCGTCATGGCTACTTTGGACACTGTGTTGGTCCCAGCCTGGGGACAGCTCTGGGGAGGCCCCACCCTGAGCCCCACCCTGAGCCCCACCCAGGTTTAGGGAAGGGATGGTAGACCATGCAGACGCTAGTGGGGTGGCTGAAGTGTGTGGGGGGCGTCCTTACACAGAAATTGTCCTTCACACAGGTTTTCTAGCAGTGTCTAAAGGTTATGGGGAAGGAAGGTTTGAAAATCTCATAGAACAGCAGAATCTGCTCTTTGATACAAAGGCTGTGGGAGCGCTGTGCAGGCGTCTCCGTGAACATTCTTGGGTGGTGGACAGGGTACTGAATGGATTCGTAGTTTCAAGCTGCTTTTCTCTTTCTTGAATGCATGTCCCATTGCAGGCTTTGCTACAGATGGTGTGTGATGAGAGCCACCACATACTGGCCTTGTCCGAGTGCCGTGGGGCCTCTAGCGCTCTGAGCAAGGGCGAGCCCAGTGCCCCCCTTGAGCGCTTCCCAGGGGAAGGCCCTGGCCTGTTGGAGGCAGTGCCAGCCCTGAAGAGGCATACAAGCCCCGCACCCCTGAAGGGAGAGAAGGTACTGTGGCGTTCTGCCTGAAGGAAAGTCAGCTGTGGGCGTGGAGCAGTTTGAGGGAGTCACTTGGCCAAATAAGTGGAATAAAGGGAACAACAGAGTCAGCGGTGGGCACCGGGGCCGTGCTCCTGGCTGGTCACCGACTCAGTCACGTTCACTGCCACCAGCCACATGCTGGCACACTTCAGCCCCGTAAGGGCAGGAGAGGCCATGGGAGGATGCGTGGCGGAGCGCAGTGCGAAGGGGACGTGGGGGCCGGGCCTGGGCCCATGGGCCTCAGTGCCCACTTTGCCAGAGACAGGCGCTGAACCCTGGCCAAGGCCGCGGGGCAGAGGGAGCGGTGGGCAAGACCACAGCGCTGGGCCCAGGCCTGCCAGGGGGCAGGAACCGCCAGTCAGCGGGCACCCGCCCCAGGGCCCCAGGGCCTGGTGGAGCCACGGTGGGGAAGGTTTGCCTGCCGATGTCTTAGTCTCACCTGCTGTCTCCTTCAGTACCTTCTCCGTTCACAATGGCTGGGCTGGCTTTTCATGCCTTGGGCTGGTCATGGTCTTCTGTCGGGTGGTTTCTGCGTCAGCCTGCAGGATGCATTTATGAGAACACTGAACTCTCCACTCCGATATTTTAGGAGTCTCCCGACATGTGCCTCGACTGGAGAGGAGAGTTTCTACAGATCGTTCAGGAGGCGTTTGGAAAAGAACGGGAGATGCTGAGGGCCGAGTTGCAGCCCCGGCCCTGCGGCTCTGACCCCGGGGACCACAGCTCCTTGCTCCAGAGGCTAGAGAAGGTGGTCCAGGAGCAGGTGAGCACGTGTCTCAATTTTTTCCCGGCGCCCCGATGGTGAATTTTGGTCCCTGTGTTTCCTCTGATCCTGGAGCATGACTGAGGAGGAAGTCCTGTCTGTGTGCAAATACAGCCTATTCTGGCAATAACTGGCCTTTCCTTGAGAACAGAGTGGTGCTAAGTGGCCTGGCCCGTGTGTGAGAGCCCAGCACTGTGACAGCCCTGGAGGCCTGCTTCCCCAGGTTCTTTGTAGAAGAGGGCGCTGGGCTCCAGGTGCAGGGTCCGCAGCAGGTCAGGGTGGCCTCTGGCACAGACCAGAGCCCAGTGAGGCCTGAGGGTCCCCAGGGCCTCCGAGGGCCTGCATTCAGCCCATGTTTGTCACACACACGTTCCTTTTTTTTTTTTTTTTTTTAATGTTTTATTTATTTCTGAGAGAGAGAAAGAGAGACAGCGTGAGCAGGGGAGGGTCAGAGAGAGAGGGAGACACAGACTCTGAAACAGGCTCCAGGCTCTGAGCTGTCAGCACAGAGCCTGACGCGGGGCTCTAACCCACGAACTGTGAGATCATGACCTGAGCCGAAGTCGGACGCTTAACCGACTGAGCCACCCAGGCGCCCCGTGTCACACACACGTTCCTGTGGACATGTTCTTGCTCGGACACCAAGCTTGTGCCAGAGGAGCTGGAAGCAAGAATTTGCCGAGAGTGGGCTGCTTGTGCCTGGAAATGCCGGGCCCGCCCAGCCTCCCCGCCTTTGGGATGTGCTCCCTGCTCTCCGGTCCAGGAGGGGCGCCCCAGGGCGCTCCCCCGCGTGGCCGTGTCTGTCACCCTGCTCCCCTTCCTTTGCCGCCCCGCCCCCGGGGAGGCCTGCAGGAGAAGTCCCTGGAGCACCTTCGCCTGTCAGACCGGAGCAGCTTGCTGTCCGAGATCCAGGCTCTGCGCGCGCAGCTGCGGATGACGCACCTGCAGAACCAGGAGAAGCTGCAGCAGCTGTGCGTGGCACTGACCAGCGCGGAGGCCCGCGGGAGCCGGCAGGAGCACCAGCTGCGCAGGCAGGGTGGGCGCCGGGTCTGGTCCCTCCGGGTCCCGGGGCGTGGGGACCTTCCGCCTCGGCATTTCTCGGTTCGCAGAACCCCAGAGAACCGACAGTGTGGTGCCACCTGGGCATTGGGGGGCCGGTATCAGGGTGAGCGCCGGGTGCCCCAGGACCGCGTTTGGGAGTCTCTGGGGGTTGTACTCATTTACATTAATTTAGGTTTCTTGGGATGTTCTTATAGATATTCACGTCATCACTGAATAAGAATCATTTTGTTTTCTCCTTCCCGCCTGCCACCTCCTCCTATCAAATGCTCTGGTTAGGCTCTCAACTGCCGCCACAGCAGGCGTCCGGCCACAGCACAGGCGCCCGTCTCACCCTCACACAGGGTGCCAGCAGTGATCTCTGCACACACCCTCTGTCCGCCCTCACAGCCCCTTCTCTAAGTGCTGGGTGCCGAGTGATGGGCCAGGCCTTGCAGTGCCTTGCCTTACCTTATGCACATTTCTGTGCTGGACTTGCTGATACTTTGCATCTAAACGCGTGAGGGCTATGGTGTGTAGTTTCCTGTCTTTGAGTTCTGGGGTTGGAGTACTGCCAGTTTCATGGAAGATTGGCCGTCTCTCCCCCTTCTTTTTCCAGGGGAGAATGTAGAGAAGCAGGGTTATTTCTTCCCTAAGTCTTGGGAAATTCTCCCGGGAAACTGTGAGGGCCAAGTTGGTCTCTGTCGGGAAGTGTCGGAGTGCCGGGTGACGTGGTGACTCAGAACAACTGCGGGGATGGTCACACCTGGTCTCCCTGCACATCCATCTTGGCTCAACCCTCACTTCTGCCTCCAGGGAGACCCCAGACCCAAACAACTGGCCCTGGGGGGCCGTGTCCCATCCTCTGTCCACTCTGGGTGCCCTGAGGCTTGGAGGGAATGAGCCTCCCGTGTCCCGGCTGTAGGCCTAAAAAAATCATTTTCCCAGAGAGTAAATACATCCCCCTCTCTGTGCTGGTTTGTTTGCAATTTGTGAAATCATTTGTGCAGCTCACCCAGGATTCACAAGTAATGGTATCTTACTTCCTCTAATGTCTTTCTCAGTTGAGTTATTGGCATATAAGGTTGAGCAGGAAAAACGTATAGCAAGTGACGTCCAGAAAACGCTGAATGAAGAGCAAGAGAAAGCCAGCAGCGTTCGGAAGCTCCTGGTGGTAGAGCAGACCGTCGTCAGAGATTTAAGAGCAGAGCTCCGCGAGTGTAAGCAGGACAACGAGAGGCTGCTGGCGTCCCTCAGCGAAGCGCAGAAGGAGGTCCTCCAGCTGAGGTGGGGGCCCTAACCCTCCTCCCGCACAGCACCTCCCGCTCCCCGGTTCTGTCCGCGGCTTTTGTTGAGGAACACGGCGTACGCGCGTGTTGTGATCGGTGCACGGGGCCTGTCCCCCGCCCAGGCGCCATGGCCTGGCGTGTCACTGTCTCCCTCGCGCAGGTCTGTGCTGGACAGCAAGGAGAACAAGCTGAAGGCCGCGCTGCGGGAGCTGGAGACGGAGCGCGGGAAGGAGCGCGCCCTGCAGAGCCGGCTGGAGGAGGAGCAGCTGCAGCACCTGCAGAGGGAGGGCCAGAGCTCCAAGACCCTGGAGGTGCCTGGGGGCTGGGGCGGCGGGCTTCCCCCGTAGGGCCCAGCTCCCCCTCTGTAGTCACGCGCCTGGCGGCAGGGCGTAGCAGCAGCGAAGCAGGCCCGTGTCTGACACAGCAGTGTCTTCATAGCAGCAGACGGCTGCTCACAACCCCGCTGTCCGGCCGCACGGAGCACAGCCTCAGAAGCGCGTGTCAGACTGCATAAATGGCAGTGCCCTGGCTTCCCTGTGCGCTGGAAGCCGTGTGTGTGAATTGGCAGCTTTGATGAGCACGGGTCTGACAGGTGCTCTGTGTTCCTCAGGCCCAGGGCCGGGCGAACCGTCTTCCACCCACAGGAGGACTGTGGCTCGGTGCAAACAGATTGTGTGTCTGAGTGTCCAGGGTGTTGTGGTTCTAGGGAGGGGAGAATGAATCTAGGACCCCGGTGTGCATTTACTGAGCGCTGGTTCAAGGAAGTACTTCGTCCCTGAATAAGAATGGCAGAGTAACCAAAGAATTGTTACACAGGCTTCTTGTACCTGTGTAATTGCTAGGTTGTAGAATATGAACAGAAACTTGGGCAGGAAAACTGTTTTGACACTTCTGTTGATTTGCTGTTTCCCATCTTTTCCCTGGTGCAGGAGTTAAGGGTCTCTTTGGAGAAGCAGCACGCCCAGAGTAACCAACTGTGTGTGGCGCTGAAGCACGAGCAGACGGCAAAGGACAACCTTCAGAAGGAGCTGCAGATCGAGGCCTCGCGCTGCGAGGCGCTGCTGGCGCAGGAGCGGAGCCAGTTGTCCGAGCTGCGGCACAGCCTGGAGGCCGAGAAGGGCCGGTCGCTGGAGCTGGCGGCGGCCCTGCGCCACGAACGCCTCCTGACGGAGCAGCTGAGCAGCCGAGCGCAGGAGGCCCCCGCGCCCCGCGCTCTGCTCCGGAAGCTGAAGGATGAGAAGTCCCGCGCGGCAGAGCTGCAGGCGAGGCTGGAGCAGGCGCAGCGGCAGCTGGCGGCCGAGGTGCAGAAGCAGCGTGAGGAGATCGAGAGGGAGAAGGAGGTAAGGGGCACACAGGCCTCCGCCGTGGAGCCCGCACAGGCTCGGGAGCCGGGGCCTGGTCTGCCGAGAGAGGGGGAGAGTCCCGCACGGCAGCAGGCAGGATTAGAGCACTCCCGGGCGAGGCCGGCTGCGAGGGAAGGACGCGAGGACGCAAGGAGGAGAGCAGAGGCGAGGCCCGGCCGGGCCGACGCGGAGACGAGGCAGACTTGGGACAAGGAGAGACTGGTGAGCGCGTGCCGGCCCTTCGGCACCCAGCAGCCAGCCAGGGGGCGGGAGCGCCGCGGGGTGGCCTGACCTTGGGCAGCTCCTTGGTCCCGCTGGTGCGGGCGTCTGCCCTCCGCCGCCCCCTGGTGACCGCAGCTTGTAGGTCTCCGCGTCCGGAAGTGCAAGTCTCCCACCTCGTTCTTTGTCAGGACTTGGGTGTCTGGGCCCGTCGGGTTCTGGGGCCCGGCACTGACTCTGCAGGTCGCTTTAGGGGGCCAAGCCTCCTCAGCAGTGTGATCCCCACGGGTCGTGAGGTTGGAAGTCTGTCTATGTGTTTAGGTCTTTGATTTCTTTCAGACACGTTTTGCCATTTTCAGGTGACGGGCCTTACGCTTTGGTGCTGTTGGTCCTCAGTGTTTTATTATCATTTGATGTCCTGAGTGGAACTGGTTTCTTCCTTTCATGTGCAGATGCCCCCCCCCCCCCGCCCCTTGCCTAGAGCAGTGCAGCTGTTCTATTGATCCTGCATCTTACGCCTACACTTGTTTGTTATTCCTGGTTGTTTGATGTGTTCTTTGGGCGTTTTCTGTATATGTGATCATGTCACTTGCACATAGACATAGGTTTGCTTCTTCTTTGCTGGTCCTCTCCTGCAGTGCTGAGTGGAGGTGCTGCGGCCCACCCCCGTCTTCCGCCCCCAGGTGTGACAGCCGCCCTTCATCAGAGGAGATTCTCATGTGCCTGCTTCATTCAGCCTGAAAAGGCTGTTTTATTTTCAGCCACGAGAGCATTGGATTTGTGGTTTTGGTGTCTTGAAATCTGTGGTTTTTGCCCCTTATTCTCTTGATGTCACATTTCCCATTGTTTGGATTTCATTGGTGGAGCCAGCCTTGCCCTCGTGGGGTAAATCCCACTTGACTGGTGTAGGATTCTGTTTTATATAGTGCCGAATTCGGTTTGCTAGTATTTTGTTGAGGATTCTGCATTTGTGTTCATAAGGGATGTTGATCTGTACTTTTAAAGTTGTGGTGTCTTTTTTTTTATGTTTATCTTTGAGGGAGAGAGAGAGTGAGAGAGCATGAGTGGAGGAGGGGCAGAGAGGGAAGGAGACACAGAATTTCAGACTCAGGCTCCAGGCTCTGAGCTGTCAGCACAGAGCCCAATGTGGGGCTCAAACTCACGAACCTGCAATTATGACCTGAGGCAAAGTTGACGTTTGGCCAACTGAGCCCCAAGGCGTCCCCCTCCCCCCCCAACCCCGGTTGTGGCGTCTTTGATTTTAATATTGGGATGATTTGTGCCTTATAGGTTGCGTGTGTTCCTCTCTTATGTTTTGGATAAAATGTTACTTTTAGATACATTTATGTCAATCGGAAGCCTTTACTTCTGAGAAAATTATATTCTGTCTTCATGTGGATTGATATATGTTTTGCTCTGTTTAGAAATATATTTTTTTAATGTTTTATTTATTTCTGAGAGAAAGACACAGCATGAGCAGGGGAGGGTCAGAAAGAGAGGGGAACACAGATCCGAAGCAGACTCCAGGCTCCGAGCTGTCAGCACAGAGCCCGACGCGGGGCTCGAACCCACGAACCATGAGAACATGACCTGAGCCGAAGTCAGATGCATAACTGTCCCTAGAAATATTTTTTAAACACTGAAAATTGTGAAAATCCAAGCAAAGAAGTTTTTAAAAACACATGAGGAAGACCAGTAGCCTGGTCTTTTCAGTGGTTAACCTGCTGTGAAATATTTGAGAAATGAATGTGTTTCTCAAATCAAAAATCTAGATTTCTAAGTGTTACAAAGGTAAATCAGCTGCCCAAATGTTATAAAATACGTTTTGGAAGTTCATGCGGAGAGTGTGATCAGTATGTTTTCATAGCTTTACTGAGATACGCGGGGTTCACCAGCCTGAATTGCATGTTTTGCGGTTTTTAGTACAAACTCGGAGCTGTGCACCCATCACCACAGCCAGCTCTGGAGTGCGTTCGCCTCCCCACCCTGAGCCCCACGCCGTTAGCGCTCATCGTCTCTTCCTCCTCCAGCCCTGGCCGCTGCGAGTCTATGGTCTGTTTGTGGATTGGCGTGTTCTGGACGTTTCCTATGAAGGAACCACACTGTGCGTGGCCTCTCCTGTCTGGCTCCTTTCCTGGTGTTTTCGAGGCTCATCCCTGCTGCAGCATGTGTCAGTGGCAATATGTTTTGCTGTGGTATGTGGTCTTCGCAGTGGCGTAAGTGGCCTTTGCAGTAGTGGCTGCATTTTATTGCCCAAAGTCTTGGAAAGGCAGGAGTAGTTTGGAGGTGTGACAGTGTGGGTGCTGTGTGGCTGGGGACAACCCACATTGTTTTATGAAGGAGGCAAGTAGAGTCGAGCCCCAGGTGAGCTGCCTTCACTCAGGACCCCTAAACATGTTCCAGATTTTGTGCGTGCACGCGCGTGTGTGTTTACCTGTTCTCCTTGGCAAGAGTGGTTGGGAGCCTTCATGTGCTTCTCATGGACTTCCCCAAACCATCTCTAAAGTTTTCAGACAAACCCTGTTATTTAATTTTAATTTTTTTTAATGAGTGGTAATGTGATTGCTTAAAAACTGCAAAGAAAATGTTCCCTAAGTTAGATCAGTAATTCTTCATTATGCATCTTGGAAAGAGTTTTAAGTGATTGATGTAGTCCTTTCGGTGTTATTTTCACTATAGATGGTTTAAGTTTTTAAAAATACGTTTTTAAATATTTTATTTATTTTATTTTTTATTTTACTTATAAAAATGAACCTGTAGGTTTCTTGGTGTCTTGCTTTCCTAACTTGGAAAACAGAAAAGTAACAATCCCTGTGTCCTCACGAGGCTGGAACATTAATCGAGGTGACGCCAGGAAGAGCCTGTGGTCTTGCACTGCTTGGGGCCGCATGGCCGGTGGCCCAGGCCGGGTTCTGGGCACCCGGGGTTCCCACCCAACTCAGCGGGGCTCTGTCTGCGTGACCGTAGACCCCGTGCCGCCTCCTGCCTCTCCTGGGGCCTCCTCACCTTTGGAAGCTCCACCAGGTGCCCCCCCCACCGCGGCCCCCCCCCCCGCATTTATGGCCGCCCAGAGGGGTTTCCACCGTGTGACCCCCTCTGTCTCCCTGGAGGGGCTCAGATCCCCGTGTCGGGCAGGAAGCTGGTGACGGTTTGCTTTCTCCCAGGCGCCCGGCACACTCCGTGGTGAAGGGCATGGCACAGGGGAGGCGGTTTGCACTTAGTGCAGGCTCTTGTCCGTGTCAGTGTGTTGGTGTGTGTGTGCGCTCATCGAGGTCGGGCACCAGAACTGGGGCCTGGGAAGTCTCCTTGCTTTGGCGTGTGGCGTCCCCTCCTCACCCTGGTGAGAGCCTGATCGTTCTCAGAAATGCCGAGACCCCATCTGAGGTGGGGTCACCCTGCGCCCCGTGTGGGGGGTGCCGGCCGGGGACTGCCCCCTGCTGAGGGCCGCGCTGTGCTTTCTGCTTCTGGAACGTGCGCACGAAAGGCCCGTCTGTTGTTTTGCCGTTGACCACAGCGAGAATTAGAACTGCGGCGCCAGCGTGACGAACACAAGATCCGGCAGCTCCAGCGGACGGTTCGGGACCTGGAGGCGAAGGAGGGGGCCCACCAGCGCCAGTGCCCCGAGTCGGCGCGGCTGCAGGAGCAGCGCCTTGGCCTGGAGAAGGTCCGGCAGCAGCTGCTCTGGGCCGCCGGGCTCCTGACCAGCTTCGTCAGCCGGACGGTGGACAGGTGAGCCCGTGGGCACCGTCCGCGCCGCAGCCTCTTCCCAGCCCAAGCGGGCTGGTGCGGGTGCGGGTTTGATTTCCGTCCCTATTTTAAAGCCACAGACTCCAGTTTCTCATGCCACATGTTCAATGAATTTGTGGGCAGCACTCTCCTGAGAGAGGTTGACAGAATTGTGTTTTCTCTATTCTAATATGAGAGAAAAATTCAAGTTTGTTTTAGATCTGTTCTCCTCACGCCCTTTTACAGTTGCTCACCCCCGGAGGGTCTAGCCCCGAGGCCGAGTGATGTCCACCTTGCCCGCGGCCCTCAGGACCACCACTCACGTGACCGGGGTGCCTCTGTACAGTTGAGGGACCGACAGGAGTGTTAACAGTATAATTAATCAAATTAATGTTTGCCTTTTCCTGTATGCATGGAAACTCAGCAAATACACTTGCCCCGTGTGTAATTGGATTAGTTTATACAGCAGCATGAACTCTGAGCAGACTTTCCTTCTGGACAGTGTATTAAACTCGACACAGACCCCAGCAGAAAAGCAGTGCTCGGGGCCTAAGCACTCCAGGAGCTATTGTGATTCGCGGTTGCTGGGCTTCTCAGACTGTTCGTGCACGAGGCTGCACCACCTCAGGGTCACCACTGTCATTAGAGGAGCCCCGCGTCCCTGTTGTGGACAGGGCTTGGCGTGAGGAAGCGGTCATAAGTCCCCCTAGGGGCTGCATTGGACCCCTTTGTCCTCTCTCCACAAGCTCCCAGTGGCTGCGGGTAATTGTCAGTCAGGACCTGGGTGAACCCTCTAAGTGCCTGTTTATTTTCACAGGACAATTAGCAATTGGACGTCATCAAATGAGAAAGCAGTGACATCCTTACTGCACACGTTAGAAGAACTCAAGTCTGAGCTGAGTGCGCCCAGCTCTTCCCAGGTAAGAGGTGGGGCCGCCTCTGCCGTTCCTTTTATCCCTCCCCGACTGCCACACGGAAGCAGGTATCTTCTTGGGCATTGCCACATGTTGTCCCCAGAAAACCGCGTGTCCTTGCCAAGTGCCCAGGCACTCCCTCCAGAGAGGCGTGGGCTGCTCTGCCTCGGGACCCCTCCTGGCCCAGCCTGCTCCGTGTACACCTGGCTTGAGAGCCTGAGCCCCCTGGCAGCTTCGCGGGAAGGTATTGCTGTGCAGGAAGGTGATTAGAAGTCGTGGTTGCTGGGGCAGCTGAGTGGCTCAGTCGGTTAATAAGCATTGGACTTAGGCTCAGGTCATCATGAGTTCGAGCCCTGTGTTGGGCTCTGTGCCAACAGCTCAGAGCCTTGAGCCTGCTTCACATTCTAGGTCTCCCTCTCTCTCTGCCCCTCCCCCCCTTTCAAAAATAAATAAACATTTAAAAAAAAAAAAAAACAAGTCATGGTTGCTGACAAAAATTCCTGGTAGATATTCCTTGGTAATTGTGGAATCATCACGTTTATTGTGAAGGCATCGTGCACATAGGCAGCAGAGGACCTCACGCCTGCTGAGCCTCGGGGTCAGGGTGGGGCGTCCTGCCCTCCTTACCAGAGCCTCTGTCGGTGTCCTGTGCTGCCTGCCGTAGGCTGAGCACGACTCTGATCATGGAAGTGACTAACCTGTGTTAAGGGACTTACTCGTTGGAACCCTCTGGGATTCACACACAGTGTGCCGTTTATGTGCCGCCTCTGCTGACAGAGCCGTGAGCAAGTGTGTGTGGAGCAGGCTGGCCCTGTGAGTGCAGCCCGGTGTTGTCCGGAGTCGGTTTGGTACAGTCACTTGCTGTTTTCCCTCCTATAGATGGACAGTTCTCCTTGGCCCCACCAGATGCCACCAAACCCTGAATGTGGATAAAATTATAATTCCTGAAAATAACCAACAGTAAAAATACGTAAAGTGTGTACCTTTTTAAAATTTTTTTTATTTTGTTATTTAGAATAAGAGAGAGCGTGCACGAACAGGGGAGGGGCAGAGAGGGAGAGACATTCTCAGTCAGGCTCCACCCCCAGCGCAGAGCCCAGTGCGGGGCTCCATCTCACAACCCTGGGATCATGACCTGAGCCAAAATCAAGAGTCAGCCATCCAACCGACTAAGCCCCCCAGGTGCCCTTAAAGTGTGCACCTTTTTAACAAAAGACATGTATACATTTATTTTTTCTTCTTTGTAAGAAAAAAGTGCCAGCGGAGCTGCAGGTGCAGCTGGTGGATGTCCTGCTGAAAGACAACGACTCCCTCACGAGAGCTCTGCGCACGGTGACCCAGGAGAAGGCAGAGCTGCGCCGGGCGCTGTCCCAGCTGGAGACACCCCTGAAGCACCACCTGCCCAAGGGCCGTGTGCGGAGCGTACGTACTGGCGCTTCTGCTCGGGGATGGCGTGTCGCGGGCTTCTCCGGGCTGTGGGCTTGCGTGCCGGCTCTTCCCAGTTAGCTGCCGTGGGCTCTGACCTCGGGGGGCCGGGTGCCCTCGTTAACATTTCAGCAGGTTTTCCGCTTTGTGTACAGGTGTGTGACTCTTGCCAGGAGATGATGTTTGATACACGTTCAGGAAAAGAAATCTATTTATTTGACTTTTACCTAATGAAAATGACTTCTAATTTTCCTGATTGTGTAGTTCGATAGACTTTTTTCTTAGAATGCTGAATTTGTTTTATATTTAGACTGTCATGTTTGTGATTTTATTTTTATGATGAAAAAATTTTTTAATTTTTTTAACTTCTAGGCAGTAAAATCTGCCCCTTAGTAAAATGCCATTTGAGTTTTCACACACACACACACACACACACACACACACACGTGTGGATTCTCGCGCCCCATGTGAACACACTGGTAGCAGAGCACATGGCCCCGCAGCACATCGTGCTCCCGTTGCTGGCAGGCGCAGCCCGGCTCTGTGGTCTGCCTGCCCCCGGGTGCCCACAGGTGGGCCCGCACCGGCTGTGACATTTTGGAGGCCCCGCACTTCTCCCCTGGCGCCTCCGGAGCAGTCATGGCGCTGACCTGTCAGCAGCTCCTCCCTCGTGCTGCCGAGCAGCGCTCTGTGCACAGGTCCGCCTCACTTCAGCCGTCTGGCTGCCGGCGATCGCGGGCCTGCTTCCAGGGGTCGACAGCTGTGGTCGGTGCTCCTGGAGGCTTCTGTGAGCCGGGCTCGCTTCTCTGCTGCAAATACCCAGAAGGGACACCGTGTCCTGTCTCATTTCTGTTGAACCCTGTCCGGTGCCCAGTAGCTGCGCCGTGTCCCTTGCCCTGAGCAGAAGCTGGGAGTCAGGTCCCTGTGCATCTTCACAGTAGGTGCTGGCGCTGTGTTTCCCTCCAGCGCCCCCAGTGCACAGTGGCATCGGTGACGTGCCCTTTCAAAGTCGTTGCACACTTTTGTTTACTCTTATTTATTTGTTTGTGTATTTACATTGAAATCCAAGTTAACACATAGCATAATAATAATTTCAGGAATAGAATTTAGTGATTAATCACTTACGTACAACACTCAGGTCTCATCACAACAGGTGTCCTCCTCAATGCCCATCCCCCATCTAGCCCACCCCCCCACCCACCGCCCCTCCATCAACTCTCAGTTTGTTCTCTGTATTTAAGAGTCTCTTAGGGTTTGTCTCCCTCTCTGTTTTTATCTTATTTTTGCTTCCCTTCCCCTATGTTCATCTGTTTTGTTTCTTAAATTCCATATATGAGTGAAATCATGCCAGGTCTTTCTCTGGCTGACTTATTTTGCTAGCGTAAGATCCTCTAGTTCCATCCACATTGTTGCAAATAGTCTTTGCCCACTTTTAAACTGCACCGTTTTCTTATTTCATTGTGTCTCCATTCTTCGTGTATTGTGTTTTAGAAATCTTTTCTCCCAGTCTGAGTTGTCTCCTTCGCATAGATAGTACTCTGTGCAAAACAACATTTTTAATTTTAATAAGGTCAATTTGTTTTTTTATGGATTGTGCCAGTAGATTTGTAGTTTTACTTCTTATGTTTAGGTCTAGGATCCATTTTGATTTTACTTGTTTTTGGTCAAGGGTTACTGTGTCCTGGTTGGTACCAGTTATTTTGGCACACGTTGAAGATTATCTTTTCTTATCGATTTGTCTTTGTGCCAATGTCAGAAGTCACTCCACAGCGTGCGTGCGTGCGTGTGTGTGTGTGTGTGTGTGTGTGTGTATTGTCTGTTCTGTTCTACTGGCCTTCACCAGCTGCCTGATCGGTGTGGGTTATAGTACAGCTTCCTATCAGGCAGTAGGAATGCTGTAGTTTTTTTCTTTGTTTTCAAATTATTTGGCTATCCGGTTCCTCTGTCTTTCAATATAAATTTTAGAATCTTGCTGGTTGGTTGGTTGGGATTATGTTAAGCATACAGATCAACATGGGAGGATCCAGGAAGTAAAGGGCCTGCTGCTTTGGAAACCAGCTGTTCTTACTGGCAGCTCCACATAAAAACTTGTGCACAGACTTTCCTGCCAGTAGAGCTCATTGTAGCCTAAAAGTGGAAATAACCCAAGTGTTAAGTTTTATAGTTTGTGAATTATATTTCAGTAAAGCTATTATAGAGGTTTAGACAAGAATTGACATCTTGACTGTATACTTGACTGTCAACTATACTTGAATTTAGCTGTATTGAACCTTTCCATCTGAACAATCTCTTAAAATTTTTTTCTTTCTTTCTCTTTTTAATGTTTATTTAGTTTTGAGAGAGAGAGCACAAGCAGGGGAGGGGCAGAGAGAGACACACACAGAATCCGAAGACAGGCTCCAGGCTCTGAGCTGTCAGCACAGAGCCTGACACAGGGCTTGAACCCACAAATTATGAGCTTGTCACCTTAGGCAAAGTCAGATGCTCGACCGACTGAGCAACACAGGCACCCCATAAAATTTTCTTTCTTAAATGTGTTGTAGTTATCAGCATTCATATTCTAAAAACATTTTGTTAGTTTTATACTTAAATATTTCATTTTTCAGGGGCCTGTTGTAAATGGTACTTTTCAAATGTTTTTTTTGTTTTCCAGTTATTCATGGCTCATGTATGGAAACACATCAATGTTTGTAGGTTTGCCTTGACCTTAGTTGTCCTGTGACCTTATTAACCTCACTTTCTAACCCTCTGAGTGTTTCTGTAGCATTTTCTACACAGATAATTACATCATCTGAGAATAGAGGTTTGGTTTTTTTTCTTTCCAATGTGAATACCTTTGATTTTCTTTTTTTGCCTGGTGCACAGGCTGGACTTCCAAACATGGACGTGCTTGTGCAGGTGTGGTCCCAGTCCGGGGGGGGGCTTTGCTCTGTCGCTCTGAAGGGTGGTGGGCAGGTGCTCACATGAAGGCACTGGACCTGACCTGAAGGAGGTCCCTTCTAGTCTTAGTTTGTGAAGACTTTATCCTGAACAGATGTTTAATTTATTATGCTTTTTGTTCACCTATTGCTATGGTGGTGTGTTTTTTCTTGTTCGGTCAGTTAACGTGGTGCGTTATGTTGATTTTTGGGTGTTGACTCTATCTTGTGGTGCCAGGAAAAGCGCCACTAAGTCATGAAGTCTTACTGTTTTTATACATTGTTCGATTTAATTTGCTAATACTTTGTGACCATTTTTGTGTCTGGGCTCATGAGGGATATTAATATGGAGTTGTTTTTTGTTTTTGTTTTTTATATTGTCAGTGTCTGGTTTTGGCCTCATAAAATAAGTTGAAACATGATTTCTCCTCTGCTTATTTTCTGGAGGAGATTACATAGAGCTGGTATTTCTTTCTTTCTTAAATATTTGTTAAAATCTAACCTGGAAACCACCTGGGCCTAGTACGGGTTGTTTTCAGCAGGGAGTGGGGGGCAGTGGTTAGTGATGGACTTGATGTTTCTTGTGGAGGCAGAGGGTCCCATGAAAGTCAGTTTGTCCAGCTGTTTGGTGGTGTCGTTCACGTGTCCTTTCGAGCTGCCTCCTCCTCCTTTGCAGTCACCACGAGGGAGACTGACATCTCTGAACAGAATAGTGAATTTGTCTGTCTTCAAGCTCCATCCAGTTTTGCTTTGCATGTTTTGAAGCTCTCGTGGGAGGTGAAGTAAAGGCACCTCTGTTCTGGGGAGGAGGGTCCAACCAGGGAGCAGACCCGGGGCTTCCATACTTTGATGTGAGGAGTTATAAAAGATGCAGGTTTTAATCTTTTTTTTTTTTTTAAGTTCATCTATGTACTTTGAGAGAGAGACAGGGAGAGCATGAGCAGAGGGAGAGGGGGAATCCCAAGCAGGCTGCACACTGTCAGCACAGGCCCAGTGTGGAGCTCGAACCCACGAACTGCAAGATCACGACGTGGGCCAAAGTCGGACACTTAACTGCCTGAGCCCCCGAGGCGCCCTGAAAGCTCCGTGTTTTACTCTCAACGAAGCTGTCAGCAGCCCCAGCCCACGGCCCCGCCCTCCTCGCGAGCTTGCTCAGAGGGTTTGGAGGTTCCTTGTTGAAGGCGTCCTGTTGGCCCCTTGGGACTAAAGCGCAGTCACTGTTAAAGCACCTTTACCCTTACGTGGAAGTTCACGAGGAATCAGGAGGGTACTTTTATTGAAGAACTGCACACGATACTGTGTCAGCTTCAGGTGGGCAGCACAGTGATGCGACACTTCATCATGTAGCGGTGACCACCCTGGGTCCAGTTATCGGCTGTCCCCACGGCTACTGAGAGTGACCTGGGGGAGCGTTTTGTCCTTCGTGTCCGAGATGACTTGCAGCCCTAGAGTGTTTCTCTCCAGGCAAGACCAGGCTGTGTTTTAGGACCAAGAAAACAAACCTCTGGTCTTTTCCTTCTTCCTCGTCATGGGTCCTGCGAGGGCCCTTCCACAGGGTCACAGGCTCCTCTCAGCTGAGCCCTGCAGCTGGGGGCCTGTGCCACCAGGCTGACTTTGATTCCTGTTCCAGACTGTGGGACCGAGGCCTCCGTGAGGTCACCGTGCACGTGGCCCGTGTACGGCGCTCCCTCTGCCTCAGTGGCAGTCAGGTCCTGGCTGTCTGGTGAGGACAGGCCCTCTGCTGTCCTCACTGTGGGATCCTTCTCTGCTAGTGCATCCCTGCTGGAGCTCCGGGCGGCTTCCACACACTGTGGTGTCCAGGCCACGCTGCATGCGTTTGGACGCGCCGCCTGTCACGACGTCCTCAGTGTGCGCGGCACCCAGTGGGCCCCTTGCTGAGGTTTCCGGGAGTGTGATTTGTTGGTGCTGGAGAAGAACCAGGGATTTGTACCTGCCAGGAGTTAGCATTTCTAGGACCAGAAAGTGTGAAGCTGTTCTTTTCATAGATAGTTGGATTTTGTTTTTTAATAAAAATGTACCTTTTTCGCCATGTACCTAACTTCAATAAGTGCTATGCAGTAATAGCTACCCATGAGCATTAATTATCTGATTGGTAATACCAGATGGCAGCGTGGGCACCATTGGAAAGAGGCTGAAGGTGGCCCAGGCATGGCCCACGCCCTGTCATTCGGGAGATGTGTGCCCAGCCCCCTCCCACGCAGGGTGGGCCTCCCCCGGGAAGGTCCTTGGGGGGAACAAGAAACAAGCTGTGTGAACGTGACCCTGCCCCTGGGCCTCCCCAGCCGACTCTGCCCTTGGCCGTGTTTCTCCTCTGTTGGAACAGCCGTGGGGACGCTGCCATGTGTCGTTTGTTACAGAGGCCGGACAGGTCTTCGTGGAGGCAGCACGGGGCAGCCTCGCAGAGCTCACTGCAACAGCCCGACACGGGCTTGCCCACGCCCGCCGCAAGCAAGGAAGCAAACGCCTGCGGCACACAGGTAAGGGCAGGCCGGAGGGCCATGCTGGGTGTAGACTGTGTCGCCTGCTTGCTGCCCTTGATCTGCTTTTATAAAGACTTTCTACCTCTAGAGCAGTTTAAGGCTCACAGCAGAATTGAAGGGAAGGTGCGGAGACCTCCCCCGCCCACGCGAGCACGCACGGACAGGTCCCGGTGGTGCGTGCTCTGTGGGTCTGACAGACTTGTAGGGAGCGGTGGCCACCCTCACGGTGTCTTGCAGAGTCGCTTTACGTGAAAATCCTCTGCTGTGCCTGGTTGTTCTCCCTCCACGCCTGAAATCCTGGTACTTGTAAAAATCCTGGCCCGTTCACTGTAGCCGCAAAACGTTCTTGTGATGTGGGTTCCGCTGGGCTGAGCGCCCTGCCTGCATGCGGACCCGCCCTGTGCCTGGCTGCAGTCAGGAGACGTGCTGGTTCTAGCCGTGGAGCCATCACAGACGAGGGGCGTTCCGGCGAACGCACTTCCATCTGAAAGCCGGCCCTGTTCCCCACAGGCCATGTGTCTGTGCTCAGAGTCCCGTTAGACAACAGTCTCCACACCCTGAAAGCGCCCTGGGCATCGTGTTGGCCTTGAGGGTTGCACCCTGAGCCCCCTTGAGGAAGAAATTGTGTCACAGCGTTAGAATATAACGACATACTTCTGTATGTGCTTGAGGGTTTTCCTGAAGCCCCTGAGATGTCCGGGGGCGGGAGGGGGGAAGAGACCCCGCCCAGCCACAGGTGTGCACCTCACCTCATGGTCCGATTCCCAGGGCCCCTGGGGACTCCTTTGAGGCTTGGAAAGGGTGTGTGTGGCCTACCTTTTGTCTGATACAGGAGATCAGACTCTGCACAGCAAAACTGTCCCTGAGGACACAGGTCACACAGGGCTGGCGTGACAATTTGCTGAGAAGGAAAATGGTCTGGTTCTTTTTTTCTTTTCCTTTTTTTGAAGATTTATTTATATATTGGAGTTGTCTCTATGCCCAACATGGGGCTTGAACTCAGAACCCTGAGATCAAGAGTCGCATGCTCCACTGACTGAGGCAGCCGAGTGCCTCTGTCTGGTCCTTATTAAAGCACAGTGGTACAAATGTACTGTATAACTTCTGTCAGCAAGACGTCTTTGTTCCATGATTGTTTTGCTTTTTTCTCCTTTCAGATGGAAAAATTGTACCTGCATTATTTGAGAGCAGAAAGCTTCAGAAAGGCTCTGATTTATCAAAAGAAGTATCTTTTACTATTGATTGGTGGGTTCCAGGACTCTGAACAAGAAACGCTCTCCATGATTGCCCATTTGGGAGTATTTCCTTCCAAAGCAGATAAGAAAATGAGCACATCTCGCCCTTTCACCAAATTCCGAACCGCCGTCAGGGTTGTGATCGCGATACTAAGGTAATCTTGGCGATCGGGAGGCACGTTGGGGTTAGCCCTCTTTTACTCTGCGATCACATTCTCTTCTGAGATGATGACACTTGAGGCCTTAGAGTGTACGTGACATTTGCCTAAAGAAATCCTGTTGTGCAAAACCGTCAGCTGCCTTCTGATGCTGGAATGTTCAGGGATGGCTTTTTATCAGAAAACAATGCCTTGCCCCTTGGCAGGTCTCGACAGGATTCCTTCTGATGACAGGCACATCGATCAGGCTCAGAACTGCATTTCACTGCTTCAGATTGCAGTTTCCTGTATTTCAGTCAAACCTGTGCTCTGTAAAAGGGGCTGTGTCTTCCATTGTGGGCATGAGACCACTCCTGGGGGGGGGGGGAGGCTGTGGGGGCCCCATACGCCCCAGGTGCCGCTCACTGTCCCAGTCATTTATTTACCACAGTCTCATTTTGGGGGCAGGTACGTGACTCTGGTGTGACTGGGAATTTTGACCTGTTCAAAATTAACAGTGATGAAAATCCACTTTATGTTAATAATTTTAAGACGTGTTGAATTTCTAACTGTGTTTGTCCCAGTAAGAATTGCACCGCTGCCTCCGCTCCATGATGCCATGAGGTGCGTCCCTCAGGCCCCAGCCATCTGTGTGGGGCACACGCTGAACGCAGCATCCGGTGGGCTGCCGTCCTTGGCTTCCCTCCCCCGAGCTGAGGAGGGTGGTGGCGCCCTGCTCCCCGCAGAGACGGAGCACCCACCCAGTCCCGTCCAGCAGGGGTCCTGCTCTCGTGTTCTTGACCCTCAGCCTCAGGGCACTTCGTCCCCTCACCTCTGAGTTCTGACCAGAAACCACCCCCACCATCTGTCCATCCATCCATTCTACATTTTTGGACAGAATGCCCTGTGCCAGGAGGCCTGGTAGATGCTACATGGGGCTGGTAAACAGGCCCCCACATTCCTGCCCCCACATTCCTGTCAAGCAGAGGAGCATTTTCAGCAGCAGTGGTTTTGATGCGAAGTGGAAGTGCCTTCCAGGAGGGTCCGTGGTCAGAGAGGCAGTGGTGCCTGGACGGAGCGGCGGGCAGGAAGGCTGTCTCTGAATAGCGTCCACAAGCCACAAAGGGGCCATCCTAGGAGGGGCCCGGGAGCCCCACGGTGCTGTGCCTCAGGGCACCAACCTGTCTTTGCCCCTTTGACCCTGAGCCATCAGGTGGCGTTGGTGGCGAAGGGAGCAGGTGTTGCAGACTGATTTGAAGCGGGGTCTGTGACACCCTCGGATGGTGGGCATGGGCGGGGAGGTGCTGTGGCTAGGAAGATGCTGGGGGCACAGGCCTCAAGGTCACCACAAAGACAGTGGGGGCCCATGTGAGTCTGATTCTAGTTGTTGATCACGTCTGGATTTTCATTGCTCTTTTCACTCCTGTTTGCTCTAGTTTTCAATGTTTTGTGTCCCTTTTTTCCCTTTGTAGACTACGCTTTTTGGTTAAGAAGTGGCAAGAAGTAGATCGGAAAGGAGCTGTTGTGCAAGGCCGAGCGGCCCGCCCAGGTGGGCCCCCTGCTCACCCCTTTCCGCTGGCAGCCAGGGGCTGGCCAAGCCCAGTGGAGATGCAGTAAAGCAAATACGAAATCCACACATGCAGGGATGCTGTGAGCAAGGCGAGGTGGCTTCGGAAGGAAAATGGTTTTAATGTTGGGAAGCACAGAAGAAACCAGGGTTTACAGAGTTAATGGTTGAAAAAATGTAGAAATGCTAAATATGTTGACTGTTAACTCATTTAGTAGGACGTCCATCTAACTGTCCAAAACCAAGTGATGTTCTGCTTGGTACGGTCGCATCTGGCCTTGGGGCACCTAGCTGCGCTGGCTCAGCCACAGCTGGTCCGCAGGTGCCCCGCTGCCCCACACGTCAGCACAGAGAAGGCCCCACTCACGGGGCAGCAGCCCCTGGTTCTCCGAGGCTCTGGGCACCTGGAAGGGGGCTGCCCGTGGTAGTGTCCCTGGAGCTCTGCCCCCAGAGTCGACCATCAGGGACTGGGCCTCCCTGGTCACTGATTAGCTTTGACTCCTACCTGTTAATTGTTACTTTTTGAAATAAAAATGGCTTTTCAACCTTCAAAACTTTAGGAGAGTTTTCTCCTATACCAGGTATACCTGCTGGTCTCTAGGGTTCTGCCTCTCCCTCTACGGAGACCTCTCCTCAAAGTGGGGTCCCCCCGTGCACCCCAGGCTCCCCTGGGGCCCTGCCCGCGTGCATGCTGGGGTCGGGTCAGCCTGGCAGGCAGGGGCAAAACACAGGTGGTCAGAACTCAGTGCTCTTCTGGAGCTTTTTTTTTTTTTTAAATAACAATGCGACAGTTTCATTCACTCATTCATTTATATTTTAGAGAGGGCACCAGTGGGGAGAGGAGCAGCAGGAGAGAGAGAATTTTAAGCAGCTCAGTGTGGGGTCTGTGGCAGGGGTGAATCCTGTGACCGTGGGATCATACCCTGAGCTGAAATCAAGAGTCGGACATTCAACTGACTGAGCTACTGAGGCACCCATAGAGCTTTTTAAAACATAATTTTGAGGGGTCCCTGGCTGGCTCAGTTGGTGGAGGATGTAACTCTTGATCTCAGGGTTGTGAGTTCAAGCCCCACATTGGGTGTAGAGATTGCTTAAAATAAAAAAAAAAAAAAATTAGGGGCGTCTGGGTGGCCCAGTTGGTTAGGCGTCCAACTTCAACTCCGGTCATGATCTCACGGTTCATGGGTTCGAGCCCCGCGTCGGGCTCTGTGCTGACAGCTCTGAGCCTGGAGCTGCTTCAGATTCTGTAGCTCCCTCTCTCTGACCCTCCTCTGCTCACATTCTCTCTCTTTCTCTCAAAAGTAAGCACTAAAAAACATGTTTTTAAATCTTTAAAGCATAATATTTATAAATAAGGTATTTAAAAAATTTTTTGAAATTGCCATGCAGATTCCTTAAAGCGTAAGTTTGGGTGGAGGGGCCTTCCTACTAAAAGTCATTCGTCTCTTTTCCTGATCCCTCTGCTGTTAAACGATAGTGGGGGAAGGAATCCCGGTGCCACGGCAGCAGCTTCCGCACAAAACCAGCACATCCCCACCAACCCGGGATGCGTCCTCTGGCCACACCAGGGACCCTGTGCCAACAGCCTCCCCGTGCAGGAGGGAGAGGTGAGTGACCTTCAAGGCTGTGTCTTCAACGCAGCCCAGCCCGTGCTGTAGAGCTGCTGCCGTGCTCAGCCCAAGGGGCCCTCCCCGGATGGGCACACGTCCACACAGGGCCGTGGTGGGCTCGCCGTGGCCTGTGCTCTGGGATTGGGGTTCCGCACACGTGACTTGGCCCTCAGTTGGCAGTTGAGATGTCGTAGCAACCCGGTTAAACATCCGCAGGTTATTTGGGGGGCAATAAGCCCTTTTCATTTAAAAAAATAGGAGGACTTGGGGCGCCTGGGTGGCTCAGTCGGTTAAGCGTCCGACTTCAGCCGAGGTCATGATCTCAACAGTTCATGAGTTCGAGCCCCTGCGTCGGGCTCTGTGTTGACAGCTCAGAGCCTGGAGTCTGCTTCAGATTGTGTGTCTCCCTCTCTCTCTGACCCTCCCCTGCTCACACTGTCTCTCTCTCTCTCTCTCTCTCTCTCTCTCTCAGAAATAAATAAAACATTAAAAAAATTTTTAAAAATAATCAAAAAAATTAAAAAATAGGAGGACTTGTGGTTGGATGGTAGAATGCAGTTTTGTTTAAAAATTAGAGGCGCCTGGGGGCCTCAGTCAGTTGAGCGTCCGACTTCAGCTCAGATCATGATCTCACGGTTCGTGGGTTCGAGGCCCACATCGGGCCCTGTGCTGACAGCTCAGAGCCTGGAGCTGTTTCGGATTCTGTGTCTCTCTCTCTCTGCCCCTCCCTGCTCACGCTGTCTCTCTCTCTCTCTCTCTCTCTCTCTCTCTCTCTCAGAAATAAATAAAACATTTTTAAGAAATTAAAATGAGGAAAGCTTTCCCTAATGGCCTAAGGATTTGAGCCAGGAGTATGTGGAATCTGCTCGTCCTGAGGCCCTGACAGGGGTGGTAAGGTGTGGCCCGGCCTGTCCCCAGAAGAGGGTTTTCCCAGCCGAGGGGTTTCTCATCCAGGTGCTGGATGTGGAAGATGTGACTTCCGTTGTGTTTCTGCAGACTGAACTATGTGAACATCCTGTCCAAATGCTGGAGCGAGGAAATCTAGAGCAGGGCGGCCCCCTGTGTTGTAACACACCCTTACAACCTATAGCAGAGTTCAGTGTGCGTGTTTGTGGGGTGTTTGCACACACATCCAGAAGCTTCTGTTTCTCCGAGCGAGCTTTCCACAGCGTGCTCCACTTGTAGGGTGCAGCTCGTCTCCACAGTGCCAGTGACCTGTGCTCGCTCCTTCACCCCACGCCCCTGGCTGACGTGGCGTCTCTGTGCAGTCTGCATTGAGGAGCGTGGCGGTCCCTGGTGTCGCCGTCCCGACAGGAGAGACGGTGCAGGGTGCATAGGCGCCCCTGCTGCGCCGTGGGGCAGCCCAGCCGCAGACGCCGCTCTCCGGGCCTCCTGTGCTCATGCCGCTCCAGCCCTGTGCGGGCTCCCCAGGGACACGAGAAGGGCCAGAAATGCACATGTGCCCATGGGGACCTGGAGGGCCAGCTCTGTGTGGGGAAGGAATCAGCAGAGGCTCCTGGTCTGGTGGCCGAGGCCTCTCTGATGCGGGCGGGGCAAGGATGAGTAAGACGTGTCCCTACCCGGAGAGAGAGTGGCCAGGAGGAAGGGCCCCAAGGAGGGACTGGACGGGGTGGGTTGTCCCTCCAGTGACGGGGACAGTTTGGGACCTTCAGGAAAGGCCCGTGGGTAGTTGGGTCACTCTCAGGGCACAAAGAAGGGGTGGGTCTGAGAGACAGCAGTGCAAAAATCAGTTGGGATAACAGATTCATACATGAAGATATTATGAAGAAAATCAGTCTACAGAAGTTTTAGTCACTTTAAGTCTGAAACATTTTATAGAAGCTGGTTTTAAAAGCGTTACATAGCACTTTTAAAAAATGCCTTATTTTGGGGCACCTGGCTGGCTCAGTCAGTAGGGCATGCAACTCTTGGTCTCAGGGTTGTGAGTTCATGCCCCACACTGGGCATAGAGTTTATAAACATGCATGTGTAAATGCGTAATTACGTACAAATAACCTGAACGAACAAACAAATGCACACAATATATGTACATATTTCACTTTGTTTTTGCGGTAAAGGATAGGAAGGCAATGGCCGTCTGCTTCACCCCGTTCCCTGCTGCCTATCTGCCTGCTGGGTGCTGACTTCCACTCTTGTTTTGTTTCTTGGTGGTATTTATGTGTTTGTTTGAAGATCCGCTCCATCCTCAAATTCAAAGTCAGAAGGATCCCTGAGTGCTTCTCAAGACCCTGAACGTTCGTTGACGGAATATATTCATCATTTAGAGATGATCCAGCAAAGACTGGGCGGGGCACCTCCAGGTAATAAAAGTTATTCTCTGTTTCCTAAAATAATACGCTGCTCCCGAGGAACATGAAGTAACATAGGAGAGGCTGTAGTATTCAGCTGAGTAAGTGCTGTTAGTTTCAGTCTTAATCATTGACCGTCATTAGCAGGATCGTGCGTGAAGGCACCTCAGGGGTGTACGAACGGTGCCATTAGCGGCGAGTGTGGGATCCGTTTCTTAATCACTAGCTGGCCTTTTGCTCCATTTTATGTTTTCAGGGAACAAATATTATGTTTCAGGATAGAATTTGTGGGGAGCTATTTATTAACATAATTTAAACCATTGTATATTTTAGTTGTAATTCTTATTTTTACCATAAATGAGATTAATTCTGTGGTACTGCCTCAGAATTATGAAATTCTTCAAAGACCCATGAAGACTTCTAATGAATTGCTACGTCATTTTTCTTTATTTTTAGATTCTACTTCAAAGAAATCCTGCCACCAGAAAATTAAACAATGAATAAAATCCTTGCGGCTTTTACCTACGACAGTTCTATCTGAGGAAAAGATTGGTGGTTTTCCTTTTTCTAAGGAAAGCTTGTGGCATGGCGTCTGGGCAGCGCCCAGTCTCGTCTTGTGCCTGCGATGCCAGCCCCTAGTGCGGCTCGTCATTCTCACCCTTTTGCAATGCTGCAGAGCCCGATGGGGTACATTCTGCGTACTTTCAGTACCTGTTAGTTCCTTACCTTTCCGGGATGACTAGTGCGCTTGTGAGTGACCAGCACCTGCCCTGCTCCAGGCACGTTGGCAGACTTTCCCCGCCCGCCTCCAAGCAGGAAGCAGAGACTGGCCTCCTGTTGTTTATATTCTTAAAGTGTACAGATGGGAACTTGGTTTAAAAGCAAAAACCAAAACGAATAAAAGTCCCGCACTATTTTATTTGTGAATGGCCTCTGTGTTGTGTTTCAGTTTTATCCAGTTTGCTTTATCAGTAGCCAGAAACCGACACATAGACTGGGAGCCCCTGTATGTCAGGGCTCCCGGCGGGAGGCAGAGTGCCCCTTGCTGGTGAAGACAAGCAGCCCGTTTGCTTGCCCTTTGCTTGGTCTTCCTTGGTTTCCTAGTGAGCATCTCCGTGTGGTTTCAGGACCTCCAAATATGACATTTATCCTGCGGGGCGTAGGTTTTAACATAAAACCGTGTTTTTCCGAACCACCTGCCGGCCTGCAGCGCTGGTGCGTGCCCGCATTGTCTGTAGCCGCCTACACGACCGTGAGGCCAGTTCGACGGCCTTTCCGCCCCTCCTCCCAAGCCCCGTGCTCCGCCACTGAGCCAGGAGGCGTCTCTTCAGCTCTGCAGGTCGTCAGCTACAGAATAAATGTCCACGCGGGAGGGCTCATTTAGAGCCGCCAGCAGAAGTGACCGTCACGCCAGCTAAGTTCCTGTGGGAGCTGGTCATTAAAGAGAAAGAGGCGTTCACCCTGCCTTCCACAGAGGAGCGGCAGGTCATCCTCGTAGGCGAGGGAACATTCTTCTTATGGGAAGGTGCCAGCTAGTTAGTAAGGGGGGGACGGTCCCATTAGAGAACTGCCGGCTCTGCAGCCTGCGGCGCGATAATCAGGTCGGGTCCTAAAAGCACGGTGACCTGGTGTTTGTGCCTCCGGGTGTGATGACGCGTGGACTGCACGGTGTCTCCTGTGCTGCCTCCGGTTTATAAATGGAGGAACAAATTACCTGAAACCGTGAGGAAAAAGACAAACATGGGATGTTTAAATGTTTTATTTATTCTTGGGGCGCCTGGGTGGCTTAGTCGGTTGAGCGTCCGACTTTTGCTTAGGTCATGTTCTCGCGGTTCGTGGGTTCGAGCCCCGCGTCGGGCTCTGTGCTGACTGCCAGCTCAGAGCCTGGTGTCTGTTTCAGTCTGTGACTCCCTCTCTCTCTGACCCTCCCCTGCTCATGCTGTCTCTCTCTCTCTCTCCTAGAAATAAATAAAAATTTAAAAAATAAATAAATAAATAAATAAATGTTTTATTTATTCTTGAGGGGAGGAGACAGCATGAGCGGGGAAGGCGCAGAGAGGTAGGGGGGACGGAGGATCTGAAGCCGACGGCACGGAGCCCAGTGTGGGGCTCAGACTCACAAATTGTGAGATCACGACCTGGCCGAAGTCGGATGCTCAACCGACAGAACTACCCAGGTGCCCCCAAACATGGGATATTCTGGAGGTCATTCACCTTGTCTCATCAGATGGACAGCACTGATGAGGGCTGTTCTAGGTGAAAAGAAACAGGAGACACAACCAATGAGATGTGTGTGATGTTTCATTCCTAAATTGGGGACCAATGGCTATAAAAGTTTTGGGGGTAACTGGGGCAAACTTAAATCTGTACTGGATAATAGATTTTAAGGGAATTTTAATTCTCAGGTGTGCTGACAGTTATGTAACAGAATGCTGTGAATTATTAAGAGTAAGGGGCCACAACCTATTAGATGCACTCTGAGATGGTTCTGTGGTTTTCCTATGGTTAGGAAAAAATACACATGAATATGGATTAAGTAAACACAGCAAAATCTTTGTAAAATATTGAATCTGGCCCATATAATAGTATACGGTTATTGTTTGAAATTTTTCATCGTGAAAGATGAAAAAATACCACCCAAAGTCTGAGCGAGGGTGCCTTACTCTAAAGGTACTGTATCAGAGCCTAGACAGGGACGCAGAAACCACCCACTGGGTTTCTAGACAAAGGGGATTTAATATAAGGATTTGATTACTCTGCTGCGGGCGGAGGGGCGCTGCTCCAAGTCCGGCCGGAAGCTGCTGGCCCCCAGGGCCTGGCAGGTTCCTGGGAGTCGTTGCAGGGACCTGGGGACAGGGCCGACCACATGAAGGAGCCGCCAGCGAATTGCCCGTCTGCTGTCTTGCCCTCCTGTCGGACAAGACCGGACGAGGCAGCCTGGGGCAGCCCGTGTGTGGCACAGACAGGCGAGAACCGACCTGAAGGCACGCGGGCAGCGCCGTCCACCCTCGTCTCCTGAGCACGTGTCCTCCTTCACGCACACTTAATGACCGAGACGTAACTTAGCCCACCTGCCTGGTGCGAGGTGAGTGTTCAACGATGGCCGTGGGCCCCTCCAAGGCCCACACGGTGCTGCGTCTCGATGGTGCCGCTCTCCAGGGGAGACAGACTTCTCCTGTAGGACTGAGTCAGCCCCTCACAATGTTGTGCAGCTGATGCACTGCGGCTTGTCTCACAGAAGGGGGGAGGTGGAAGGGGAGGGTGTCCCTGCTCTGCATGCAGTCACGAGGCCCTGCTTGACATTCATCACCTCTTCCTTCGCCAAGGCCTTGTTTTCTGGTCCTCAGCCAGCACCTTGGCTGGCTGGTTGGGTGACATAAGCTTACTTTCTAGAAAGATATGAGCTCATAATAGACTTGGTTTTAGAAGACTTCCCTTGTTTTCTCCTCTTACAGTTGAGTCTGAAAGTACTGAGTACCAAGAGGTACCTGGTGAAGATGCTAGATTACAGATGGGTTTTCCTGTCCTCGCTGTGGGCTGGCCATCCAGCTGCCCCATGGGGTTTGGGGTCAGTCACACCAGCCAATATAGCAACCCCGTCCCTACTGATTCAGGGGACAGTCCATGCTTGGCAAATCCGTGTCCAAACAGGAGTGGACAGAGGCACGGGGAGAGCTCAGAGGAAATTTAATGGGAACCCAGGCCACATGTTCATGCAACTTATGTTTGTACACTTTAGTTCTGACACCACCTGCAGTTGGCACAGACTGCCCCACTTTAGACACTAGCTGTAAGTGGGGTCCCCAGGCCACCCACACTTCTGCCAACCACAGTGTAGGTGTTTGCACAACCTCCCCCCCTCAGGTTTGGTGATTGCCAGAATGACTCCATACACGGAAGTGTTGGATTTCACTGGTTCTGTGTGAATGATATGACTAGGGCAGCAGAGCGGAGGTGACGTGCAGGACAGGACACAGGGCTTCCCCGCCCTCCTTGAGCATGCCACTCTCTTAGCACGTCGGGATGTTCACCGGCCTGCTCCAGGGTTCTTATCAGGGCTTCATGATGTCATGATTACCTGCCACATGACCATAGTCCATCTCTAGCCCCGCCCCTCCGGTGACCGGCCCCCATATCCTGAAGCTATCTAGGGGACCCACCACGAGCCAACTCATTCGTGAAAAACTCAGGTATGGTCAAAGGGGGTTATTGTAACAAAAGGACACTCTTATTAGGAAATTCCAAGGGTTTTAGGAGCCAGGAAACGAATAGCAAAGACCAAATCTATATATTTTCATTACACCTCGTATAAATAGCACTTGAGGTGATCAGCACCTGCCTGTCCTCATGGCTGAGCCGTCAGGCAGCACCCAGGGTACAATGTGCAGCCTGAGTCATGTGTTGCTGGGACCGGAGTTTGGTCTCTGCCAGGATGCAGGGGTAAGTTTGATGTTTCTCTAATGGAAATTGAGTTAGCACCAGGAGGAGGCAAAGCTTTGCTTCAAGACCCTACTGGTCTGACCTAATGGGGCGTTCGAGTGGACCTGCGTCCTGCGTTGGGTGGCTCTATGGCCTGAGCAGCGAGCATGACGGCCTCTGTCAAAGCTGTAGGCCTGCAGCTGTCCTGGTCTGCGGGGAAGCTGACGTCCTGTGGCTTCCTCAGCACACTGGGCCCCAACAAGCCGTCCCACATTGTAGGCGGTACAGGGCGCAGCCGTTTGCCTCTGACCCTGGAAGGGACACATGCTGTTCTGCAGGCTCCTCGACCCCCAGAAAGGGCCACAGTGGCAGCCCCGACTGAATGGGATCTGCCTCACAGCCAGCACGTCTCTTGCTACCTGCCGTTCATTCGGACCGGTTACTATGCTATGCTTCCAGTGTCATGGATCAGAGTTCTGTGATGTCTAAACAAAGACCCTGAAAGAATCCAGTGACAGACACTGCTCTCTGTCTGCGTCTTTTCTGATTGGTATTGAGGAAACAGTAATACAGGAGCCTGAATACAAACCTTTTATCAGCTGCTGTTGCTTTTGGGCCCATGTGGAGAGTTTGATCCTGGTAGAGAAGAGCAGGCCTGCTCTGGGAGGAGACAGCCCAAGCGCATGAGGAGACGGCGTGGCGGCGTCCCGTGGAGGGCTGGCCACAGTGTGGCCTTAGCTTGGGCTGCTGTGACGAAATGCTTACAAACGACAAAAATGTATCTCTCGCAGTTGTGGAAGCTGGAGGCCCAAGTTGAGGGTGCCAGCGCGGTGGGGCTCCGGTGAGGCCCCTCAGGGTGCAAACTGCTTACTTTGACTTGTGTCTTCACGCGATGGAGAGTGGGGAGGGGAAGCAAGCCTCTGGCTCGGAAGGTGCTGACCCCAGTCATGCAGGCTTCTCCCCCATGACCTCCTGTACCCCAGTTACCTCCCAGAGCTCCTGCCACTGTCTAATGCCATCTCCTTGGAGGACAAACAACACTGGGTCTGGACAGATCCAGACGACCCGAGTGAGTGGTGCTGAGTCTTCTACTTCCTGCCTCCCCTGTGCTCTGGTCCCCTGGGAAGTTCCTTGTGACCAGTTCACAGAACAGGAAAGAACAGGTTTGTTCTGCAGATGGATCTACGCAGCCTGCTGGCATCATCCGGGAGTGGACAGGCGCCACCTCACCACCCAGCTCAGGGGTGGATTTTGGAAGATTTCCATTTGGCTTCTGCCACTTAGCGCCTGCGTTGCCGACAGAATGCCAATGCTGAGACGGCGATGTGGCGGCCCGACTCCCTGCGTTGCAGAGGAAGCGGAGATGTCAGCCTAGAAATAGACGCACATTCCAGGTGTGAATCGGGCTTCCTGCCTCCCTGTGACGCATCCGTCGGCACCGGCACCCACGGACTTAGAGAGCATCCCACCCAGCCGCAGCCCTGCACGGGCTGTTCTCAAGCCGTGGA